AAAGCAATGTAGAAAACTCAAATTTCATTAAAAAGTAGGAATTAAGCATCAAGACCTGAAGTGTGATTGTAGCCTAAGGCTGGGATAAACTCTAACATTGTCTCCAACCCGCATCATTCAGGCCCTGCAGCTAAAGCAGCTTCTTCCAAAAGCTCCACCACCCTCTAATCTAATTACAGATGCTCAGGGCCTTCAGGTTACTTCTCTGCGATATAAGAGGTCCACAGAGGAACCTATCAGAAATGTTAATTTCCAGGAAAAACTTTGGTCCCTGAAGGGAGATATTGGTACAATATGTGTGCTGATATGTGAATCAAAGAACAAACCTTAAAAGATAAGAGAAAGTGTAACAAACATTACCTCTATGTAATGAACCCAGACCAGACATGGGCAATGTGGAGTCAAGTCATCTCCATGTTATGTATTTGTTCTACCCAGCCACTGAAGCAGGCGAGTCCAACCTTCACCATGAATTAACCTGTGCAGATTGGACTCACCTGGTTAATTGGCTGGGTAGATTAAATACATGACATGGAGATGACTTGTTGACTCCACATTGCCCATGTCTGACCCAGACTTCATGATATAATAAACTTGACTACAGTACAAACAGCATTTTGTTATACAGTAGCAGCCATTCAAAACGGCCCTTCCCAGTCAAACGTCAGCAGAATGGTAGCCCACTTCCTTGCAACTCCCAGCAAAATCCCCTCCAACTTCCAGCCAGTGGAGAGACCCCCACTCCTCTTCCTGGGCATGCAATTTTTTTTACTCCGACTCCACCCTTTCATTGAATTACATAGTGTCATGATCTTACTAAAGTTCAGACCCAAACGCAGATAACCGAACAGGGAGACCAGGGAAATGGTTTAACAGGTTTTATTGAAGAGGTAAAACAGAGGGAGAAGTGTTGCTCTGAACGCAGCTCAACCGGAACTGAAAAGTGAGGGGAAGACACAGCGATTAGTTCAGGCTCAGTTGGGAATTTGACTCGTGAACTTGGAGAAGAGGATTTGGTTGCTGACTCACGTTTCCAGAGAAGTAGTTGAATCCTGTCTCTGTGCTGTGGTTCCAGTGTTTGTCTAATTCGGTAGAGGGCAGAACAGGTTTTACCCAGAATGCGGTTGTTTGTAGGTGAATGGAGAAACTGACTACCACTCTGAATTCCTGTGGTACTTGAACGGGTCGTAGTGGAGAATAATCCCTTTCTCAGTGCGAAGCTCAAATGATCTCTTGGGCAAAGTGGATCCAAACCTCCTGTTTGAACCCCAGCTCAGTTTGAAGCTCAGTTGATCCCTCCAGGGAGAGAAGGTCAGAGAAATCCAGTTTGCAGGATGACTTCCTGCCAAGAGGCAAAGACAAAAACAAAGTTAAACTCAGGTTGAAAAAAAACTCAGCTTGACTAGAGTACCCAAAACTGGCAAACACTCTGGTGTTAAGGTAGTGGCAGTCAGCAGCTTAAGAACACTCCGTTTAACGAGTAAACCATCAGCAGGTGTGTGAGGAGGCGGACCAGAACCAGGCGCCTCCTGGTGGATGAAGAGAGACAAACACAGAAATACAGACACAAAAACAGGAGTGGTGACACAGGGTCTGACCAGGAGATGACGCTTCTATTTAGATCTTAATGTCCACAAATCTTGACTGATGGAATATTTTAGTACAAAGATTGATTATTAAAAAGGAATTGTAGGGGACCGGCCAAGCGCCCATCAAGGAAAGTGGGGAAATTTTCAATGGCTAATATGTATGCATCAAAATGCAATAAAATCCATTCATGTATTTTGTGATAATTTCTGCAGCATTTTATAATTGCCAAGGAAATTCTATACAGTACATTTCTGTAGCATAAAATTTCAAAGTTCTTTACACGAGGGGAAAAAAAAGGAGAAATAAAAGTACATTGCAGGGGCATAGAAGTAACATGAGCACAAAAGACAGTAAAGATGAAAAATTCAAATGATTATATTAAAAAGAAAGTCCTTCAAACTTAAAACTTAACTGATAACAATCTTACATTTTGCTATGGTTATTGCAAAATTTGAATGGTTGCTCTTTTTGAATCAACAACCATGTATTATCAATTCTGATAAGTATTCCATAATCAACCAGCAACTAGTTTTTGTGTTCCTCCTAATCAATATAAATGTAATAAATGTGATGTTTTGGATCATTTAAATCTTTTATATTCCTTTTAATTACTGCCAAAGTGTTGTAATTGAGTTGATTATTCTATTTCATATCCCAGATAGAAACATCACATAAACAGCCTTTTCAATGCAAGCATGACCAGAACAACCTGTGTTTAAAACAAAAAACAAAAGGTCACAGATTAGTGGACCACGGTCTGGATCTGGACCCACCTGCTGGCTAATCTGAACCCGAGCTGATTTAAAACATTTATAAATTACCGCATGTTCTCCAACGACAGTGTCTAACTTCAGTTGCGCCACTTCTCCTATAATATGGTAAAGCCCTCCAGAGCGTCCGGCACCAGGCTCCAGGTGATACACATTAGCCAATGAGCTGCTGTCAGTCTGGGTTGCTGCTGCTGCTACTTTTAGACACAGCAGGCAAACCTGTGGCAAGCCGGGCGATGGGAAAGAAGGAGAGGATGATGAGAAAAAAGGAGCAGAGAAAGTGTGGACTGCTGGAAGAACTGCAATGAACTGGTGAAAGAAAAGTGAAATGGTGCTCAAAGATGACCCTGAACATTTAGAGGATGTTTGGCTCAACCTGCTGCTGTGAAGCAGGATTCTCCACCATGAACAGAATCAAAAATAAATATGGATCCAGGCTTAAAACGAGCTCCTTGATATGTGCTTTAGAATGGCTTAGTCTCCATTCAAACCCAGGTTTAAAGCCTTGCAGCACTTTCTGATGTCTTGTTAGCTAGGGTAAAACTACAGGGGGAAAAGTCTTGCCCCCCAGCAGCCTCCTTCTTTTATAATTACTGATTACTTGTTTGTCTAAAAACCTCTTACAGCCTTCAAATTTAACATTAATTTACAGAGAAATATACTTTTCAGGATATAAAGCTTGAAAAAAAATTGTGCACTCAACCATGATGTTTGAGACAGAAGCAATGAACCAAAGTGGTAGATTTGGATCTTTTTTGGGACATTTTGATGCCAACTGTTGCCTTAAGGTCTCCCTAAAAGGATGATTGGAATCACTCCTGCTTGATCATCAAAGTTCTTTCTGTGTATTTGTGTCTTCTCTTTTATTTATTTGTGAAGTATTTGTTGTAATTTTTTAGCCTACACCTTAACATTGTTTTACTTAAACATATTTCTTACATACCTCAATAAAGTCATCAAGCATTGCCGCCTTGCTCAGACTTTTTGTACCTCTGTTGCCCAACTTGTGAAATTTTCTCTATCCACCACTACTTGCTTCTGAAATGTCTTATATACCGGTAAATAAACCTGCCTCAGAAATGTTATTAGTATTGAAGCAGAGGTTAAAACTAAACTATTTTTTACCAAAGTTAACTGAAGTACCTGAAGCAGAGTGTAGGTCATTCTAAACACCTCTGATTATGAAGCACCAACCAGTAAATACAGCAGATGATGGTTAAACAGCTTGTGTGGCGTAATGCAGGTAATAGATCTGAACGACCAGGTAAAGCTCTGAAATCATGGCTCTGTTCTCAGTAGCGACCTGCTTCATGGAGGCTTCCTTGCATTTCAACATCAGCAGAAACCTGACAATTTAAAAATGAACCGATGCAGCAGAAAAGGACAGAAAATGACTGTGTTGGTTTTCAGGTCAGAATTAGCCCAGTCATTGGTTAAGTACCGGCACTTGGTGTTATGCTGAGGTTGAAAAAAGATTTTAAAAAGGACTCAAATACAAGAAAAGGCCCATATCCAAATTATAACTCAAAGTCAAAGTTACTTCATTGTGAGTAGAAAAAAAAAAATCTCTCGGGTCAATTTCATAAAGAAAACATAAGATATTTACCGTGAACTGTTAATCAATATTTAACAGTTGCAATAAATAAGTCTAGAAATAAAATCCTGAAAAAAAACAAAATCTAACTAATTTAAACTAATGGTTTATATGGTAAAATACTTAACCCTTTATAGGGCACTATGTGATAATCAAAATTTCAAGTGTTATTGGAATCCAGGACAAAAAAGTTAAGAAATGTATTTCAATGTAATAACAAGAAACGCAAGCTTGCCTGAATATATTAAAAATAAAAGTTTTTTCTATAATAAATTCATGAAAAACACTCTGAGAGTGAAAAACAATTATTTTTTTGGGGGGAGCAACATAACCTTAGAGGCATTAATGCTGATACTGGCACTGACATTTTTTAGTTATTATGAGGTTCCGTTTGTGACAAAAATTAGCAGATGTAAAATGTCTAGATGCTGTTCTGTTTTTGCAAATGTGTTGTCTACATATGTATAAGTTGCACATGTACTTGTTGCATATGTAGATTCTGCATGTCTATGTTTTGTATGTAGGTGTTGCATATGTCTATGCAACAACAGCACAACATCTAGACATTATATATCATCTGCTTATTTTTGACACAAACGGTGCCTCATAGTTTATAAACCTAAATTGTCAACTTTGTGTATTAACTTTTTAACTTTACTTTTTAACTTTTCAATTGTTTTTTTTAACCCTTTTTTAAACTTAATTTAGTTTTTTTTTTTTTTTTTTTTTTTTTTAGAGAAATTTTCTAAATTTCAGGACAATATTGTCTGATAAAGAGCACATTTATATACATGTTTAAGCCAGAATGATTTGACATTTCAATATGTCTTCCCTATGACTTTAAAGTTTGAATATGACCGGACTTCTCCTTTAAGAAAGAGATGAATTGTCATAGTCTGTGGACATAGGGGCCCTTTTAGGGCCCGTGTAGCTCCGCCGCTGTCCATAGGTCCAGTCTTTCTCAGAGGCGCTGTGGTTTCTGCTGGACTTTCCCTCTGCAGAGCCTCCAGCCTTGCAGTGGGCGGGCTGTTATCTCAGGAATGATAGCGGAACTAGTAGTTGTTGTTGTTGAAGCCCAGCTGCTCCGGGCTGCTGTACGCATGTGTGGCAGCAGCGTGTGTGTCCGGGTTGGGGAGTTTGGATCTGAGATTTAGGAAGTGCGCTGGAAGCTTCCAGCCGGAGCAGCAGACGTCCTGGTTCGGCGGGAACAGATGCAGTCCTGTCGGGATGGAAGCTGGACCCTTCAGCCATGAGGTGAGCTGTGGGTTCGGGTTTTCAGCCTGGTTGAAGGAGTTAAACGGTGGGAAACATGTAGCGGGTCCAGACTTCCGGAATGATTGGACCAGAACCAATATAGTTCTGTTTCTGAGGAATAACATGGAGCAGAGAGAGCTGACATGGGGCAGAGAGAGCGCAGGGAGCTGGAAGGGTTCAGAAATCACACCGACAAAAAGTTATTCACTGGTAACGAGTTCAGCATTTCTGAAAAACTAATAACTGAATTAGAAAGTTACTGTAAAAATAACGATGGAAAACCTCCCATTTAAAGCGTCTCTCAGCTGCTAGTTTTATTATTTGCATTTTAATCTAATTATTAAGTTATTTATCATAACCACTGTTGTTGGGGCCAATTTTACCAGAAGCGACCCCATTCTCTTGAAACACTGCAGCAGATTTTGCACACAAAAAAAAGGATAAAAGTTCAAAAGTTTGGAGTCACCATTCAAAAGTTTGGGGTCACATTGAAATGTCCTTATTTTTGAAGGAAAAGCACTGTACTTTTCAGAGGACAGCACAAACAGGCTCTAACCAGAGTAGAAAAAGAAGTGGGAGGCCACGTTGCACAACTGAGCAAGAAGATAAGTACATAAGAGTCTCACAGGTCCCCAACTGGCATCTTCATAAATAGTACCCACAGTAGCCTGTTTGTGCTGACCTCCGAAGGGAGTAGTACACACCGTTGTAGGAAATCTTAAATTTCTTAGCAATTTCTTGCATGGAATAGCCTTCATTTCTAAGAACAAGAATAGCCTGTCGAATTTCAGATGAAAGTTCTCTTTTTCTGGCCATTTTGAGAATTTAATTGACTCCACAGATGTGATGCTCCAGAAACTCAATCTGCTCAAAGGAAGATCAGTTTTGTAGCTTCTGTAATGAGCTAAACTGTTTTCAGATGTGTGAACATGATTGCACAAGGGGTTTCTAATCATCAATTAGCCTTCTGAGCAAATGAGCAAACACATTGTACCATTAGAACACTGGAGTGATAGTTGCTGGAAATGGGCCTCTATACATCTATGTAGATATTGCACCAAAAACCAGACATTTGCAGCTAGAAGTCATTTACCACATTAGCAATGTATGGAGTGTATTTCTTTAAAGTTAAGACAAGTTTAAAGTTATCTTCATTGAAAAGTACAGTGCTTTTCCTTCAAAAATAAGGACATTTCAATGTGACCCCAAACTTTTGAACTGTAGTATATATATATATATATATATATATATATATATATATATATATATATATATATATATATATACCGTAAATCCTCTAATATAGGCCCGGGCCTTTATTTCACTCAAGTGCATCGCGGCCCAGGCCTTTATTGGATAGAGGCCAGAATTAGAGACAGGCCTCTATTGCTATTTGAGCAAAAGAGACTACCAGTGGAATGAATAAAAATGAGATTTTGTGTCTATTTGAACCTATAAAACACTAGGTTCATTTATTGAAAAAGTACAGTTACCATGTCTCGCTTGGTTTGAAGTAAAAAAAAAAAAAAAAAAAATCCTCCAATTCTGTTTAATCCTCCTCCTCAGTTTCCTCCTCCTCTTCATCTCTCCCTTTAATCTCCTCATCACTCGCGCTCCTCCTCATGTTCTGCTGCGTGTCTGTTCTCTTCCTCGCGCAGACGGGCAGCAGTCAGGGCCTGTCGTCCAGCTGCGCAGGGCTGTGGTACATGTATGTTACTTACTACCACAAGTATAATGTTGAGGTATGCCCAGAAAAAACATTTATAGCCCCGGCCTGTATTAGAGACCGGCCATTATTTACCTGCTCTGACAGCGAGACCGGCCAATGTTAGAGTCCCGGCCGCTAATGGAATACAGGCCAATATTAGAGAATTTACGGTATATATATATATATGTAATGGGGGAGTGGTGGCCTGGTGGTTAGTGCATAGAGCTTGGATCCTGAGGTTCTGAGTTTGAGCCCCACTCCCACAGACTGCCACTCTGGCTCCCTGAGCAAAGACCCTTAACCTCTGATTGCCCCCCAGGCGCCGCACGATGGCCGCCCACTACTCCCAAAGAAGATGGGTTAAATGCAGAGTTCATTTTGTTGCTCTGTTCTATACTTGTGACAGTGTAATGACAATAGAAGCTGGGAAAAAATACTTTAACAAAAAAAAATATATATATATAAATATATATATATATATATATATATATATATATATATATATATATATATATATATATATATATATATATATAGGCTAAATTATTGATTGATTGGCTTTATTGATATAACAGTGATATATATATATATATATATATATAGGCTAAATTATTGATTGATTGGCTTTATTGATATAACAGTGATGAAATTAACTGGTTACTGGTTACATATATATACACACACACACACACAGGTTATCAAATGGTAAATTGCACATTGTACTTTGCAAAAGTTGGCTGGGGTGGTTAAGGGATTTTTAGAGGTGGCCACATTAAGATGATGCCTGACCATTGACTGTTCCAGAGAATCTATACTGATCAAAATAAACTCGCACAGCATCAATATTTTCCAAATAAATCACTGAAGAGAGACCAGATTTTCATCAGGGTCCTTGTTGATAAAGGATGTAAATACATTTGTGCTGTTTAAATGAATTTATTGTTCTACACAATTTATACATTGAATGCAAAACAACTAAATACAATGCTGTTTATCTTTAGAGAAGACTCTGGTGTGACTGCAGAGACAAACTATTTCCTAGAAAACCTAAAAACTAACTGATAAAAGAGGCAACATTTTTATTAGTCTCTTTTTATTTGCTGCATGTTGTGTTGAATGACTTCTTGCTGCATTTTTGTATTCAGTTGTTGGTTTACATGCGTGTTTAAGATCAAGTGTTTAATGTTTAAAGGTATAGTGGAGGATTTTTTTTCCCCATGTGGATCATCTAAATAAGTGGTTCTCCTAATTGTCAATCATTCTGCTGATGTGTTTACGTAAGGCTGTCCTACGCACTCGTCCCCATTTTCACCTAACCAGCTGAGAAATACCTCCCCCCTCGCACACTGATGAGAAAACGCATTGATTTTATGAGCAAAAATTGAGCTTTTAAACATATTTATAATGTTTTCATATTTCTTATGCATGGATGCTTTAAAATGTTGAGACTGGGTAGAAAGATATATTGGAATGAAAACTTGTTTGGAGACATGTTTTAGTCCACATGCTACAGTCAGTGTCCGAGGAATATATTCTCTGCTCAATGGATAGACTTAGACAAACTTTATTGTCATTTTTTACACAGAGTATTCAAAACAAAATTTTATGCAGGGATCAAATGTAAACAGTGTGGGAGAAAAAACATGGTCCATTGATACGGTCAGTTTGATGCAGAGTCTGTGACATGATGAAACTGTTTCAGAATCTGCTGAACCTGCAGTTAATGCTGTGAAGCCTCTTTCTAGAGGACAGTAGTGAGAACAGTCCATGGTGGGGGTGTGAGGGGTCATTGTTTATGTGATATAACATTTACCGCTTTTGCTATCAACACCATTCTATATCATTTCTAAAACACTAAGAATGTGTTTAAAGCCATAGAGAAGTCATAGTTAGATGTCAAATCATTCTGTCTTAAACATTTAAAAACAATGTACTTTTAAGACCATATTGTCCCAAAAGTGAGAAAATTTCTATTTAAAAAAAAATTCTGTCTTAAAATCTGTTTTTTTATTATTATTATTATTATTATTATTATTATTATTATTATTATTATTATTATTATTATTATTATTATTATTATCTTATACAGGCCAGTTAGTTATATGTCAGCCTAATAACCTAAATTCGGCCAATCATATATCAACGGTCATCTGTCAATCAAATGTTTTCGTTCATAGCATCTTGATTCATATGTCACAGCTAATATACGCAAGGGTTGAAATAAGAATCATTTCCTTCCCCGTTGAGTTCCGTCCCAGTGTTCATGGGGATGGACGTCTGTTTCTCCGGCAGGCGTAGAGCTAACAGAACTGGCAGCGTTGCGAGGCAAGGGCTCAAACATGTACGGCTGGAAGCCTTCTACACCAAACCAAGCTTCTGCCGCCCTGGCATCCTCTTCCACAACAACTTCATCCCCGCTTTCCTCCTCTAAATAAAAAATGGATGACGGAGGAGACTCTTTTCAAGTGTTTTCAAAAATTTTGTGAAAATTCTCCACTACACCTTTAATGTAAGATGTTCCAGATGATGGTATCACTGCTGCCACCATCAGGCTTTGCAGAGAACTGCTTGTTCCAGTGTTATCGGATCACATCCCAGATTGAACAACAAACCACCTGGTGTGAGTGGCCAGGGATTGCCGTCTAGATCCACCCATGAGTCTGTGAATATCTGGTCTGTTTGGGATTTACTGGTACTCAAGCAAGAGCAGCACTACTTCATCATATTTCAGCTGAAATTGGAGTAAAAAAAAAGAAGCTTTTTGTGAAAAATAGGTCTGTGTTAAAAATTAAAATGTTCAAATCTGAATCAATTGTCATTAATTGCTAAAGATAATTTCATAAAAGCAAAGGCTGCGTTCTTACATCGACCATTTGGACCTTTTGGATGTTAATATAATACTAATTGGAATATGCTGCATAAATACAGAATCCTCTAATTTAGGTAAGATCTTGAAAATGTTTTTTATACCAGTTTAATTATAGGTCATTACAGAAAAAATCGATTCCAAAGCTTGAGAGCTTTGAAAGGACGATGAAAACCCAGTTTTTAACATCTGTTATTGGACTAAAGTGGGAGAAAATCAGAACGACTAAAAACAGCCCAATTTTCAACAATTAATTCTGGATTAAATCAAGACTACAATGGACCGACCAATTTTAGCCTATAGGGGAAATCATTTATTTATTGATTTTTGTCCAGAGAAGGAAAATGGACGAATAATAACACAGTACAGGGCAGTGCTAAAATTAATGAAAGAAGCATGATGTTAAAATAAAGGGAATATGCAAAGAATAACTAAGCTTAACCACTGATGAAGGGCTTTTTTTAGAAGCTATAGCAGCTCTAATTTGAAGCATTCAGCTGGTTGAGAAGTCCTAATGAAGGCACACCTCCAAATATAGATGGATCATCATCATACCTCAATAAAACATAACGGGAAGCAAAAATGCAGTTTTAGTGTTATCTCTTTACATATGCACTACATGGATTACAACAACCTAGACTGCAGGTGCCCATCTCTTTGGCAGTCTATGGGTGAAAGGCAGGTCAACCTGGACAGGTCGCCAGTCTGTTGCAGGACAACACAGAGACATTCACTAAGCACACATTCACACCTAAAGACAATTTAGAGATGCCTGTTAAACTCACACTAATGTTTTTGGACTGTGGACGGAAGCCAGAGTACCCTGAGATAACGCACACATGCACTGGAAGAACATGCACACTGCATGCAAGAAGACCCTGGGTCGGGAATCGAACCTACAACCTTACTGCTGCAAGACAACAGTGCTGCACACCGGGCCAACGTGCGGCCTGTGTAAATATGGTTTTATAGCTAATTTAAAAGTTCCTGCAAAGACAAAAATGAGACTAAAACCACAAAAATTAAACGAAAAAACAGAAATGAGACGCAAAACAAAAATTAGGATAATGAAAAAATTAGATCCTTAAAGGCTTATAGGAGTAGCTGCAGTAAAAGGTGGAAATACAAGGTTCTGATTAGTGTTGCACTGACACCGATACCAGGGGCTCCGATTCAGCAGAGTATCAACAAATGAGGCACTGATACCATTTTGAGAGCCAAAAGTTTATTCAACTATTGTCACCCATTCCAGGTAGACAATAAAAAGTTTTACTGGATTCACTTTGTATTAGTCTTTTTCCTGCTTCACAAAGGATGTCAGCAGCTTGACAAAGCCATGACGGCAATTATTTTACATCGGCCAGTACTGCACAACCAGGTATATTTTTGGCCCCGATGCCGATAGCCGACACTAGTTCTGATGTTCTTGTTTCTGTTATTTCCAGAAATCCTCCATTATCCAGTTAACATTTTATGTCCTAACTTGTGTTAAAAGTAATATTCACTGACGGCTGTGTTTTTTCACACAGTATGTTGAAAGGTTAACAGGCACTGGATGCATCCCAAAGCAGAAGCTGGCTCTTCTAAAGTTTGTTCCTGTTCATTGTTGGAGATCAGGAACTATTAAGTATTTAAAAATCCCTATATTATGAAAGCTTGTCAGAGACAGTTGAGCATTTTTCTCCTCACCTTTCTGCGTCATATGATCTCAATATCCTTGTTTTTATCCATAACTCATCTAATAATGCTGGACACCTTGGTTTGGTTATTAACAGGGACGCAACAGCGACTGCTTTAGCCTTTAGTTGCAAAACCCCCTTTATGCAACGCAAAATGTTTTTCCTTCAGTTATTTACTGTCACAGGTAGGAGCTTCGGAGAATCAGTGTTGGGGCCGGTATGATTTACGGAGGGCCAGCCCTCGCATGCTAAAATTAGGACTGGCCCAGCGGGCAAATGCCCGATATCACAGATTATCAGTCCGAGCCTGGCAATAGAGGTTTGAGGGGAGTGCTGGCCTAGTGGTTAGAGCAGAGCACTTGTGTTCTGCGAAGGTTGCAAGTATCCAGTTCAGTCCTCACAGCCTCCACTCTTAGCCTGACGTAGTCCTACTCAATTCTAGTCAGAATATGAGTCTGATACTGCTCCATAGAGCTGTGATTATGGGGCGTGTTTCGAACGAACAAGGGAAAAAAATGCCTCTGCACTCAGTTGGATAGACCTACAACCAATAAGAGCAACGGAGTGCGTGACGTATGTTAAAGCGATTCATAGTTGTTGTCAAGAAAAATCAAAGCGTGCAGTTGCACGCCTAGAATAAGAAGATGAGCGTGAACGATTTTTGCCGGTGTTGCAAAAAAATTAATTTGCTGTCGATATCTTCTAGAACAGACCTAATAGCAGAATCTACTCACCTCAACTCTCCAGCGGCAGCCATTGTTGTTGTCACCCAAGCGCGCTTTGGTCACGTGGTTGATTACGTTACTGTTGATCATCTGTCCATCATCGTATAAAGCCCGCCCTGACAATTTGATTGTCCCGCCAGATATTTGGCGAGCATACTCGCGCTACTGTTGAGCAATGCCAGACCGAACTTCCCGACCTCAAACGTTGTGGGCGGGGCTAAGTTCGGAATGGCACCCAGGCTACTCCACTCTGGGTACCTTAGCAAAACCCTTGAGGCTGATTTATGCTCAGAAACCTCAAAAACCCCCGCCCCTGCCTCACATACTAAAAACGGGCACCGCTGATATGCCAATTATTTATGTGGTTATCGAACTTGATCTAATTAAATAAATAAAAATAAATAAAAAATAATTTTTGGGTATTTGGAAATGATGGATGAATGTTCACACAGACTGTTTAATCAGAAACGTAAATTGTTCTGTTGTTGCTCATTAATTTTGCTTTTTTTTAATGCAGGTTGTCCGTCACATTCCTTTAAAGGATCTGTGCTTCCTTTGGGCTTAACTTTACCACCGACTCCAGTAGGAATGTCCTACTGGGCTGTCGGAGTTTCCCAAGAAACTGGAGAGCCTCCCAACAACATGGAGCAAACTAACAGTGAGTCATTTTCCATTCTTTCACTATTCTCTCTAAATTTAGCCGTATGTTTGGCCAAAGTAGGAAAGCTTTATGCCTGACTGCCAGACTGCAATGAAAAACATCCATCAAGTACGTCCAGAAATAAGGCAACTCTAAAGTGAAATGTTTCTGTGTGCAGAGCGACTATAGAACTGGTTAAATTTAGCACAAGCAGAAGTGAAACCATCAGAGTGAGAATCCTGAACGGTGAGCCTGTTTTAAGCCCTAAACTGAGCACTGAAAGCATTCGGTTGTTTACCATCAAACAGACTGAATATCATTGAAAAACTGATTTTAAACTGATTAATTAGATGGTTTTGTACCACACCAATTGATTTATTTGAATCATTTGTAATGGTTATGGTCTACTCTACAGCTTCAATTCTGCGGGTCATTAAAAATCATAAAAATTATAATTTTTTTAGTTAAGGTTTTCATTGGCATAAAAAAATCATTAAATGTGATTTTCTTGGCAATTAAAATGCTTTATTTAAAAAAAAATGCATTTATAATTTTTTTTTTTTGTCAGATTTATCAGATATCACTGATTCTGCGTGTTTGCGCGGAACTGCTTCCGGTTTATCGTAAAGCTGTGTGTTCTGAAAAGACGCTCGAGACGGAGAAAAAGCTAGAGACTGGGAAAATTTCAACAAAAGTGGCTGGAAGCATGGCTGCTGCCTGTAGAAGGCAAAGATTCTGAAGGATTCCGCAGTGTTTTATATATATATATATATATATATATATATATATATATATATATATATATATATATGAGGGTCATGGGTACTTCTTGATGGCATTAAAAAATGTTTTAACCCTTTATAGGGCACTTAGTGAAATACTTTGAAAATCAATATTTCAAGCCAATAGTTTTATTGTAGCATTCAAATAATCTGGATATTTTGATGGAAAAAATGAATGTCAGTGTAATAAAAAGAAACGCCAACTTGGCCGAATATATTAAGAAAAATAACAAATGTGTTTTTATAAGAAATTCATGAAAAGCACTGAGAGAGAAAAAAACACTTTTTTTTTTTTGGTCCAACATAACCTTAGAGGCATTAAAGCTGAAATCTGTAAGTTTTTAAAAATCACTTTTTTGTCATATTGGCTAAAACTGTCCCTATTCCCAGACAGCAGTACATGTTATATGTAACCTGTGAAAAAAACTGCTTCAATTGGTCCCGCCTACTGCCTGTATTTCAATCTGGAAAGAATAATTCAGGACGAGTCAAAACAACCAATCACAGCCAGAGGAGCGTCTGATGGAGTGTCAATCACAGCTCACACACGCTGAATCCCGCCCTCCCCCCCCTCTCACCGCTTAAAGGCACACTATGCAACATTTTTAAGTTAATTAATGTGTTCCATAACGTTATGGATGATTAAATGAGTCATTTCAGGTTGAACAAAGGTATTCTCGGCCGCCCTGGTGGTCTGTGGGGGAAATACTGCACTTGCAACTGCAGGAGCACCAACCCGCACCCACAGGCTCAGAAGTCTCGTGAGTCAGTCTTGCTTTACGGCGAGAACTGCTACACCCCCCAGTTAAAAGCATTCTCGTTGCTAGCACAGTGGCGATCTTTGTGCAGTTATGCTACGTTCACATCGGACGCAGCAAAATCGGGTCTGCTGCTTCATTTTTGCTGCTTGTACCAGTTAGTTCTGACGCGCTGCTGAAGCAGCTTTGCTGCTCTGCCTGCGCGGTGCAAAAGTGTGTCTGACGCGCTTTGGGCGGAGCTTCACTATCCTTTCTCTGCCTTGCAGCTATATTTGCTGTGATCAGTGGGAATAAAGTAGTTTTAATATGTGTTTAAGTGAGAAAATACACCTGAAAACGTAATCAGTGCCGTCAGTTCATTCAGATTATTATCCTGCCTTCAATATTTTTTCTGTCGGAGCCGCTCAGACCCCCACATACCAGCGGTGCGCCGACAGTAGGGATCCCTTCATCAGCAGCCTCTGGCCTAGTCGCCTCCTCGCGGTTCACCACGGCAGCTGGTAGGTGCTTTTCATCTAAATAATCCAAACTGCGTATTCTGCCGGCAGATTTCTGCATTTTAAGTTAATTTAGACGTCAATAAACTGTTTAAGAGGAGTGATCATCAGCGCTGTGTCTCTCTCCCTGCGTCAGATGCTTAAACGCGCCCGACGCGCTGCTTCAGCTGCTCAGACGTGCTGGGCCTGCTGCTCAAAACGCGCCGCGGGACCTTTTGCTGTGCCTTGACGTTACGTTGCAAGTAAACTCGCTGCTTCTGTCGCGCCAGCTGCGGGACCAGGAGAACAGCTGTGCATATTTACGACAGTGCACTTTTACTTTCGCCCTCTGGGGGGAGCCTCGCTGGAAAATCAACACCGGTTGCATAGTGTACCTTTAACCTGCCGCTGCCGCCCGGCTGCCGCAGTCAGGAGGACGCGCGTGGAAGTCATGGCGGAGCGACAGCCACCAGCGAAAGACAAACTGCCCTTACTGCCCCTGCCGACAACTGCTTACACGGCAAACTTCGGTATAACCAGCATCTTATATCTAGCTGCTTGGAGGTGAATGTTATCGCTCTTACCGGTTCACACTCCATGCCGCGTACGCTGCTTGGACGCTTCTGGTCGCATGCGGTAGCCGCGCAGATGCTGTGAGACGGGTGGAGCTTGGAGGTGGGGCATGAGTGAAGCAGAGAGGGTGGGGGAGTGGCGTGAAACTTGTTTTTCTTCAAATTTTCAGTCGAAGTCTGCTCTCTTCTCAATGTTACAGACTGCAGCTTTAATGTTGATACTGGCACTGACATTTTTTTAGATTATAAACCTAAATATAATTGTTAACGAGGCTTATTAACTTTTTAACTTTACTTTTTAACTTTTCAATGAGCTTTTTACCTTTTTTTCTTGACTTAACTCTTTTTTCAACTTAATTTCCAGTAGGTAATATATCAATCAAGGGCTCATCTTATTGGTCAAATGCCAAAATCAGATGTACAGCCATGTAGCAGGATCTTTGCTGAATGGCTGGATATAGATCTAGTTCTTCTAGACCTCACTGAGGGACGGGGGGGGGACTTCATTTGTAAAGGGATGCAAGTGATCAAAAATGGTAACTTGCCCTATAAAGGGTTAAGAGCATTAAAAGAGCATTAAAAAGCATTTGATTCCTGTATAAGCCCTGCAAAAATATTGTTCCTCAAGAAAGCTTCATATGACAAAACCAATATTTTTTTATTTATTTAACTTTATTTAACCAGGAAAAAATCCCACTGAGATTAAAAACCTCTTTCAAGGGAGTCGTGGCTAAGAGGCAGCAAAGTTACATACTGAACAGAAATACATTTAATTAAATGACAGGTACATAAAAAAAAAGAAACATATAAAAAAACAATAACAGATAAGTGAAGTTTTAACTTAAAACCAATTAAGTATAAAAACTCTCTTTGTAAAAGAAAAATTCATGTAAAAGTAGCTGCGTAGACCAAGGCCTTCTTCCCCAGCTCTGTGCGAGCAGAAGGATCAGCTAGCAACAGCTGATCATTGGATCTCGGCATGAGAAGCCATGTTTTTCTATTTAACTTAGGTACAAATATAAGAGGACAGCAATCCAAGGATTCCTTATCAATAAAAGTGCACCAATGACGGTGCCTCCTCATAGAGAGTGAAATGTCATTGTTCTACAGTTGGGATGAACCTCAGTGAAGCATGGTAAACATTTGAAGACATGAAGAAGAAGCGTTTTTATAAAACAGGTCACCATAATCTAAGACAGATTAAAAATGTGACAGACATGAGGCGCTTTTTTACTCCCAAATAAAAACATGTATTATTACAAAAGATGAAATCCAATTTAATTTGAATTTGTTCAGAAGTTTGTCAAATTCAGGTCAGTCCTGGGATAGTCGTAGGATTTAGGACTATCTGACGGACGTTCCTGGTTGATCTGTGTGTCAAAAGTGTAACTTATTCATAATTTCAATCATTCACAAAATATCACCACACTAAGGGCAGTTGGGACTAGGCCTGGATGATAAATCCATATTTATTTATTTAATTCATTGTAATTTTATAAATATGTATTTTTTGAAGATCTAGATTTTCTAAAAGTAGTATTAACACAGTTGTAATTGGTTTGTTAAACAAAAGCTTACTATTTAATGGTGTAAAACCATGAGCTGCATCATGTCATGATTTTGAAGTTTCACAGTTTTCTGTTTAGTTGCATTCTACATTCAGGTCAGGTCCCAGAATAAAAATGTTTGACATAAAAGCTAATGTTTACTTTTATTTTAAGTTATTTCAGTCATTTGTTCTTTTTTTATTATTATTATTATGGCACTAAATTGGATTTGGTTTGAAAAAAATCATTTTTTTTTATTTTAACTGATCTTGCTGAGCCCTAATGCAGACTGAACGGTGGTGCAGTTGTTTCAAATCTTTAATCTTCATGGAGTTTGCATGTTCTGCTCATGCATGTCTTTACCACTGCAGGTTTTTCAGCTTCCTCCACATTTTCTTAACTATCTTTAGTATGTGACTGTATGGCTGTTTGTCATCCTTTATCTCAATATGTTGGCCTAAGATGGACTGACATCATCCAAGTTCTTTCGAGTTAGACCCACTCCCCGGTGTAAATTGTAGTAGCATCAGTTTAGCATTTTGTCCCATTATGCACAGCCAGCGACGTAACATTAAAAATCACACAATAAACCAACATAAGATTAGGTTTTTACTTAAGTCTTTATTATTTCCACAGGCAGGTTTACCACAATAGTAGAGGCTTTTAGTGGCCCCATCTGGCTCCTCCCAGCCAGTAAGTGACTTGTGCTGACATGCAATCACCTGCTCGTTCCGTACTGTTTGTTAGCCGGTAGCTGGGTACACTCATTTTATTGCTACTACTTTGGTTAGCAGTTCCAAACATTTAGGTTGGTGGTTAGGGCATAGGGCTTGAAATCCTTAGGTTGTGAGTTCAAAGCCCACTCCCACAGACTGCAACTCCAACAGGCTCAGACTTGGAACGATTTTCGGCCCTGGTATTTTCCCATCTGCACCAGCCCTACTTATGGACAGCCCCCCTTAAAAAAAAAATAAAAAAATAGAAGCACAGTCAAACGCATGCGTCTTAAATGTGAAACACAATACGAATACACATTGTGGATTAACGGATCTATCTTCAAGCATCACACGAAAACCATCACCAAGGCTTCTAAAATGCGGTCTTACTTTGGTTATTATGAACACGGACGCAACAGTGACTGCTGCTGCGTAACATCCACACATGCACGAAGCCAGCCAGACACCCACTCACACATACAGCGCCGTCACTGACTCCCGTTTTCCAGCCCACAAAATTTTCATAAAGTGTAAACGCTACGCCTATGAGAAAAAGGAGCAGCGCATGAACCGAACACAACACATGCCAATTGAACCGCGACAATCGAACCGAACGGTTCGGACGGTTTTCATAAACCGTTCCATCCCTATTAAAGATATATTGACGTAGCTGCTGGTTAAAATTCACTGAGTGCTGCTGTGTCTCTCCTCCTCCACGTAGCGATTCTGTACGCAGTGAATAGCGACCCCAGACAATATTATGTCTCAAAGCAACAGATCCGATGATATTTCACAGAGAGGAGAGACTCGAGAGCAGCAGGAGTGCAAGGAAAAAATACGGACTGGAAACGCTCTGAACACAGACAGCTGCACCCAACCCCAGTTACTGTTGGCTAAAGTAAATCAGCGGAAATTATTGGTGGGGGCTGTCCCCTCCATACCCAAAGTTGTAGGGGACATGTCCACACCAGTCCTTCAGAAAGTTACGCCAGTGATTTTGACCTTTCAAAATTTATAAAACAATTACTTATGTAGTATATATGTTTGAGTAAAATGAATCATCCACCACTCTACACATTCTCTGAATGTATGGTTATTAAAATATTTATCATTTTGATTTAGAAATAATTAAAGTATTCAGTGTAGAGTTTGTAGAGCAGAGTTCAGTCTCTCTTTTGTTGCCGTTGGTTTAGGTATTAACGGTTGAGTGTTGTTTCATGCAAATGGATCATAAATCAGACACATTAAACAGCAAAGTCCATCACATACAAATCTAATATCAGAGGCAGGTGGTGATAAGAGCTGAGTCATCTGATTATACAGCAGAAAGGTGATCAATCCAATTACAGCTCCCGCCCAGACAGAAGTCTGCTAATGATTTACTAACATGCATGCTTGGAGTGAGAGATTGCTGAAGAGCGAACAACACAATGCAAGCGAATGTCTTCTGTCTCTGCATGGTCATCCAGGAGGAGTGCGTCACTGGGTGCAATCAGCTGGCTTTGAACCAATCTGACTATATGAACTGGCTGAAAATGCCTTAAAAAGGCATGTTGTGAATTGGCACTGAATGCCAATAGACTGAATGGAATTAAATTAATTGGACTGAAGCAACTTCCTCATCATCAGCTTTTCCATGTGTAAGGATAAGACTGGTGCTGCACTGGAGATCTGTGCATCTAATAGGAGCAAAACAGATTCACTCCCGCAGGTATTCTCAGATAACATCAGCACAGCAGTCTGACCATTCTGACCTTTCTGCATTACTCACAATCTACTGCTGGTAAGCATGATTGATCTGTTCAGACATAAAATACAGTGAGGAAAATAAGTATTTGTCACACTGCTAGAAATCATGGAGGGGTCTGAAATTGTCATCGTAGGTGCATCTGCTTCTCTAATTCTCCTTTGGTGTGTGTCGATGGTTTTTTTTATCCTGTTTGTCTCTGTGTTGCCCTGCGATGGCAACCATGTACCCCGCCTCTCGCCCGTAGATGGCTGGAAATAGGCACCAGCAGCCCTTGTAACCCCGCTTGGGATAAAGAGTGTCAGAAAATGGATGTATATGTATGTGTGTGTGTATTTATATATATATATATATATATATATATATATATATATATATATATATATATATATATATATATATATATATATCTAGTCCATCTATGTCTTGTTCCAGTAGCCAATTTGTCATCAAGTTGCCCTGGTTCCCTAGCAACTGACGCGGTATTTGTATGTTTGAACTAGATCAAACATACAAATTGAAGGCTTAATGTTCAGCTGGATGAAAGCAGTCCAAACTAGGATCGGATTTTATTGTTACCTCAGATGCTGCCTCACCTTCAAGCGATAAACCAATCATATTTAGACGGGTACCAATTAATTTATTTTTAGATAGAATCAATCTTATTTATAAATAATCCCATAAAATGATTACTGCTTAGAGCAGGGGGGAATGGATGGATGTAATAAAAAAGGTTTCTAGGATTATTCTTATTCTCCATTAATGAGGAGAAATATCATTTTATACTGCACTAGATTTTTTTCAGACTGAGTAGGATTTCTTTAGGCATGTAGAGTGTCTTTTTCTCTGGATTTTTCAAGCATTTTCCTTTAAGGTTCACAGATCTGTGTCAAACTAAGGAGCCAATCTCCTATTGTTAAATTTCTTTCTTTTTTATAAAGTGCCCACCTTGTCCAAGGCACTACACAGAGACCTGGTGACCTATTAACAAAATCATCAATTTGTAAAGGGAAATAAATCGATGTTTGCGCTGGTCAGAGAGGACCGGGTCGTTAGGAAATACTGTTCTTCCTTAACATTTAATACCATATGTTAGCACAAGATCCAAAGTAGGAAGATGAGAATGTGTGGGACTATTCACATTTTGAACAAAGCTAATTGAATAAAAGATAGCATTAATGGCTGCATTAAAGCTTTCACCTTCAATGTCAGCTTGGATGTTAAAATCCCGCACTATGATGACCTTGTTAGTATTTAACGCTTAATAACATATGTAGGAACTCTGAAAACTCATCTAAAAATTCAGAGTAAGGACCTGGTGGACAATACAAAGTTACAATAACAAGAGGTTTTGTCGTTTTAAAATTTGGATGAGAGAAACTAATAGTTAAATCTTCAAAAGAGTTTTAATTATTTACTGCCTTTGTAGTAATTAGTAAGTCAGACTGAAAGATTTTTGCTACTCCTCCTCACCCAGAACTTCTGGGTATGTGAAAATTTAAATAAGGAGTGAAAATTGAAGAAGTTGCCTCATTTATGCTCACATAAACCTCTAGATGCAGCCAAGTTTCTGCCACATAAATCAATGTGATTATCACAAATCAAGTCATTAACTGACTTTTTTCAAGAAATAGGAGTTATTTTTATTTTGGTTAAATTATCATAATTTACTACTGTTTTTGTCATTTATTTGATTTTGTTGTGGGCAAGACAATATCTGGATGGAATAACGGCAGAGAAGCTTCAGAGAAGTGTTTTACAATATGACTCTGCTTCCTGGTGTGAACCCTAGGCTGTCAGGGTTTTGAAGAACTTATAAATTTGGCCAGATTCCTAAAAAGAAGAGCTGCACCATCCAAAGTGAGATGGATGCCGTCACTTCGAATCAGAGCAGATTTTCCCAAAAATAATATATACTTCAGCTGAGAAATGGCCTCTGCACAGCTTTACATTTTTCCGATTCAAGACACACAAAAACAAGGGTGAACATTGGTCTAGCTTTAGAGCATTTGTGCCAACATTAGGAAGAAACTACTTTGGTTCAGTGTGTCCCTGATTTGACATCACAGACTCCAGTAAATTGGTTCTGATCAGTCGGGCCATTTGAGGTTCACTTTGAAACCCTCAATCCAACGGACATACTCTTTTTTGTTGCACATGTGGACAATAGTCTTGTGTGCAACCTTTATAGAGTGTTCTGTTTTCAGATTGGGTAAACCAACTATTTTCACCGTCCCTTTTTCTCTTACAATTATTTATTTTTTCACATTTTCTATCAGGCACAGGGGGGGAAACAGAGGCCAAGGTGTCCCTTGTGGAGGCCCCCGGTCCCGACTCCGAAATAACTCCCAGTCTTGAGAACATCAAGGCAGCTTATGAAGGTGGTGATAAGGAAGCAGCCAGGGAGCTGATTCAGCAGGCCTGTTGCGTGGACTGTTCAGGGGGGATCCATCCCGATGGGGTGAGTGATGAAGTAATTTATTTTTAAAAGAGGTCAATGACATTTAATTATTTAATTTATATTTTTAAATGTTTTTTTTATCATATTAATTGGGCATTTACTCATGTTCTTGTGTATTTTACTAAATAAACAATAACATGATTAAATGCAACATTAATATGTATATGCTTCATGTAATATTTTAACCTTCCCTCTATCTTAGGGATTCAGCATAATACATACATAAAAATGGAGGTATATGTACATAATACATATATATATATATATATATATACATACCTCCATTTTTACAACAAAGGCTGGAAGTTGGTCTGAACAAAGAAGTTGGGTTTAGGTTTTTCATCCACTCGTGTTAGGAGTAGCCATAGCCCTCAGGAAATGGGGAGAAACTTATGGAAGAAATTTTGTTAAATTATTGTTACGTTTTAAGGAAATTTCATTAAAGATATAATACAGAAAAAAACTTGATAAATGTTTCAATCCAAAAAAATTTAAAGAGTAACTTTGATGTTTTCTCAAATTATACAATATATGAATGCATAGTTTATAAAATTTTACGAATAGCATTCAGCGTTTCCAAGATCACATTCTCTTCACTTCATTCCCAATACAAATGGTCACTTTAAATTTTAAACCAATAAAAAGGTTACTACTAACTATAGAAGAGGATTAGAGCCACTGAAAAAATAAAAAAAAAGTTAACTGATTTTTAAATATTATTTCAGTTTAATATGGGAAAAAGTTAGAAATCTAGCTTTCATCTAAGAGTTCTGACTTTTTTCTCAGAATTAAGACTTTTTTCTCAGAATTAGGACTTTTTTTCTCAGAATTCTGACTGAATTCTGACAGCTAACAAACATGTTAGCATAAATCCCTTGCCATGTCTGTTTTAGAGACTAGCTCTCTTGTTTTAATCACCTTCTGCTCTTCCAATAATGTAATAGCATCACCGGCCATTCAGTGGCCCTAATCCTCTTCTGTAACTAACGTGCCAGCAGACCAACAACAATGCGTCTTTGCTCCTTACTCCATATACTGTAAGAGATGTGATCTGTGAAATACAATTTTCAAAAATAGAAACTCGTTAAGCTCAATTTAAAAAATTGAAATTTGAAAAAAGAAATTATTAAAGAAAATACAAACAAATTAATACTATTGATTATGTATAAAACAAAATCTGACGGCAATTAGAAATAAAAAAAATTAAATGTTGAAGAAAAATATAAAAAAAAATCTTAGTAAACGGCAAAGTTACTCTCAAAACCTGTTTTTTAATCCAAATCTTTAGCAATTGTCTTTGTTTAAACATTTCTACAAACAGCAGTCAGGAGTATTTTATGTTTTTAAAAAAAGCCAGAATTTGGAGTATAACCCCGAATTCTGCTCCCCCTGTTTTCCCTTCACTCTGCTCACATCTTTCCAACAGAGCAGTTATGTTGTTGTGCTGATTAATGACAGTTTCCCTGACTTCTCCGAACGTCATGATCTACAAACAAACTCTCCATCCTTCACCATCATAATTCAAAACTTCAGTTTTTTGTTCTGCTCCGCCTGCACCTGTCACTCTTGCTCTCTTGGGAATTCAAAGAACAGATCTTGATGTTATTACCGCATATGCCATTGGCGATGCTTTTCACAGACCGACAGAGGCGGTCTGCACAGATATGATGCAGACAGGAGAGGAAGATTTGGAAGCTGTCCATGTATTAAAACTTTGAATTTCCTAAAGTTTAGAAATAAAAGAATTGAAAGAACAAGATTGAAAGTTGACCAACCCCCAGTGTGCACATCAGGTATGTACCGGTATTTTAAAACTGGCAGTAAATTTCCTCTCCAGAAATCAAATCACACCTATTGTGAACCCCTCATTTGGTGTTTCACAGCCTCCCTCAGGGGGTCCAGACCCCCACTTTGGGAGCCCCTGCCTATTGTTAAATTTAGTTTTTTTTTGTAAAGTGGCCACATTCTCCAAGGCAGTACGCAGAGACCTAGTGACCTATCAACAAAATCATCAATTTGTGAATGGGAACTAAATTAATGTTTGCACTCTGCCATATTTTTCAGTGATACAGAGGAGAGAGAAAATCAAACAGATTGTTTTAAAATGTATAACTGCGATATCTGTAAATTATTTGCTGAAGTGGTCAGAGAGGACAGTGTTTTGAGGAAATACTGTTATTTCTTCACATTCAATGCCATATGTCAACACAAGGTCCAAAGTATGAAGATGAGAATGTGTGGGACTATTTACATTTTTAACAAAGCCAATCAAGTCTAAGATAGACTGCTCTGGCTCTGCTTTACCAAAAACAGCTTTGATTATATGATCTGGCTGAAGAACAGTATTGCTCCATGCTTTGGGGATTGCTGTGGTTCTTGGTTTTGCTTCTCTTTTTCACAGATAATGATAAAGAAATGTGCTTTAAAACAGTCAGTTTTGATCGTTTTGAACCTGTGGGAGCTTAAATGTGATGAAGTGAATTATTTTGTTATTAAATTCAGACACACATGTAGAATGAAGAAATAGTAGTTATTTATTTCTCCTCTTTAGTAGTGAAGATTGCAGACGGCATTTGCAGATGATGCTGTTAACACCTCCCTCTGTGAGGCCAACGGAGAGCTGCAGGGAGGAGGCTCATATGGTTTCTTTATCCTATTTGTGAGAAAACCAAATGATTGGCAAACACAAGAAACTTCAGGGGCTGTGTGCAGATAAGGAAATGCATGTCAGTGATGCCTCTGCGTGTTATTTTGAGTGACTGCGGCTGACACTAGGAGCTCAGCTCAAACATGACACTTCTGCTTATCTGATGCCCCATCACATCTTTCTTTTATTGATCTACATGTGTTCTTTTAACCTGACAACAGCCAGATGCATGTCTCGCTCCGCCTAGCTCCACTCACATACATCTGGGAACCCGCCATAGGAATTGCCTTTACTGAAGGCTGGGCCTTATCAAAACTCCTTGCATATGATTGGATAAGCCACTTGTCTGTCATCTTTATTGACGTGCTATTTCAACCACTCACACCGAAGCTAACCCGTGACGCTGTGAGAGGAGGAGCCATTTGGTAGATCAAGCTCTTGCCAAATCCGGTCGGGAGAAGGGCAAAAACATCGTTTCCACCAACAAAAGCCTTCAAAGCTGTTCTCTGATGTTCTTTTAATGAAACAATATCAGATAGATTGGACAACACAGAAGAAATAGCAGCATCGATGCTAACGCTTGCTTCCTCAATGCGAGCCGCCATTGTTGTTGGAATCTCACGGTCGCTTCTCCACTCCAGGAAACACCCACCCTGCGTCCTGATTGGACAGACCATAAATTCGGTTGGGGAAATCACTTTCAATGAGCGGGTTCCCAGATGTATGTGAGTGGAGCTAGGCGGAGCGAGACATGCATCTGGCTGTTGTCAGGTTAGTGTTCTTTAGGCCTAATGAGTAAATTAAAAGATAGGGTCTGGTGTTCAGGGGGGAAACCAAAGATATTAGGTCCCTATCCACCTTGGTACATACCTACAGACCTGTGTCCGCTATGTAAAAAGTGGAAGGGGACTGCCAGAGATGACAAGGAAGGCAGAAGCTCCCCATACATCTCCAAACATTTTTCAGGTGTATACTATGAACTTTAAGCCACGCCCCCTTTTGTTCTCAACTGAGAAATTAGATTGGTATCTTTGCCACCACTGGTTTTAGCCTCAATGTTTACATCTGTCAGGGTTCATGCTACATGTAATTGATTGTTGTGCACTGCTTCTTCATCTTTATCTTCAGAACAGTTAAAATAAATAGCAATGTAAAGCATATAATAAAGCATACTGTCTATTTGTATAGTTATTTTCCATTGTTTTTAATTGTCATTACACTGTCACAGGCACAGAGCAATGAAATGAACTCTCTGTATTTAACCCATCCCCTTAGGGAGCAGTACGCTGCCATTGTGGGCCGCCCGGGGAGCAGTGTGGGGTTAAGGGTCTTGGTCAGTGACCCATCGGCAGTCCGTTGGAGTGGGGCATGAACTCAGAACCTCAGGGATCCAAGCTCTATGCCCTGACCACTAGGCCGCCACTCCCCCAAAGCAGGCATTAGCGTGAAGGGTCTTGCATAAGGGCCCACATTGGCAGCTTAATCCCCCCAGCTGGGATACGAACCTAGGCTTCCTCTTTGCAGGATGGGTCACTAAACATATTCTAATCATAATCAGAGTTCAAAATGAATTTTTATATCATGAAATGTCAAAATTTACTTTTAAAAACAAAAGCCTTCGGCTCTCGTTTGCCATGAAGCTGGCGAGCTCATGACACCAGATGATGCTACAGTGGCTATGCTAGTGTTGTGAAGGAAAACTGGAGAAGGCGGTCCAGTGATGATAACTGACTTTGTCACTCAGGCATTCAAAATGGCCCTTCCCAGACAAACACCAGCCAACTGGCAGCCCGCTTCCCTGCAGCTTCCAGCAAAATCCTCTCCAACTTCCAGCCACTGGCCTTCTCCTGGGCGTGCATCATTTTTTAGTCTGACTCCAACCTTTCACTGAATTACAGGGCCTGACCAGGAGATGGTGCTTCTATTTAGATCGTAATGTCCACAAATCATGACAAAAAGAATATTTTAGTAAAAAGATTGATGTTTAAAAAGGAATATACGAACCTACTAGCACTAAGTTGCTAACTGGTTAGCAAGATGCTTCTGAGACACCGGCCACAATCATACTTGCTTGTGAACCTTTTGCCAAAACAACCCCACCCTCTTGATAAACGACCAGTCACAGGCGTGCACCACCAGAATTTGGAAATGCAACGGTTGGAACGGCCGTTTCCCTTTGACTTTAAAAGTGTATACCAGCCCTTGACGCCCCACCATGGTTTGTATGCTTGTAAATTTGAATAATGCTGTGAACAACCCCTTAGTGAAGCCTGAAAAATGTCAGCTTTAAGTATGAAATAAAAAATGTCAATAATTTTATTAAACATTTTTATTTGAACTGGAAGTTCTCAATTGATTATCAAACTAAAAAAAGGCCACATGTTTCTTTTTCATTGTATGTCCTCCTCCAGGTCCGTCTGCTGTCTCTGGCCACCCAGCACTCTGATATAGTGAGTGTGTGCTACCTCCTGAAAGAGGCCCGTATCCCTGTTCCTCAGGAGCCGTCGCTCTGTAACCCGGCTGTCCTGGCGGCACATTGCGGTTTTTCCAACCTGCTCAAGGAACTGCTGGATTCCATACCTAGTAGGAGAATAAACTCTTCAACAATCGTCACTTTTTATTCAGCTATATCTGATTCAAATCACTTTCAAAATCAAGGTAATGATTTGGTGGCAAGGGTCTAAACTAGGGCTGCAACTAACGATTATTTAAAAAATCGATGAATCGGACGATTATTTTTTCGATTAATCGATGAATCGGACAAAAAATATTTTTTATATTAACCTCTTTATTCCAAAATAAAAATTTTAGACAGAATAAACAAGCACACAAGTACAGGTTGCTCATTAACTGTACTGGTGCAATATGAAAAAGAAATGTTTGTGTTAAAACTACGCAAACTTACATGAGAAATGTAGCTGTACATCCACAAAATATAGGGTACTTTGTTTCATAAAGCGCAGAAAAAGACATTTTTGTTTTTAAAAGCCCCAAAGGGGTTCAAACAATACCCCCCCCCCCCCCCCCCCCCCCCCCCCCCCCCCCCCCATTTCAACAAATGAGGTTTTTTAGAATAGAAGAGTTCTGCCTTTTAAGACAGGAAAGTATAGCAGTTAAAGTTGCTACTTGAGAAAATACTGAACCATAGAGATAAAAATAGCCCTGTGATTCAAATTATAAATTGTATTTGGAATAAAAATGAGAGAAATAGGGGTGCTAAAAAACACATCCTCCAAAGACAGATATTTACATGGGAATGTGGCATATAATTAATTGACATATTACTGATCTTGCTGGATTTTATTCTGCTTTACTTCCATAAATTGCAGGATCTTCTTTACTTTATCTTCGCCAGAAGATTTAAACTTTAAAAGCCTTGCCCTCATAATTTGCAAGTTAATTTATTTATAAAGTAAATGTAAACGCTGCTTAAGCTAATTCAAATGAAATTAAAAGTAAAATAAGTAGCCAACCTTATCACTGTCTGTAACCTACTAACAAGCTAAGGAAAGCATCAGATGAGCTACCTGAGAAACTAACCTAACGTTTCCCCACTTTAAAACCAAACAAACATGGTGGTTCCGTGCCATGTTAATTTCTTTTGAAAAAAGTTGCATGTTATCACTTTTTTCGCTTTACAAAGCGCAGGCTATTTTAATTATTGTGATCAATTTGCGCCGTCAATCCCGGTGCATGCGCGCTTCATTTGCAGTCTGGACGCTGAGGCTCCGACTGCAGCTGAGAGGGACCCCTGCGGGAGTGGGGGCAGGTGCCCCACGGCAGAGTAGGAACGATACATGCTTTCACGTAAGAGTCTCCAAAAGCCGCCAGTGACACCGAAAAAAGTCGCCAGATTTGTCGCTAGTCGCTTTTTTGAAAAATAGTCGCTGGAGGGGTCTGAAAAGTCGCTGAGTTGGCAACACTGCACCTGCAGCGCTGACTCGCTCTGCCATATTTTTTTTTCTTCCTCTTTCAGTCAAGAGGCAGTGATGACGGCGCGGCGGATGACGCAATAATCGCGCGACACAACTAATCGATGATGAAATTCGTTGCCAACGCTTTTAAAAGTCGATTTTTATCGATTTTATCGATTCGTTGTTGCAGCCCTAGTCTAAACAAATGAAATGGATTTGAAGCAGTCCTGTACATGATGCTACAGTTTTGTATCCTAGGGCCTGCAGAAGTATTCACTACCCTTTGGCATTTGTTATGCTTTGTCGCTTCACTACCTGGAAATAAAATGAGCGCTAAAGCTGGAAGTTACCAAACTAGAGCCTCTAGGGGCTAAGAGTTAGTGTTGCTTTTAGTGTTGCATTGGGAGGGGCCCCAATCCAGCACTAAAATGGTGGTATCGTTATCGGCGAGTACCAACAAATAGGGCACTGATTCCACTTTGAGAGCCAAAAGTTTATTCAACTATTGTCACCCATGTCACCCAAAATGTTCTACTGGATTCACTTTGTATTTGTCTTTTTCCTGCTTCACAAATGTAGGCAGCAGCTTGACAAAGCCATGATGGCAATTATTTTACATCCAATTAGTATGCAGATCTTCATATATACACACATGCACATCAATTTCAAACAGATGGTATCGGCCAATACTGCACAGCCAGGAATCGGGTATGGGTATCTGGGCCAAAAACACAAAAAAAACAACGGTGCAACACTAGTTCTCAGTTATAGTGTCATTGTGGATCCCTTTAAGTAATTGAATAGTAAATGTAATAGTCCTTTTTGTTTACCGGTTAGGTGTTTGCCTGAAAAGAGACCTAGTGAACTGCCTGCTCGCCACCGCCTGTCAGCAGGGTCACCTGGAGGTGGTCCGTCTGCTGGTCCACAGCTACGAGGCAGATGTGAAGGACTTTGCCCTCCATAGCAACGAGTTTGCTGTCCTTTGTGGGCTGCCGCTGTACGCGGCTGCTCAAGCAAGTAAGGAGACAAGGGTTTAGTTTGGTGTTCAATCTCTGCTTTATCCTGATTTCTCTTGGTGGCCCCTCGCATAAATCACTTTACTTTCAATTTCTGAGACTAGCAGGAAAGAACTGTGTTTTCTTCCTTAAATAGAAGGATGAGCTGTTAGCTTTGAATCAGCTACTAGAAAAGTTTCCTGATGAAATAAAGGCGGGAGAAGAAGATTTTAGTTCCTATTTACTGAGATCCAAATCACTTTTATATCGCAAGTCAGGGTTCCTACTGGTCCTTGAAATCCTTGAAAGTTTGTAAATTATGTGAAAGTAGGAAGCTGAGGCAGAGGCATTTCTTGCAAGAAATAAGGTTAAATTTGTTTTAAAGTCCTCGGACAGAGAGATGGGGCCCTCTGACTGCGGCAAGCTCAGTAATTACATTTATACCTTACAAAATCACACACACCCTCCCCCTAGGGGAACCACCCCACCCCCTGTATAAAGAACTTTCTCACACTTGAACATTTGGTTATTCCCAAGAAAAAAACACCTCAGTTCATCAAGGACATACATTTTAGCCAGATAAACACTCTCCTGTTTATTGCATGAAGGATGCCGTGTGAACTCGTTCTTATCTCCCATGACCCTCCCTTCACCCTTGTCTAGAGTAGGGAGGCAACTGCTTTTTTGACTCCATAACTTAACTCAGACAGACTGGTACAAGACTTCTAAACAATCACCCCTATTTAGGCAGAGGAAAGGGACACTCAAAATATTTTATCTCACAAATAGGCCAAGGAAAAATATGCTTCCACAATTAAAAAAAAAGAACAAAATAACAAGTTGAAGGCCCCAGGAAAGTGTTTGAAGAAACACCAGCCTGCAGGTGCACTGCCTGCAGCAGATCAATCAAAGCAGAGACCATTGGTGAAACTGCATTGGTCGAGTTATGACACATGAGCATATCATAAAATATCATCTTCTTTGCAGAGTGGGCGAGGAAATAGGGTGGACACCAGTGACCGCTTAGAAATGCTCCATGCATTCAACATTTCTTTGAACAGTTCTGCAAAAATTGTTTGCATGTGTTTTAGAGGAAGATCTAAAAAAAGATGATATTCTAACAAAAGCACAAAATTCTTAGTATTATTTTCCATGTGCAATGTAATTTTTCCATCTGAAACCCAACTGCAGTTGTAGGTTTGGCGTCTATTTTAGCGCTTTTAGAAGTCTGGAGGAAAGTTGCATGCAAACATTACATTTCTACAGTCACTGTGGCTGCAAAGGAGGATGATGGGGCAGGGGGTATTCTGTGAGCATGTTAACACATTTTAACAGTCAGAAAAAATAATACCGGTAGTAAAATAATATCAATAAAGAAAAAGAAAAAACTCACAGGCCGTCACAAATTAAATGCAGCTTGACGATAGACATTGTATAGTTAAACTAAAACAATGACTGAACTGAAATGTGGCAGATTTATTAAAACACCAAATAGAATCTTAACGGCCACCAGAGAACAACCTTCAGCGAGTCTGTGAAGAGATGGGAGGATTTTTTTCCTAGTGCGTCTGCATGAAGCATAGTTGTGTTTTATTAACACTGATGCCTGAATTTATATGCATGTAAATATTTTTTTGATTTTTTTTTTTTGTCTTTCGGTTATTGCTAAATAAGGTTGTGATTGTTACTTTTGTTAATTTACAAAAACAGTAGAAATTTTGGTATGTGGCAAATTAGTAACTACAGGCTGAGTGGAAAAAGAATAAGATAAAAATCAAACAATATTAAAACTGTAATAAACAGATTATATCTGTAGACAATGAATTAAATCATGTCTCTTACGTTGTAACAGCCGATATTTACCAAATTACTTGTAACACAGTTCAAATTGGTAAAGATAATTATGAGAGTCAATAATATATATCATATATTTATAGTTTTATATATTTATAGTTTTAAAGAAGGTTGTAACAGTCAACACAGAATTGCTTATTTAGGATAGGCGCTCTAAGCTTAGGCTTTAGCCCACACCTTTTTACTGAAATATCTTCCTTTAAAGGAACCTTTATTATGTTTTTTTGTTTTTTTTCTTTTTTATAATGTTTAGGAAATGCAAATATATGGTTTATTACATGCATTGTACTGTTTGGAAACATCCATTTCACCAAAATAAAGGAATTTATAAATAATAAATTACTTAAAAATCACTCAGTAATCAAACTGACATTTATTATCCAGTATGATATTATTTTAATGATTATTGAAAGATTATTAAAAGCTTTTTCTAAATAGCAACAATTTAGGGCATAGCTTTAATATAATGGCCTGATTTAGTAAATATGCTACAAAGAAGATGGTCAGATAACTTTCAAAGAATAGTTTATCTGTGAATGTAGGTAGTAGAAACACTCTAAAAGCAAGTCAGTGTTATTATTAGCTTTCCTTATACAAAAAAATAGCTCCTTCTTTTTTGATTTTTGTCTTTTTTTCTTTTTCCTGAGAAAATGTGTCCGTCAGGATGCAATCCTAGTTGAAACAACTGTTTGCCAAAGGTTCCTAGGTCTGCATCGGACATATTAAAATTGGGATGGAAAAGAAGCTCTCCGGCCTCACTTGTTGCTGCAGGTCAATTTAGAAGCTGATGATGATGATCAGAATTTACGGAGTCAGATGCCAGCATTGCAACTCAGAGATGGGGGATCTGAAGTCAACAAGTCATCTCTTTGTCATGTATTTGTTCTACCCAGCCAGAGAACCAGGTGAGTCCAATCTGGTTTAACCTGTGCAGATTGGACTCACCTGGTCAGAACAAATACATGACATAGAGATGACTTGATGACTCCAGATCCCCCATCTCTGTTGCAACTGATAGATTTCAGGGGAAAGAGTCTCTGCAAACACCTTGTTTCTCTCTGGCGTTTTCAAGTGTGTAAAGATGTTGTGTTTTAAAGGTAACGAGGAGATCGCTCACTTCCTGATAGAAAACGGAGCTGAATTTTCATCCTACACCCTGATGGACTATCCAGACTTCAGCAAACGTCTCCTGAGACAGAAACTTCATGAAACCACTGGTGCCAATGGAGTGGAGGTCTGTCTGTGTTTTATCCAGCACCTGTTTGGTTGTTAGAGGAACAATCTGTTCTAATGATAAGGAGAGTGAGTCAAGATTATGTGCTAATCATGCCCCCCCTGTGTGGTATTGATTGATTATTGACCCACCCTCTCCACTTAAAAAAAAAATATATACAAATGCACAACCCTGTACTCGCTCTTGAGAGGGAACGCCTATTAAACGCGTGCAAGAGCATGCACGGGTCCATTTCTCCTCGTGCACGCTCTGTTTAAATGCTGCTGTTCTCATAGCTCATACCGGCTTACTGTGTCTGAACGTCCGCCCTAACACCTAATCCCTCAATCACTATATAGAGCAAAGACTGTATACTCGGTTATCTTACCGGTCGCACAAATGATCACAGCTTTTTGTTCCCAGTTGGTTATGTAACTCCTCCTCTACAGCGCTGTGCCTGTGCCATTTTTCTTATTAGTTGCCACTATCAGGTAGCGACAGCGGGCAGCTGTGACAGAAAATCCCATAATGCTTTGCGAGGTGAGCTCTCCACGCAAAGCATTCTGGGATATATCTGCCTCTTCTGAGGCCTTCCTTTTCTTCTCCTACACTTCGTAGACACTTTTTCTCTTACGACCCTTGGTTCTACTTGGTCCCAATGGAATTTCCCATTGGGATCCTACTAGCACTAAGTTGCTAACTGGTTAGCAAGGAAGAGAAAACTGGGCCGAATCACTTTAATGATACTCAGAAGACTTGGGATTTTAACATAAAGCCTCTGTCTGGTTAAAATATTTAAATAACTAACTCCAAAAGCCTTTTATAAATCATTTAGTTAAAAATATTTAAAAAAAACTCATTTTAATTAAGTAGACTGGAGGACCTTGTCTATTCAGACAGGCCAACAATTCCCTTAACGACCCCCTTTGAGAGGCATAGAAAGGTCATTGCAGGCTAACAAAAGAAGCCAAATGACCTCCCATTCCAAAGGGGTGGACCCCTTCATCTGTTCAAATTTGAATGTTTTCAAATCTCTGTTTAAACTCATTCCTGACATTTTGAATTGGAAAAGCTTTCTGGATGGGAAGCAAAACGCCTTCAAACTTGGAAACAAAGTCCAGTGGATTGTTTTTAATATCCTTTTTCTGCCATCATAATTAGAGAAATTACGGGTTTTCCATTAGCTTTTAAACTGTAACCATCAAAGCTCGTCGTCTGAGTCAAAGCTGTCTGTTGGTGAGTTTGTCTGTCGCTTTGTGTCTGCAGGGAGTCGGCGTGTATTGGAGCGGCTTACAGCTGCCTTTCCTGGAGCTGGACTGGATCATGGATGTCTGCTCAAAGATTACCCACCTGGACCTGTCCTCCAACAGCCTCAGTGCTCTGCCCTCCGTCGTCCCCTGGGGGCTCATCCACCTGAAAACTCTGGATCTTTCCAGCAACGCTCTGAAAGAGCTGCCGTTTGCTCAGAACTCGCAGGATGTGATCTGCTGCAGGTGCATGACGTAGATCATCTGAACACCTATTTTTTAATTAGATTTGCTGAAACACTAACCTTTCTTCAAAGATATTTGATTCTTGCTTTTACCTTCACCCACTTTGTGTTTTCATTCTCAATAAATGAATCATTAAAGCTTTTGTTTGCACATAAAGAACTACTATACTATCGTGCTTCTCAAACTTTCCAATGGTTCAGGTTACAGGTTGTGACACTCTCCCATAACCAGCTAAAGAGTTTACCAACCGGACTCCTCCATCTGACCCGCCTTCAGAAACTCAGTGCTGCTAATAACCAGCTCACCACCCTGTTCGACATCCCCTCCAGTACGTTCCATACCAGGTTTTGTGATTGTGTTCACTAGGGGTGTGGGAAAAAAATCAATTTGGCGATAAATTGTGTTTTGCGGGTGCCCAATATAATATCAGATTTTCAGTTCTAAATATCAGTTAAAAATCGGAGGGAAAATGGGCTTCCTCGGCATCGCCACTATGGCAGATGGAGCTGTGGAGCACTTTTTATTGTGCGGCGCAGCGCCGCATCTGTAGATTAGTCAGTCAAAGTGGAAAGCGTGAACTGACTCAAACCCCAAACAACATGGATACCAAAATAACTAAACAATCAGTATTATCTGATGAAAATATTCAGCACTTGCTTTATTATCTACCCATTTAATTTTGATAGCTGGGAAAAATATTGCAATAAATAGTGATATTGTGACAATATTGCATCATGACCCAAGTATCGTGACACGTATCGTATCGCAACACCTATCCAATACTCGCCTCTACTGTTCACACATGACAGCTTTTTGGTCGGTAACATTTGTTATTGCCATGGTTAATTAACTGCTGTACAACATAATACAACAAAGCAATGCTATTTTATGGTTTGTTTCAGAGTAGGGATGCAAGTTATCAGTTCGTTAATCTAAGGTTAATTGATCTTATTGATTGACCAGCTTGATATGCAGACATATTCTTAAAGTTGTAGGGAAATCATATTTAAATGTCAAATCATTCTGGCTTTAACGTGTTTATAAATGTACTCTGGGATATGGGATTTTTCTGCAAGGGGAACCACAGCACCCACTGATCCATACCTGCATTGTATAAAAATATAAAAATCCTACTTTTCATTTTAATATGCAAGTGGCAGGTGCTGACTTTTGTTTTGTTTAATAATTGTTATTCTTTTTAATCATTGCTCTGACAGACGTGAACTGGATCGGTCTCCGTAAGCTGGAGGTGCTGGATGTGTCTGGAAATAGTTTAACCAGTCTTCACACGTCAGTCATGCACTGTTTAAAGTCCCTGCGCTGCCTTGATGTCAGCAGAAACAGATTGAGGGCTTTCCCCGAACCCTGGGCCTGTCCGCTGGTAAGATGCCCAACCACTCTCTATGCTTTAACCTGTTGGTGAATAAATGGTTAAACAAATGAGCATAAATGCATGGATAGAAAAAAAAACACAATCTCAGAGTTTTTTGTCTTTTTAATTTTCCTGACTTTCCTTTTTCTGGATTCCACTGTTTTTTTAAATTTCCGTTTACAAAATATGTTCTTTTTTGCTACAATAATGAAACTAAATTTACCCCATAGAAAAGACCCAAATTCATTTCACATTAAACTGTAAAGTTAGCTAAAGAGTTACTCAGCATGTGAAGCATCAACAACACATCCTCTGACGATGCAGAGCTAGGAGCTGAATGCTGATGTAATGAGAACACGGGTCGAAGTGCTGCCAGTAAAGTGGCTCAGATCAGGCTTCTTCATGCACCGATCTCTGTTACCTGCTAAACAAAGAAAAAAAAACAGGAATATTTAAGAATCAAGTCATGCTACAGGGAAGAAAAAAGATGTGTGAGATGTGGGTCACTCTGGGAAACCTGGAAGTTGCCCACTTTTTTTCTACCTAGCACAACATTTTCAACTTATAGCTCTAATGTACGGAAGCTGAAAGCGGTCTTGTCCCTCCAATAATTTTTAAGTACATTTTCTCATTATCTAAAGATAATGAAAACCGTTTTCTCGTGATAATGAGATGATTGGTGTGTGGTAAAATACCTTCAATACCACAACAGCAGGAGAGAATTTAGAAGTATAAGTCATGGCAGCTTATGTTTAATTCTGTAAATCAGGGGTCTTCAACGTTTTCCAGGCCAAGGACCCCTAAACTGATGGCGAAATGGAGCGAGGACGCCCTAATTATATATATTGTAAATAGTGTTATATCAAACTGGTCCTATAGTCACTCTATTACAGATGAAGTAATGTAATGAAAGTAATTTCTCCCTGGGATTATTAAAGTATTTCTGATTCTGACTCCTGGTTGATGGGACAGGTGTTGTGAATGAAACGGTGCCCAGCTTGAAAGAGCTCCTGTGTGTCGCTCAATGTGTGCATTGATGACTGAAAGACATCTTCTGCCTCCATTTATCTGTTTACTACAGTGTGTTGAATTCATGTTAATGTGGCTTTAATGACATTTCGATTAGTGGAAAAAAATTGCAGTGGGGAATATAAAAAAAGGTCTAATGAACCAATACTTTTGCAACCAGTTAAATCACAAGCTGTGAACTCACACTGTACGACTAAACCCTGCGGTTAGTCGTACAGTGTGAGCAGCAGCTGCATGCAACTACTGAGAAAAATCGCACAGTGTACGCCCAGCTTAGGGGCCGCGGACCCCCGTTGAAGACCTCCACTGTAAATAATCCTAACTTTTAGGTAACGCAACATTTTTGATTTGATGATTTGCTTCCACTTCTGATTCATAAGCAATTTGACATATGTGTCCAGGTGTTTTCTGAACAGCCCCGGTGTTACGCCTCTAACAGGTATAAGATGCATTAACCCCAAAAATGGGTCTAGATTAAAGATTTTCATTAAAAAAACAATCAGATTTGTTAATACCATATTCCATGCAATTCAATCATCCACCACAAACTGACAAAGAGTGAAAAGAAAAAGGAAACTAAAAAACTGATTATTTGCGCACACGCGGTACGGTGACTGAGCATCTACAGGCCCCGCAGGCATGGATGGACTGGGAATCCAGGGCTGTTGGCCGGCCTCATTCATTACTCATACAGGTTAATCAACTCGTTATCTTGAGAAATTAATAACTGTTTTCTTGTGATGACGCAATAATTATTTCGTTATTTTGTTAGATGCCTTCAGAAATGAACAGTAATATAAAACTGGATGAGAAAGTTGTGAGAATGCATTACTGAGGATAAGTGCAGATCATCATATCAGAGACTTTAGTGCCTATATGATGAAACAGCAAACCTGCATACATTAAACAGAAAACTGCAGAAATGTTTGTAGTAACATGCTTAAACTTTTCCTACTCTCTTCTATGTAGAGGATATGCAAAGCTTCTTCTAACATCATCGAGAACCTTCCAAACACCATATCCATCTTCTGGAGGACTCAGCTGCAGGAGGTTGATTTCTCTGACAACTGCCTGAAGGAGCTTCCCTCATATATCTTTGAACTGGAGGTACGAACCACCAGGTTCATCCTTACTGGATGGTTTTATGGGCTTTTACAATTAGCCTCTTCAAGCTTTAATTTATTTATGTGAATTAAAACAAAATAAACTTGGGTGAGATTTTGTTTTCAAGTCAAAGCCAAATTAAGTTGTTTTGTACAAAAAGAAAAAGAAATGCAGGTGTGTAGCAAATATGCAACAACAGGCATTACAGTCAAAATTACCATGAAAATCAAACATGAAAAAATGTAATAAGCAGATTTTATTAGTAGAAAGTAAATAATGTATCACATCTGTTTCTTTGGAGCTGTGGAGCCTTAAATTCAAACAGAGCCATTATGAGAAACGGTTGGTAAGGGACCGGTCCTGATAGAAACAAGTGTTTGCCAAAGGTTCCTAGGTCTGCACTGAATGTGTAAAAAGTAGCACTATTTTGTTTACGTGACACACTGTTGCGTATCGCTCAAATATTTGTCCACTGGCGGATAAGTCAGACAGTTTGCCAATTGTATTATAGGAATGACATTTAAAATAAGAAACAAATCTTATTTCAAGTATATATTATCTAATTATCTTATTTTGAGTGAAAAAATACTCCATTAGGATTATTTAGCAGCTCAAATTAAGGGCAAATGCTCCCATTTTAGGAGACATTTTACTTATTTTTAGGCCAGTTTTTGCAGTGTGTTGTTAGGAGCAAAGGTTTGGATATCAGCTCCTTTACCTTCTCTGCAGGATGTAGCTTTGACTAAGTGATAGAAAGAACTTAATCTCAGCCAAACTTCTGCTGGCAGAGCCGAGCCTGTTGATCAGAATTACTGTAAAGCAACAGATTTAAGGTGGAACGTTGGGGTTTTTTTGCATTGCAATGCTGATGCCAGTGGTTGGAACTGAACCTCTTAAGTTCTGGGTCAGTTTACAGTCACGTTAGTAACACTAAGCCTGATCTGCATGATTCAACATCAGGATAATAGAAGGTTTGTTATTGTTTTTGTCATTAATGCTTTACAAAGCAGAAGTGGATTTAGATTATAATCTGACCTAATTTGCAAACAGGAACCTTATTTGTTCCATGGGCTCTGGCTCTATTGATGTTCCCGGTGCTGTTAGACTTGACTGTCACCAGTACCGTGAGCCCCCCCCCCATGTCAATGTCTCACCCTGCTGTTATTGGTTCTCTCCTCAGGCGATCATGTCCTTAAAGCTGTGTGGGAACCTCATAGAAACGCTGCCTGCTCCCAATAAGTGGAAGTGCTCTAAGCTCAAGACTCTGGATCTTTCCAGGAACGTGCTCGGCAGGTAGGTCGACTCGCTACTGCTTCACATCTAGACACTTCCTGGTTCACAGGCGGTCAAAACTCGCATTTTGTTGTTTTGTTTTGCTCCAGTTAAGACGGAACATCAGGGGAGTGTGAATTACAGAGCTAAATGGGATGATAAAGTTTGTTCAAAACATTTTTTTTTGAAACTGAAGAAAAAGTAACTTAAAAAAAGACTTGAAACTGAAAATAAATGTTTGAAAGCAAAAATTGTTTTAAACATTTCTTTTCACTTTCTAATAGGTTTTTCTTTCAATTTCATTTTTTTTATTCAGTTTCAATGATTTTTAACAAAAAAAGTTTTAGCTTTACATATATTTTTCTTTTTTTTTTTCAATTGAAATTTTGTTTTTTTATGTAAGTCTCCAAAACGTTTTAAATTTAAACAGGGGCTTTATGGCCATTTAGCAATTTTTGGGATTTTTGGGATGAATTTTAAAGTTGAAAAATATGTATATATATATATATATATATATATATATATTAAAGAAAAACAGATTTGAAACTAAAGGCATATATTTTAAATCATAAGTAGCTTTCATTTTTTTCTATTGTAAATCTATCTTTATTGCCCCAGGAAAATGTTGGTATACCTATTTTTTTTTTTTTAATAGAGAAAATCATTTGAAAAATATATTTGAAACAACTTTTTAGATTAAAGTTTTTCTCTTTATTTTCAGTTCCCAGTGATGACTGTCAGTTTAGGTGCTCTGCCTCTGCTGTAGTCAGTCTGGCAGTTCTCCGTTTTACTTTCATAACATCAGAAGGTCCAAAGAGGACTGAAAATGCTGCACAAATCTGTCAGTATACAGGTGCTGGTCATAAAATTAGAATATCATGAAAAAGTAGATTGATTTCAGTAATTCCATTTAAAAAGTGAAACTTGTATATTATATTCATACATTACATACAAACTCATATATTTCAGATGTTTATTTTGTTTAATTTTGATGATTACAAATGACAACAAATGAAAATCTCAAATTCATCATATCAGAAAATTAGAATATTGTGAAAAGGTTCAAAATTGATGGCCCCTGGTGCCACACTCTAATCAGCTAATTAACTCAAACCACCTGCAAAAGCCTTTAAATGGTCTTTCAGTCTAGTTCTATAGGCTACACAATCATGGGGAAGACTGCTGACTTGACAGTTGTCCAAAAGACGACCATCGACACCTTGCACAAGGAGGGCAAGACACAAAAGGTCATCGCTAAAGAGGCTGGCTGTTCACAGAGCTCAGTGTCCAAGCACATTAATAGAGAGGCGAAGGGAAGGAAAAGATGTGGTCGAAAAAAGTGTACAAGCAAGAGAGATAACCGCACCCTGGAGAGGATTGTGAAACAAAACCCATTCAAAAATGTGGGGGAGATTCACAAAGAGTGGACTGCAGCTGGAGTGAGTGCTTCAAGAACCACCACACACAGACGTATGAAAGACATGGGTTTCTGCTGTCGCATTCCTTGTGTCAAGCCACTCTTGAACCACAGACAGCGTCAGAAGCGTCTTGCCTGGGCTAAAGAGAAACAGGACTGGACTGCTGGTGAGTGGTCCAAAGTCATGTTCTCTGATGAAAGTAAATTTTGCATTTCCTTTGGAAATCAAGGTCCCAGAGTCTGGAGGAAAAGAAGAGAGGCACTTCATCCACGTTGCTTGAAGTCCAGTGTAAAGTTTCCACAGTCAGTGATGGTTTGGGGTGCCATGTCATCTGCTGGTGTTGGTCCATTGTGTTTTCTGAGGTCCAGGGTCAACGCAGCCACATACCAGGAAGTTTTAGAGCACTTCATGCTTCCTGCAGCTGACCAACTTTTTGGAGATGCAGATTTCATTTTCCAACAGGACTTGGCACCTGCACACAGTGCCAAAGCTACCAGTACCTGGTTGAAGGACCATGGTATCTCTGTTCTTAATTGGCCAGCAAACTCTCCTGACCTTAACCCCATAGAAAATCTATGGGGTATTGTGAAGAAGAAGATGCAATACACCAGACCCAACAATTCAGAAGAGCTAAAAGCCACTATTAGAGCAACCTGGGCTATCATAACACCTGAGCAGTGCCACAGACTGATCGACTCCATGCCACGCCGCATTGCTGCAGTAATACAGGCCAAAGGAGGCCCAACTAAATACTGAGTGCTGTACATGCTCATACTTTTCATGTTCATACTTTTCAGTTGGCCAACATTTCTATAAATCCTTTGTTTTTATTGGTCTTCAGTAATTTTCTAATTTTCTGATATGATGAATTTGAGATTTTCATTTGTTGTCATTTGTAATCATCAAAATTAAACAAAATAAACATCTGAAATATATGAGTTTGTATGTAATGTATGAATATAATATACAAGTTTCACTTTTTAAATGGAATTACTGAAATCAATCTACTTTTTCATGATATTCTAATTTTATGACCAGCAACTGTAGTTTATCCAATGAGATTTGTGTCATAGGGTAACATTAACAGCTTAGATAAGTGAAGTATGTGGATTTTTAATACCAATTACATTAACATAGGGTATCGATGATGCTTTAAAAACATTTCTATTTCTTACGGTTCCTGAATGCAACATCTGGAAATATTTTGTCCAGCCACCTGAGCTGTCCACATCATTCAATACTCCATGACATTTAAGCCCCTGATGTCATGGTGTCATTACATCTGGAAAGAAGTGTTATGTTTATAATCAATTATAATATAGGAAAAATAATACAGATTTATTTTGTAATAATTTGAAAAAATATAATTTGAGAAAACAGAAAAGTTAATCTTAAAATCTTTTTTGGATCAAGTTTTATCTTCTTCTTTTTTTTAAGTTTCAGTTTTCAAAACATGACAGTTGCAACATTGGAACATAATTCACTCCATATTTGTCTGGACCTGTCTGCAAATGTACTGCCTGCAGCCTTTAGTCTCAGTGTAATAAAAAGAAACCAACCAAGTCCCACTCCTACACAGAACAAGAAGAACCACTTCTTCTTTGCATGGTGACCTTTTCTCTTCCGTGGAGTTTTTGGTAAACTCCGTGACAGCAGAGTGATTGTTCTGAAGGTTTATGTGGTTTTGTTCAGAGTCAGTTTTGCAGTGTAGTCAGTCATTTTTACCCCTGATTTGCCTTTTTTCGAGTTTCAAATTGAATAAACTGATGTGGAGTTAGGAAGCTGAGGCAGACGCATTTTGCAAGAAAAAGGTTCAGATTTATTTAACGTCCTTAGACAGGACGTTAAATTTTTACCTTACAAAAATCCCAACACACATACTCCCCCCAGGGGAACCAACCCACCCCCTGCATAAAGAACTTTCTCACACTTGAACATTTGGAGAAAAAACAACTTCAGTTCTTTAAGGCCATTCACTGTTATTTTAATATATCTTTTACTGGCCAGATCTCATGACCTCTCATGACCTTCGTTTGGAGCCCGTGAGGCTCAGAACAGACATACCTCGACCTTTTTTACTCCACACTGAACATTTAGCAGCATAAACGATGCCGGTTATAACTGAGACAGTAAATGGATACAAACATCAACTCCAATAGAGATTACACAATGTTATTCAGAGCTGTTAATAAACCAGGAACACCTGGATCCACATGCCTGTGGTGAATATGCATGAGTTTGCTTGTCAGGTATGGAGGCAGGACCGGTTCCTCTGAGACCGCGACTGAGGCTGAATGATTAGAATTTCTACAAATGTTTCGGGACATCTTTTTTTTTTTTAACACCACTTAATGCAAAAATTGATGGAACAGTAATTAATTCATCTACCAAATTGCTTTACTGGTAATAATTGCCATAATAGACTAATATTAAAGTAAATAAATGCAGCCACAAATAGAAAAACATTCTATAAACTTAAACCGACACTAAATAATCAATTATTGAAACCTAATCAAAGGTAAAAGCTTTGTGGATGCACTGTATGTACTGTATATATCCCATGCACATTTTTCTTCCTTTGGCACTTCTTCTTCTTTGACTATTTGAGCTGATGTAACGAGTACATTTCTTCACTGTGGGATTAATAAAAGCAATCAATTTACAAATGCGCCATAGTTGTGATACACAAAAAAGAAATATTACATTTTTTTACACTTATCACCACAGAATTTTATAACACAATAATGCGGGAAATTTGCGTGAAGTTGCTAATATGCAACAGTGACGGGAAATAAAGATAAAATACAGTCATTTCCTATCCAAAATACCGATACTTGACAGCTATGCATATGTCCTGAACACACTGAATGTGTGACTTGCTTCTGATTCAACAGAAAATTGTGTTGTATGAGGTTGTGGTGCTTAGCGCCCATTGAGAGTGAGTGGGGATGACCACACCTGACATGATTTCTCATGCCACCGCAGATAAGATAAGAATCCCCCTTGGATTTTTGCCCATTGTCCCTATCAGAAATAGCGATTGCTGTTACCTTTTGGAAATTGCAGAGTTTGGGTTTTAATTAACAGAATGGTATTGCACCAGTGTTTGAATGTGTTTTTTTTTTCACATAGATTTATTAATTTTATTTTTAATTAATTAATTATTTTTTGCCCAAAGGTTAAAATGAATTAGGCTTTTACTTTCCTGGTGTGTTCACTGTAAATGTCTATTAAAACTAGAGGTCATCCTTCTTGAAGTCATAGGGAAATCATTTTTAAATGTCAAATCCTTCTGGCTTTTTTTTTTTTTTTCATTATCTTCTGCAGGCCAGTTAGTTATACGTCAGCCTGAACACCTAAATTTGGCCAATCATATATCAACAGTCATCTGTCAATCAAATTTTTTCAGTCATAGCATCTTGATTCATTTGTCGCAGCTAATATACACAATTGTAGAAATAAGAAATAAGAATCATTTCCTTTCCCATTGAGTTCTGTCCCAGTGTTCACAGGGATAGACGTCTGTGTCTTCAGCAGGCGTAGAGCTAACAGAACTGGCAGCGTTGCGAGGCAAGGGCTCAAACATGTACGGCTGTAAGCCTTCTACACCAAACCACAACATCTTCGTCCCCGCTTTCCTCCTCCAAATAAAAAATGGATGACGGGGGAGACTCATCCACGACCTCTGACACAAAACTCTCCTCCTCTTGCATGTTTCCTCTGTCCATAGTGTTCCTTGACAGTGTCGTTTCTAAGTCACCAATTTAGTGCTACTTGGTCAAAATATAATTTCCAATTGGGAACCTACTAGCACTAAGTTGCTAACTGATTAGCAAGATGCTTCTGACAAACCGGTCTCAATCAAACTTGCTTGCGAAGCTTTCGCCACAACAATCCCGCCCCCTTGACAAACGACCAATCACATTCACTTTATTCACTCGTGTAAAGTCGACCTGCCCCAAAGGACCTGCAGGGCAACAAAGAGACACACAAAGACACACAAACATCCCAGTGCTCAATTCCCTGGTGCTAATTTATATAAAGTTTTTAAGGCTCTTTTAGCAGTAAGATAATCTCAATAGCTGGTGTGAGGGGCCCCCGACCTGCCCCAAAGTGCCCGAGCTGGTGTCTCACTGCACTTCTGTTTGGCGATAACGTTCTAACTAGTGTTGCACCGATACCGATACAGATACCAGTATCGGACGGGGCCCCGATCCAGCACTAAAATGGTGGTATCGGTATCGGCGAGTACCAACAAATAGAGCACTGATTCCATTTTGAGAGCCATAAGTTTCTTCAACTATTGTCACCCATTCCAGGTAGGCAATAAAAAGTTCTACTGGATTCACTTTGTATTAGATTTTTTCCTGCTTCACAAAGGTAGGCAGCAGCTCGACAAAGCCATGATGGCATTTATTTTTAATTATTATGGTATGGGTATCGGCCGATACTGCACAGCCAGGTATCGGGTAAAAAATGGCATCGGCGCAACACTAGTTCTAACCAGGAAGTAGTATTTTGAGAAAAATCTTTTAAATGTGGCTTAAAAGGTTCCATATACGATCCCTGGTAAGTGTGTGGTCGTAGAAAAAACAGTACAAGGTGCACATCTAGACATCATTTCTTATGTTTTTGAAAGCGTATTAGAAAGACATGTCCAATGACCCCATGGCATTTTGGGAAATGAAGGCTTTTGTCGTTAGGAAATGAAACAGTATGTGCTAGCTAGCAGGCTAGTTCTAACTATAGGAAACATAGAAGGTTAAACTAACTTAATGAAACAAATGTAAGATTTTACAATGAATAATGAAATTTAAAAATGGTGTCTGGAGAAAAAAGAACCGCGTGGTTTTTGTTAGTCCAGGAATTTGGACTTAATTGGATTTACAGACGTGTAAACTGCTCAGTTCCTATAACTTTACATTTTCTTTACATCTTTCCTGTGTATTATTTGTCGTTCTATTTCATTGAGATTGCACTAAAGAATGTGTCTTCTCTTTAGACTTCTTACTACAATTAGCTTTTACATCTCAATTTGAATAATAGTACTCCGTTTGAATTGTAAGCATTATTACACTTACCAACTGCACAAGTTAAACAAAAAAATTACACTTTTCATTAACTTTATATTAAGTCACTCCCAAATAAAGTTGAAGAGTTTCCAGTTTCAGCTCACAGTCATGTTGGTATTGAGAAAATGTAGTGACAGACATAAAAGAATGAATAATTCCTGTATGTAACCTCTAAAAAAAGGGGAGGTTTTCTGTCTCGAATGCCACTAAAGTAGAAACATAAGTTCGAACTCTCTGTGTTTTAGGACTGAAGAAGGTCCCAGATCCAGGAGGCTTGCTTTCCTGACAACATGGAACAGGAGGGATCCAGATCCAGGTAATCCACTTTGTCATTGAATTGACATGATGCAACATGCTGATTACTCCTGAAAGCTCATCGGGAACCGACCAATCAGCAATCATGATTTGTTGAAACAGCCCTCTTTTACCAGGCCTGTTTATTGGGCTGGTATAGCAGACAGGAGAATCAGGACCCTAAACTGATGGCGAGATGGAGCAGGGAACCCCTAATTATATATATTAGATGAAATTGTGTTCTATCAAACTGGTCCTATAGTCACTCTATTACAGATGGAGTAATGTAATGAAAGTAATTTCTCCCTGGGATTATTAAAGTATTTCTAATTCCTGGTTGATGGGACAGGTGTTGTGAATGAAATGGTGCCCAGCTTGAAAGAGCTCCTGTGTGTCTCTGAATGTGAGCATTGATGACTGCATTGATGATGCAAGACATCTTCTGCCTTCATTAATCTGTTTACTACAGTGTGTTAAATTAATGTTAATGTGGATTTGAATACATTTTAATTAGTGGAAAAAACTGCAGGGGGGGAATATAAAAAAAAAAGATCAATCAAAACTTTCGCGACCCCCATGCAGTACCTCCGTGGACATGTAGGGATCACTATAGACGCATTACCACCACCTAAAGGGCTGGAGATCCCTTATCGATTTGGAAATTGCGCTTTAAAATTTTGATTATATTTTCCATTTGCAATAAAAGCTAGTTGTCCAGCCCTTCTTATGTTTATGTAAATGTGACTGCATATAGATAATGATCAAATAACTGGACAGAGACTTTGGATGAACAAAGCAGGTCACACATTTTCTGTTGCACATGTTTAGAAAGATCTATAGATACACAAGATCTGCTGTGGATCTTATATTGATTCAGGAAAGCTGAGCATGAAATGAGATCTTTGATCAAGATTTAGGGGACACCTCGTTTAAAGAGTTTGTCAACTTTTCCTTTACACACCTTTGACTTCTCCTGCTGTTGTCTCTTTAGTAGAGATGAACCTTTTCCAGGGAAAATAGATTTTTCAGAAACCAACTTTTGATCATTTGGTCTTTTTAAGATTTATTTTCACCAACATGAATATTTATGTTTTTTATGTTTTGTGTGGCTGCAAAAGGAAAAATGCTAATGTTAAGATGTTAGTTAGGGCTTGGCAATATGGCAATATCTTACAAATATTGAGTTTTTTTTATAATATTGAGGGAGATCAATGATGCGATACACCTTTATGAATAATAGCAGGTGATTTCTGATCTCATGTTTATCTACAGTTTGTTTGAAAAAGTGTCTTTGATTCAGAAGTGCCTTTTAATGATGACTTTATGGAAAGAGAAGTTTAGAGATAAATATCATATATTGCCGTATCAGCCCTAATGATAATATTTGGTCTTGTTGGTTTTTAGTTCATTAGAGTTTAATGGTTTCTGTACATTTTCCCTGATTAAATCAAAAAGAAAATAAAACTACAAAGATCATTTTATCAGGATTTTATTGATGCTCTCATTAGATCCCCATTTTTCCATATATCACTGCATAGAAGTTTGCTCCATATGTTTGACCTGAAAAGCTTTGAATGTGTGTTCCTCCGTTTCACAGTGAGTCCCATCGAGTTTCCTGGTGTCCTGCGGGATTCCCTGGAAGTGCTCACCTTGAACGATAACCAGCTGGAGTGTGTTCCCCAGTCACTGTGTGGCCTGCGCAACCTCACTGAGCTCTACCTGTCCAAGTGAGTCCCCGACGTGACTGCCAAGGTGCCCAAGTCAACAAGAGGCAGCCATCTTTAGGATTTAGAAGGATTTTACTATTATTATTATTATTATAAAGCAGTTTCTTATGACATTAACCCACGGAACAGGAGCCTTATTTTAAATTCCATTTAAAAGGCCTGTCATGTTTAGCTAAGGCCGGTCTGGTTTGCCTAGATACAGGTTTAAGCCCCTGTCACACCTTGACAATTTAGACCAGCGTATGCCTGACGTACAAAAAATCTGGCAAAAATGCTAAAATATGTTGGATAAGTTGTGGGTACATTTTGTATAAGTTACGAGCACCCTGAAGCACGCTTAAACACGTCAACATATGAAAAGTAGGTGGATAAATTTTAAACATGCAAAAAAAAATTCCGGCCGTATTTAAGCGTAAGATACAGGTAAGTTATCTGTTGTATTAGTTATCATTGACATGAAATGTAAGTTACTCATAAGTCATAGCATCTAGCTTATCCAAAACCTATGGGTTGCTTCTGCGTAAATTATGCATAACTTATCAAGAACTTCTCTCCAACGCATATCAACGTGTTCCAGACGACCACAGCCAACTTCCTAGCAGACATGACGCTGAATCTGCTGTGACTGCAAACCTTCTTCCTTTCTTTTTATTTTCATTTTTATTTATTCTTTTTTTTTTTTTTTTTTTTTGGTAGGCCGTAAACAGCAGCTAGGTTAATACCATGATTAAATAAATCTTTTTATGTAAACCGGTCTAGGTACCAGATCTGCTCAGGTCCTGCTTCGTGTCAGTGATGTTACGCTACATGTTTGGGTGAACGTTGCCACATGATGTAAAACATAGTTGCCCAGACAACCATAATAACATCACGCAGCGTCCGTTAGCGTGTCTAATGACTGATGAAGTTTACCTAATCGATAACAAAAGCTAAAAAAAATCAGTTTATAATGAACAAAGTAACTACTTTTGAATTTGTATCAACAACAACCGTTCGTTTTCTACAAGTAGAAGAACTGTTGTTTTCTTTGTCTAAAATCGCTACGAAGCAGTTTTTTAAGATGCTTCGTTTGTCCTCTGCCCTCAGATCTTAATAAGAATAAGCATAGACTTTTTCTGTCACCTTGTTAAACGGCAGAGCTCAGTCTGTCTTAGAAGGCAGTACTTTCCTTCAAGAGTGACAATGATTGTTTTCTACCTTCGGTTACTTTAGATCGCCAATGAAATGTAAAAAAAAAAAAAGTAAATTTAGGTAATATTATGTGGAAACTACAAAAAAGATTGGATCCTTAGGAAATGGATGCAATACAGTTTGTCCGAGTGGAGTTGCCATATGTTGACGTCATAAGAAGGGGCGGGGCCCCGAGCAGATCTGGTACCCACACTGGGCACCTCCGGGCGCATCGCTGCCCCCCTCAGGACACTGGCTTGTGCATTATTTCATTTGTATTACGCTGCCGTGCGTTATGCATAAGTTAGGCTGTCGTTGGACTTAAGTTCTGGACTCGTTATGAATACTCAGTGTATACGCCCAAATTAGAAAAAATACATAGAAAGTTCAGCGTATGCCTGCGTTTTAGGAGATTCTGGCAAGGTCTGCCAGGGGCTTTAACATTTGGAAGCCAAAACTCCAACATTTAGACAGTTTTATGTAAAATGTTCCTGGCTGTGAGTTTCTGACGTTGCTCCTTATTTTTTTTGTTTTGTGTTTCCATTGACAGTAATCCAGGAATCCGGGAATTACCAGCTGAACTCGGACAACTATCCAACCTCTGGCAGCTGGACATCGACAACCTCAACATCACCAATATTCCTCAAGCAGTAAGAAAAGAAGGTATTTATTCACTGTAGGAATATAAAAAGCCTTTATTAACCACACCATGAACTAACTACACCTCATAGAAGTGCTTTTATTTAAAAGGAACTAAATAGGCTAATAAAAACAGTTATTAATAAATGATTGATAATAAAATTTCCCCATTCAATACAAAAGAATACATAATAAAAAAAAATCGTATTTTTCCATCTCTTCTCATCTCATCACCCTTTTCAATCTATTTTATTTAAAAACATATTTACTTATTTCAGTATTTATTCATTTCCAAGCATTTTTATCAATTTATTAATTTATTTAAGGTGTTTTATTTTGTATAACTACTTTAACTAGTACTTTTTGTGTCTTTTAGTTTTTGTTGATTAATTAATGATTAAATGAGCGGCAGAAGTTTCCTCTAAATATAACTGGCTATATTGGTAGTTTTTTATATTCATTGACCCTACAACGGCAGCAATTAATGGTCATGCAGATCGACCTACTAACACAGATCTAAGTTGTGTATTTGGAGGACAGAGTCGTTAAGGCCAATTTACGCTTCTGACGCATGGCCTCTGCAACTGTCAAACTTGTCTCTGTTGTCGTCGCGCACCTAAAAAAAATCCTGACTATGCTTCGAACAGTTGCAAACCCACGCAGACCTCAAGCAGAAGTGTGCAGACAAAAAGCAGCTGTGATTGGTCCTTGGTATGCCTTTCCGGCTGTCTTTGTGGTTCTTCGTCCTGTCGCAGGGGTTGGACTAGTGTCACAAACTCCCCAGCCTCATTCCTGGTCTGACTCAAGAGGCGTACAGACCACCTACGCGTCCTCCTCTGCCTTTTTGCCAACTCAATTAACAGAACCTCTTCCTCTTTGATGTCTAGCAACTCTAGATCCATCTCCGTAATCTTGCAGACATGCCATTGTTGTTTTGGAAAATAAACACTCTGGCAGGCGCCCTGAAGTTGTCATGACCATCCGCCGAAGTTCTCGCGAATTCTCGAATAGGATGCAATAACATCACAGGCCAGCATGCTCTGTATTTATGGAAGTAAACATGGATGGTAGTGCCGGAGCGCATCTAGCGATCTTTCCCAGCCATAAAAACATAATCTTTTCAAGATGGTTAAACATAAATACTGCTTTCTGCATCATTGTCCACCATGGTTGTTGCTTCTTCATAGCAAGACCCACAATAGTGACCACTGTCTGGTATTAATGGCGTTCAGGTCGGATGAATCTGACCTGGCCATTCAGACACAGGTCGCATTTGAAAAGATCAGATTCATATCGAATTCAGGACCACATAGCCAAGTGGCCTGGGTCGCATTGGAAAAAATCGGATCTGTGTTGTTCAGACTGCCATGAAAAGATCAGATACAGGTCCATATGGGCCAAAAAAGAGATTTGGGTCACTTCAGGCTGCAGTGTGAACGTAGCCTTTGACTACAACATATAAAAGCACCAAACTCTGCTCTCCAGAGCAAGTAGATTGGTAACCCCGCCTCCTGCTCTCCTCTATTTTGTCTGCTGTCATGATTCATGCAGCTATTATTTCATTCAAATGAAAAATGGAAATAAGCAGATCATGGCTTGTCTACAGTGAAAAGAAGGACTGGGTTATTTACTTTTGCCGTCGTATTTTTGGAAACACCGGAAGGAGCAATCAGCTAAGTGAGCTTATTGATTGGAAAAAAAATCTTTCACTCCCTTTTAGACAGCATGAAAAGTCAGCTGAGTACAAAACATAGAGAGGAAAACAACAAGAAAAGGGACAAAACCTAGCACAAATAATGTATGTCTATTAGTGTTGTCACGGTACTAAACTTTTCAACTCGATACCAATACTAAGTAACATATTCGATACTCGATACCCTTTTCGATACCACAAGAATAAAAACAAAGACTCTAAAATTCAACAGAAATATTTTCATTACTAAAAAAATACAAGAAATAAATAAAAAAAACAATAAGCATAATATTTTGAGGTTGTATGCTGTGCACAATATTAAGCAAGCTTGATAAAAAACTTACAAAATGAAAATTAAGTGTTCCTTCCTTGGCTATGTTTTGCAGACATAACAATGACACTGGCCAAACCAGTTAAACAAAAATCATTCTCAGCAGCTGCACCTGTTACAAAAAAAGTTGGAAACTGAAAAATGCACAGAATTATTCAATCACACAGTGGTCAGAAAGTGCATTTTCCTCTATTCTGCACCTTAGATGGCTGTATGGATACTTTTGAAAATGAGTATTCTATCCGGATACAACGGTTCAGTATCGATACTTTTTTGAGTATCGATACTTTTGACAACCCTAATGTCTATTCTTTAACAATTTCTGTGTCTGTATAATGGGTCTGTTTTATGTGTTGTCTTCTCAATTCAGAGGGCCCCAAATTTCCTAAATCCGCCCCTGAACAGAACTAGAAGTATAGCGCTCTTAGAACTTTCTGAATGGACAATTCTTTGGGTCTTTTTTTGTATTATCTTAAACAACTGCTAACCCTTTGAACAATTTTGTTTCATGCCAATAAATCCAGGAAAGCATGATGTGTATCAGGTTGCTGAACTTCTCTGAGGTCCTGTAATCTGATGAAACAGGCTCTGCTTCGGTCCTGGCGTTCCTCCGGGCCCAGCTTCGAAAAGCAGAGCCCTGCAGGCTGCTGAAGATGCTTGTGGTCGGTCCACCCAGGCAGGGGAAGTCGGCGCTTGTAGAGGCTCTACTGACAGGCAAGGCGTCTCCCTTCACCCCCTCAGAATGCAGCATCTCCACTTTTGGCTTGGAGCTGGAAAAACCGAACGCAGGCAAAAATAACGTGAGGAAACGCTTCCACTGTCCAGGCTTGTACACTCCAGAGCTAGCTTTGAATATTTCTCCATCTGTTTGTTATAGAAGGAGTCGATAATGTTCAACTTGTGGGATATTGGTGGTCCAGCCAGCATGACCACTGTGAACCAGTGTTTCTTTACTGATAAGTCGCTTTATGTGGTCATCTGGAATCTGGCTCTGGGAGAGGAGGCCGTGGCCAACCTGCAAACCTGGCTTCTCAACATAGAGGTAATCTCTCTGTCACACATGCAGACCTGCTGGGAACAGAAGATTTCATGATGAGGGAGGAAGATTGATCGAAGTTACACCTAGTTGCACAAAATAACTACAACTACTGGGGTCAGGAGGCCAAGGTTGAGAATGGCTAACCTTGAGGAGCTTCAAACCCCACATCAAAAAAATACTTTAATCATTTAAGAGGAAAAAAAAGGAAATAAAACCATAGATGGTGTTGAAAACAACAACTCAGCAATGAGGAATCATTGGTTCAATTGTTCTGTTTTTGTCCTCTCCAACTCATTTAATGATAAAACATCCTTAATGTGCATTACTGCCACCATCTGGTTAGGAGTGTAACAGCTTCAAGCTTTTCTCGTAATTTGGTGATTTTTACTCGTATTTCTGTAAAGCTTGAGTTTTCACAGATGAAACATCATCAGTGAGATGAAAAAGACCAAATAAAAATCTTACAATGATGAAAGTTTACTGACTTACCGTATCTTTCGCATTTTTTTTCATGGTTTGGCTGGCCATGCGACTTATACTCTGGTGCGACATATATACGTGTTTTTCACCACAAGAGGGAGCTATGTAACTTTGTGAGCAACATGTATTCTATTACCGGTAATTAGCCTGGGTGCCATTCCGAACTTAGTCCCGCCCACAACGTTTGAGGTCGGGAAGTTCGGTCTGGCATTGCTCAATAGTAGCGCGAGTATGATCGCACAATATCTGGCGGGCCAATCAAATTGTCAGGGCGGGCTTTATACGATGATGGAAAGATGATCAACAGTAACGTATTCAACCACGTGACCAAAACGCGCTTGGGCGACAACAACAATGGCTGCCGCTGGAGAGTTGGGGTGAGTAGATTCTGCTATTAGGTCTGTTTTAGAAGATATCGACAGCAAATTAATTTTAAAAGAGGAACAGAGAAACGCGATCAAGGCTCATCTCTTATTCTAGGCGTGCAACTGCACGCTTTGATTTTTGTTGACACCAACTATGTGTCGCTTAACATACGTCACGCACTCCGTTGCTCTTATTGGTTGTAGGTCTATCCAATTGAGTGCAGAGGCATTTTTTTTTCCTGGTTCATTCGAAACACGCCCCATAATCACAGCTCTATGGAGCAGTATCAGACTCATATTCTGACTAGAATTAAGTAGGACTACGTCAGGCTAACCGGTAATACCACTGAAAGAAAAAAACGTTACAACTTACCACAACAAAAAAAAGTGCATTACAACAACGACGACTGAATAGAAATATGCCAACGAAAAGAAAAAGAAATTCATATACTGCTGAATTCAAGCTGAAAGTTATTGAATATGCAGTTGAAAATGGAAATAGGGCAGCTGAACGACAGTTTGGATGCAGTGAAAAACTTGGTTGTTCAACTCTAGTGTTGTCATCTTCATATAATATAGTGGTCTGAATGATGTTCGATTTTTTTATCTGGTATTGGACAGGAACACTTTCTGCCTGTTTTATTTCCTCCGATGTTGTTTTTGTTTTTTTCTTCTTCTCTTGAGGACTGTTTTTACTACCCTACCTGTCTTTAGAGATTATTTTATTTGATAAAATAAAATTGAACAAAAATGAAGCATTACACTCCTTGATGGGGACTGCAGTCTTATTGAAAAAAGAGCCACGGGGCGAGAAGCCCCACCGGTTAAATGTTCTAAAAGCAAACTGATTAAAAGTAGAAATTAGGCTATAAAATAGGCCTGTAGACTAGGCATTTTACATGCACGCCTATAACAGTAGTGATAGTATTGATGATAGTAGTGGTGATATTTAAACCAACCAGAGTAGGCGACAGGGCAGCTGGCGCGTTATCACTGCTTCTCAGATGCTTGTTCATAGGGTTGCAAACCGTCCCATGAAAAACGGAATTGTTCCGTATTTAGAAATAGAAGTACCCGTCCCGTATTTAGTGGAAAAGTAACGCAGTTTGTCCCGTATTACTGTGAGAGTGAAAAAAGTCATTAAAAACCTAATTAGCTAATAAGGCACGTTAGATACAAAACTTACAGTAAACTTGTTCCTGAGCCCTGTCCTGCGTTGTGACCAATGAGCTGACAACATAAATGTAATGATCCAGAATCCCCTCATCCCATTGGTCGAGCAAAGTGTTGCTCACGGGAAAATAGCGGGAGACAGCAGAGCAGTATGGGGGACGAAAGGAGTCATTTAAATGCTGACGCTGCTTTACTTAGCAGCAATAAAAGACAAACAACTCCTTACCACTGCAAGAGCTCAGAGGAAATACAAATGAAAAAAGTAGACTATCACCACATAATGTGGCATTGAGCTAATGATTTTTTTTTCTGTCATTGCATTTAAGACACAAATATCTTTACAAGTTTACTGTAGTACCAAAAATGTACACCATTTATTTTTTGTTTTATATTCGTTTTTACAGTTAAGCAGTTAAGCAGGACAGGATTATGTTTTATTTAGCAAAGTTTGATATTTTGTATTAAAGTGAATCGCTGGATAATAATTTGTTTTCCATGTGTTCATGTCACTCACAAATATGCATCTAATTCAATGCAGATTTGAGTGAAATAGTAAAAAAAATAAATTTGCACACAAACTGGGGCTGAAAAAAAATCACCACGCCAGGAGGGTTAAGGCAATCGGGTCAGCTGACACGCAGATTAGGTTTCCTTTTTTTTTTTTTTTTTCTTCAGGGAGTTGGTGACCCTAATCGTTCATGAAATAAAACAATGTGGTCTTTGAGCGGCAGCCTGCCACACGACAGTTATCAGAACACGGATTCCATGGATAGAATAACCTTTCAAACAGGTGCGACTTTTAGTCCTGTGCTACGTATTTGTTTTTTTCATCTTCATAATGCATTTTTTGGCTGATGCAACTTAAACACCGGAGCGACGTACAGTCTGAAAAATACGGTGCATACGGTATGGTTTTTATTGATAGTTATTTTACCCCAGGGTTTTTGCATAACGTTGGTGTTATTTCAAAATGTCAGCAGTGGCAGTGAACATCTACAAGAGCTCTGGACCTTGCTCTTTGTTCATTTCCAATCTTAAATCAGGTCTCTGTTCAGCACTGAAGCATCGGGACGTTTTACTGTCCGTCTTATCAAACTTCATAAACCAAAATTAACAAAACAGCCGACAAATCCTTTTTGTCGGTTATCCGACTCTGACAGACAGAAAACCTTTTCACAGAATATTTAGCTTCAGTAAAAGAAAGATTGGGCCTCATTTTTTTCAGTCTTTCTCCTTTCAATGATCCATTCGTTTAAATACTAAGTGAGTTTCTGGGTTTTCTCCCTTGTAGGCACGAGCACCCAACTCTGCCGTGGTGGTTGTAGGAACCCATCTGGACCTCATAGATACCAAGTTCCGCACAGAGAGGCTGGCAACCCTGAGAGCTTATGTACTGGCGCTGTGTCGATCCCCGTCCGGAGCAAGAGCAGCGGGTTACCCCGACATCACCTTCAAACACCTGCAGTAAGACATGTTTTCCATCTGTTATACCGGAGGTCTTCAACAGGGAGTCCGCGACCCCTAGGAGGTGCACGGAGGTACTGCATGGGGGTCACAAAAGTTTTGGTTGATTAGACTTTTTTCTTTATACTCCCGTCTGCAATTTTTTCCCCTAATTGAAATGTCTTTAAATCCACATTATCATGAATTCAACTCACTGTAGTAAACAGATTAATGAAGGCAGAAGATGTATTTCAGTCATCAATGCACACATTCAGTGACACACAGGAGCTCTTTCAAGCTGGGCACCGTTTCATTCACAACACCTGTCCCATCAACCAGGAGTCAGAAATACTTTAATAATCCCAGGGAGAAATTACTTTCATTACATGACTCCATCTGTAATAGAATGACTATAGGACCAGTTTGATAGAACACAATTTCATACAATATATATAATTAGTGGGTCTCTGCTACATCTAGCCATGAGTTTTGGGGGTCCTTAGCCTGGAAAACGTTGAGGACCCCTGTGTTAAACTATTTAGACGGAGCTTCTTTTTCTATTGAATGAGGCCCTAAAAGTTTAAAGGTTTAAGTTTAAAGGCATTTTGAGAGAGACGCAGCATAAATTAAGTTGTGTTGCAGTTTAGAATCAGAATTCTGCCAAAAAGGTCAATAATACTCACAGCCAAAAACTGCTATCTTTGCACATTTTGAGCATTTTATATGTTTAAACATTTTAACACAATATCTTTAGTAGTATTTTACAAAACCATCACTTGATGATAAAAGGAGGATTGCCAATAATTTGTTTGTTCCATTTACAGCAAAGTCCACAATTATTCATACCACTGCTTGGTTTAAATTTAAGAAGTCAAATAATACATCTCCTTAAGATTGTAGGAAAAACCACCACACTATTATTTATGATTCCTGCTAAAATCTATGTCACTTAATGATATATTATCATAGGGTGACCAGAGGTCCTCTTTTTCCCGGACATGTCCTACTTTTCATACCTAAAAACATGTCCAGGTGGGAATTTTAAAATTGTCTAGGATTTTGGTCGATTACAGTGCAGCAGAAATTAGCCTTCAGCTCCGGGGCTGGTCCCGGCGGATGGGGGCAGGGAGCCGTGCACGACAAGGCAAGCGGGGGGAAAGCATACAGTCACATGGTCGGGTTTGGTCGCTCCGCCCCCCGCTGGCTCCCTGCCCCCATCCGCCGGGGTTCCTGGACCAGCCCCGGAGCTGGCGGCTCGGATCGAATAGCCGGTCCGGTCAAAATAAAAAAAAGGTTTCCTCCTTTTCAGAAACCCAAATCTGGTCACCCTATTTTATCACCTTCAGTCCAAAGAAACATTTGGGTCAAGTTAAAAAATAACTTTAAATCTACATCTTCCAGGCGTCTTTCCTTTGAAATAGTCTACAATAAGATTTTATTTTAGATGTTTGTTTGTTTTTTACCTGCTTTATGCATGAAGTTAGCTCGGCTTTAGCTGCTGAGAGCAGTTAGTTACAGTTTCTTTGAAATCTGCTAAGGTAATCCAGCAATGTGTCAGCAATCCCAACTGTTATCCTGGCTGTGAGGTTTTAAAGAACATTTATTAGAACTCCTACTGCAATCGTCTGTTTTCTGGTGGTTCTCAGTGAAGTGTCGTGTAAAACCTTGGAGGGTTTGGAAGGTCTGAAGACGCTGATCTACCAGGTGGCTCTCTCCATGAAGGACAGCGGCAGCTCGGCCTGTGGTGCTAAGCTGCTGGGCAGACTGGTGAGTGCTACGCTACAGTTTGCTCTGCTACACAAACATTGTTCTCTGCGTGGGAGTGAATGTTCTGTGGTTCACTTCTCCTTCCATCTCAGTCCTTCCTTAACTTTGACACTGAGGTAAACAATAGACATGAATGTTAATTCATTCTACCTGTTTGTTGTATAATTAAATTTTTATTAGATTTAGTATTATTATTTTATTTTTATCAGACGTACTTGATTATTTCTTTGGATCAATGGCCTTTAGCAAGAAGCCCTATGTACCGTATTTTCACGACTATAAGGCGCACCTAAACGTCTTTTTTTTCCCTCAAAATGTGGGGTGCGCCCTATGGTGCGGTGCGCCCTATCTGCGGACGTTGTTGAGACCACCATGAGTATGTGAGAACCTTAAAGGGGGAAGTGTGGGCGTGGCTTGTGTATAAAAGAACAGGTATGTGCTTTATGCAGAACATTGTTGTCTTAACAACCCTGGAAATGGCAAAGAGACACGCCTATGAAGCCCAGTTTAAACTGAAGGCTATCAGCTACGCAGAGGAACATGGAAATCGAGCAGCTGCGAGAGAATTCAATATAAATGAATCGATGGTTCGCAAGTGGAGGAAGCTGGAAAACGAACTCCGACTGGTGAAGAAGACGCAGCTGAGTTTCCGCGGACATAAGGCCAGGTGGCCCGAGTTGGAGGAAAGACTCGAGCGGTGGATCGTGGAGCAAAGAACGAGTGGGGCCAGCGTTTCAACGGTCACTATTCGACTAAAAGCAGTAAAGCTGGCGGAAGAAATGAACATTTAAAATTTTCAAGGAGGTCCATCGTGGTGCTTCCGTTTTATGAAACGGTGCAATTTTTCCATCCGAACCAGGACTACAGTTGCTCAGCAACGTCCGGCGGATTATGAGGAAAAGCTGGCGAGCTTTCACTCCTTCTGCAGCAAACACATCGCTGACAAAGTCATCCAGCCAAGCCACATCACCAACATGGACGAGGTGCCGCTCACTTTCGACATCCCGGTGAATCACACCGTGGAGAAGAAGGGGACCAGCACTGTAGCGATACACACAACGGGGTATGAAAAGGCGTCGTTTACTGTTGTGCTTGGCTGCCACGCAAATGGACAGAAACTGCTGCCTATGGTGATTTTTAAAAGAAAGACTTTGCCTAAAGAGACTTTTCCAGCTGGAGTTGTTATTAAGGCGAATGAAAAAGGCTGGATGGACGAGGAGATGATGAAAGCTTGGCTGAGGGAGGTGTATGTAAGGAGACCAGGTGGTTTTTTCCACGCATCCCCATCTCTGTTAATTTGTGACTCCATGCGTGCCCATCTCACAGCCGATGTGAAAAAAAAGGTCAAAGAAATTAACGCTGTGCTTGCTGTTATTCCGGGAGGTCTGACAAAGGAGCTTCAACCGCTCGACATCGGTGTGAACCGCCCGTTCAAAGTAAGGCTGCGAGCGGCGTGGGAGCGATGGATGACAGACGGAGAGCACAGTTTCACTAAAAGTGGAAGGCAGCGCCGGGCAAGTTACGCCACCGTTTGCGGATGGATTGTAGATGCTTGGACTAACGTTTCTGCTGGGATTGTTGTTACATAACAGCTTTCGCAAAAGCCGGCATTATTTCCAAGGAGCCGCACGGCACGGAAAGTGACTCTGACAGCGAAGAAGAAGGGGAAACTGGCATGTCGGATTTAGCGCAGCTGTTTAATTCAGAAACAGAGGATGAGGACTTTGAGGGGTTTGATTAATACTTTGTAATAAATACTTGAATAAAGCACAATCATACTCAGTTTTGCTCCAGCTCTATTTTTCTACCTGAAAACTTAATTCAACAGCAGCCTCTGGGCCGCGGCGCATACGGGCTCACCTCCGCAGGTGTTTTTTCATCTAAATAATCTAAATCTTTTTAAGTGAGAAAGTCCACCTGAGAGGACATGTACCTGTATATAAAAAACGCGCCCTATAGTCCGGTGCGCCTTATGTGTGTGTTAAATACAGAAATGGCACACATAACTGAGACTGCGCCTTTTAGTCCGGTGCGCCTTATGGTCGTGAAAATACGGTAAGCTGCATTAGTTGATCAAGGGTGATAATATTTAATTGCTCTGTAAAAATGATCTAAAAATAGCTAAAAAAAATTCTTGTGTATTTACCCTTATTTTGAGTAGGTAAATGGGATGATTTGCCAATGAAATTAGTATTTTTACTCTTAAAATAAGATAAATAGATAATATGCACTCGGAATAAGACAATGCAATAGTTTTTTTTCTTATTTTAAATGTAAATTATCTTTTTCCATTGGCAAAGTGTCTCACTTACCTCCTGAATTTAAGAAAAAATGCTCTTGATTTAAGATGAACTGATTTATTTAGATTTAATTTTTTTGCAGTGTGGGCTGTCCCTGTAAAAATAAGTACATAAAAGTAAAGATAAATACCATGGATGATGTGGTTTTACGGAAGAGGATTAGGGCCACTGGAAAAAAAAAGTTAACTGATTTTTAAATATTATTTCAGTTTAATGTGGGGAAAATGATAATCTCAGGACTCTGACCTTTTTCTCAGAATTCTGGCTTTACTCTTAATGTAAATGGAACCATGAAGGAAGAGATGTGGGAGCACTCAGCTTCTCTGACAAAGATGTGAGTTATTTGGGAGGGACAGTAACACATTGGTGGAAAATGAGGGAATAAAGTTATTTTTTATGTGACCGTTGATACTATTTCATTAATGAAGAAATTTCGAGCGAAGCCTTGAAAAATAGTAAACAATATATAAAAACAGTAATGTAAAAATATGACTGTAAATTTACAGTTCTAACATTTCAGGTTTATATATAATATTTTATTATAAAATATAATTAAAAAAAGACATTTTTGTTAGCTGACAGAATTCAGACAGAATTCAGAGAAAAAAAGTCAGAATTGTCAGAATTATACCGAAATAAAATGTAAAAATCAGTTAACTTTTTTTAATTTTTCAGTGGACCTTATCGTCTTCCGTATAGTTTTGTTTGAAATGTCAAAGTTTTCTTGTATTTTCTTTTTTGACATACTTTTTTATCTTAATATCTCACCTGCCAGATTCCGAGGAGCTATTTCATCCTGCAGGAGGCAGTGATAGCAGAGAAGGAGAGGAGAGATGCTGCAGAAGAAGTGCAGTACCTGACAGACGCTCAGTTACTCAGCATCATCGAACAGAACCCAGAGAGTGATATCAGAGATTATGAGGATTTACAAACCGGTACGAAGACTGGAAAACTGACAGTGCTTTGACATGCTATTATCCTTTTCTCATCACAAACCCATATATAATATTTCAAGTAACAAAGTACTTCGATACTGAAGTAGAAATTTTGGCTAACTTTACTTAACAGGAGTATTTATTTTTAACTATAAGGAAGTCATCCAGAATTGTAAAAGAATTTTCCTTTAATAGGGTAGTGAAGTGACCAGTATAAAGTTTAAAACATCTGTCCTTCACATTTTTTCCTGCATTACTTTTACTTTTACACTTTAAGTAGTTTTAAACATGGTCCTTTTACACTTTTAATTGAGTAAAAAGCTAAAGTTGATACTCTAACTTCTACAAAAGCAGACATCCCAAGTTCCAAAAACAAATTTCAGGGAGATACTTATCATAGCTCCCCAATTTTTTATTAACAGTAATTTTTAAACACAAAAAAGAGCGATATTGGTCTTTTATTTTTTAATACTTCCAGTCTTGTAGCCTTGAACATTAGTTCTGCTTTCTGTTTTTCATGGGACTTCAGCATACAGTGCACCTCGCCACTGTGTCATCATTCCTCACCATGGCCGGTTCTAGACAGGGGCCAACGGGGGCCAGTGCCCCTGTAGATCATGTCCTGGCTCCTGTTATGGCCCCTGTACTGAAGACATGAACAACTATCTATATCAGGGAGACTCCTGGAACTTCTGGGAGACTTGGGATGTCTGCAAAAGTGTTTTTAAACAGTAGGATTTATACTTCTTCTTGAGTAATAAACATTAATACTTTAGAAACCCCTATGGTTGAAACAAAAGGGAACTAAGAGCGCTGCCAGCAGGGCAGCCAAGAGAGCGGCAATCAGAGCTTCTAGCAGACCAGCTAGCAGTGCTGCCAAGAAAGCCGCTAGCAGACCAACTAGCAGACCAGCTAGCAGAGCTGCTAAGAGAGCCGCTAGCAGACCAGCTAGCAGAGCTGCCTCAAGAGCCGCTAGCAGACCAGCTAGCAGAGCTGCTAAGAGAGCCACTAGCACTCCAACTAGCAGAGCTGGTAACATATCTACTAGCATAGCAGCTTGCAGAGCTGAAGAGAGTTGCTAGCAAGGAAGCTAGCAGAGCTGCTAAGAGACCGGCTAGCAGACCAGCTAGCAGAGCTGCTAAGAGAGCTGCTTGCATAGCAGCATGCAGAGTTGTTAAGAGAGCCGCTAGCAGACCAGCTAGCAGAGCTGCTAAGAGAGCTGCTAGCATGGCAGCATGCAGAGTTGTTAAGAGAGCTGCTAGCAGGGCAGCTAGCAGAGCTGCTAAGAGAGACGCTAGCAGACCAGCTAGCAGAGCTGCTAAGAAATCTACTAGCATAGCAGCTTGCAGAGCTGTTAAGAGAGCTGCTAGCAGGGCAGATGGCAGAGCTGCCTCAAGAGTTGCTAGCATAGCAGATGGCAGAGCTGCCTCAAGAGTTGCTAGCATAGCAGCTAGCAGAGCTGTTAAGAGAGTGGTTATCAGAGCTGCTAGCAGACCAGCTAGCAGTATTGCTAAGAGAGCCGCTAGCAGACCAGCTAGCAGAGCTGCTAAGAGAGCTGCTAGCATGGCAGCATGCAGAGTTGTTAAGAGAGCTGCTAGCAGGGCAGCTAGCAGAGCTGCTAAGAGAGCGGCTAGTATAGCAGCTAGCAGAGCTGAAGAGAGTTGCTAGCAAGGCAGCTAGCAGAGCTGCTAAGAGACCGGCTAGCAGAGCTGCTAAGAGAGCTGCTTGCATAGCAGCATGCAGAGTTGTTAAGAGAGCCGCTAGCAGACCAGCTAGCAGAGCTGCTAAGAGAGCTGCTAGCATGGCAGCATGCAGAGTTGTTAAGAGAGCTGCTAGCAGGGCAGCTAGCAGAGCTGCTAAGAGAGACGCTAGCAGACCAGCTAGCAGAGCTGCTAAGAAATCTACTAGCATAGCAGCTTGCAGAGCTGTTAAGAGAGCTGCTAGCAGGGCAGATGGCAGAGCTGCCTCAAGAGTTGCTAGCATAGCAGATGGCAGAGCTGCCTCAAGAGTTGCTAGCATAGCAGCTAGCAGAGCTGTTAAGAGAGTGGTTATCAGAGCTGCTAGCAGACCAGCTAGCAGTATTGCTAAGAGAGCCGCTAGCAGACCAGCTAGCAGAGCTGCTAAGAGAGCTGCTAGCATGGCAGCATGCAGAGTTGTTAAGAGAGCTGCTAGCAGGGCAGCTAGCAGAGCTGCTAAGAGAGCGGCTAGTATAGCAGCTAGCAGAGCTGCTTAAAGAGCTGCTAGCATAGCAGCTAGCAGAGCTGCTAAGAGAGTGGTTATCAGAGCTGCTAGCAGACCAGCTAGCAGTGTTGCTAAGAGAGCCGATAGCAGAGCAGCTAGCAAAGCTGCTAGAGAGCCGCTAGCAGACCAGCTAGCAGAGCTGCTAAGAAATCTACTAGAATAGCAGCTTGCAGAACTGTTAAGAGAGCTGCTAGCAGGGCAGCTAGCAGAGCTGCTAAGAGACCGGCTAGCAGACCAGGTAGCAGAGCTGCTAAGAGAGCTGCTAGCATAGCAGCATGCAGAGTTGTTAAGAGAGCGGCTAACATAGCAGATGGCAGAGCTGCCTCAAGAGTTGCTAGCATAGCAGATGGCAGAGCTGCCTCAAGAGTTGCTAGCATAGCAGCTAGCAGAGGTCCTAGAGAGCCGCTAGCAGAGTTGCTAGAGAGCGGAGAGTACCACAGAGCAGTCAAAAAAAAAGAAACAGATCATTTTTGGATTTAAAGACCCCATCTTGGTTGCGATTTATTTTAGCTTCTGACCCCTTGCTCACACTGGCTCCGGTGCAGTTACCGAGCCGACGGAGACCGCAATTCCCGCACACCCCCTCTCACACCGCCCTTTTGACTACGGTGCGGTGCGACTCTGCGGCTCCGGCAACAGGTCCGGAGATTTAACAGAAGTGCACTTGAGTTCACGTAACTTCACGCGATAACACGGCCCAAATAAAGGATTTTTGCGAGAGCTTGTTGCGGAGGGCTCCGGCACGCCGCAAGGATAGCTTTCTTGCGGAATTTTCTGCAGCGCCGGAGTGTCTCGGTAACCGCAGCCGGACAGCCACACCCACCGCACCGCAACGGTAAGACCGGAGTCGGTGTGAGCCTGGGGTGAGACTGTAGTGAGACTTTTTTGTTTCAATTTATGGTGGCATTCTTAAGTTTTTATCAAATTAGTTTAATAAAACACAAAAAAGGGCAGCTGTTCAAAGAAACTGTTAAGTGTGTTAAAGATAATGTTTCTTTTTCTTTCTTTTTATCTTTTATCACTTTTATTCTGCTGTTATTTATCTACTTTTCTATTGTTTAACTCATGTCAAGCACTTTAAATTGTTTTTCTACTGAAATGTGCGAAAACAAAAAAACTTGCCTATACTAGTGTATTTGAAAAACTTCTCAATGACATTTTGCTTTTCTCCTTTGTTTTCCATCCAGCCATCAGTTTCCTAATTGAAACTGGGACCCTGCTGCACTTCCCAGACACCAGCCATGGCCTGTGTACTCTGTACTTCCTGTGTCCTGTGTGGCTGTCAGACTGCTTAGAGAGGATCGTCCATCTGAACTCCTGCCGCCCTTTACCCAAAAACGGATTGATCCAGACAGAGCAGCTCAGGGTGAGATGCAGGGCGAGGCCTCTGGTGTCTGCTGTGTCAAAGCCTGACCTTCTGTTGTTGTGATCTCTGCTGTGCAGAAGCTGCTGGAAGGAACAGGATTCACCCGGGAAACAGAGGAGCAGTATTTCCAGTTTTTGGCCAAGTTTGAGATTGCGCTCCCTGTTGCCAACAACAGGTAAAAGACTCCCAACGAATTTGAGTTTAATTCATAGATTACCAGTGATATGAAGAAATTAGTACATCCATTTACTCATGAATCTGATCACATTTTAATGTCTGCTGTTGTTTGTTGACTAAACATAACTAAATTTAAGCCCCTTTGTTAAATTGCTTGAAAAGAGAGCCAATTGGAGGCAAATTCAGTAATAGTTGTAAAAAGGTTATAATGCAAAATTGATACATTTTAGTCATTATGATTATAATTCCTTAACATTAAAAGGATAGAATATAGAAATGCAATTTGTATTGCATATTTTTGGGCTTCCTGCATGCTGTAATTCTATACCTTTTTGGGTTTTCTTTGTTCGCTTGTGCTTTCTGTACGTAAGAACAGAGGGGGAAACAGATATGCTGGAAGCAACACAGTTCTTGATCGATATCATTTACATATAGAGAGTTCTGCTAGCATTTAAAAGCTATAAATTCAAAATAGATGTATACAAAATACCAAAATATACCAAATATATATCAAACGTATACTAAGGTATCACACCAGTATATTCATATGAATTCCAACAACAAAAAACATTATAAAAACACTTCATAAAAACATAGTTTCATGTACAGGTTTACTTTTTGTACATAAATCTTGCCCTTCTGAGGCTTTGTGGAGGTTAATCTGTGTTTTGCATGGTCCAATATGATGTCACAGACCTAAAAAAATAATGTACCAGTTTATTAATGGAGAAGCTATTAGTCAGCTTTATATATACATATACATATATATATATATATATATATATATATATATATATATATATATATATATAAACTATTTTCCGAGAATGCTTTTGTGTAAGAGCAACTATGCAAATAACAAACACCTAGAAAAAGTACAGTATATTCTATTATTTTCCATGTGAATCCCAGATTGTTCATTCTTCTTTGCCTTTTCTAAACAGTGCTTTAAATCAGTCCTAGCTGTCTTTATCCATGCTGGGTCAGATTCTGATGTTTGAAAAAGGAGGCAGGGGAAGCAGAATAAAGCTTTAGCCTTGCTGCATGCAGTTAGCCTAGCCTTAAAGCTAAACCAGGTTCTGGAAAAGGATGTTTCGTGCACCATCTCTCTCTCTCTCTCTCCAATGCATCTCTTACTCCTGGGACTCGACCTGTCAATCACCCGCAAAACCTCTGAGCTATGGCGGGATGTGGTGAGCAAATACACAGAGGAGCAACTGCGCACGGACAACTTTTAACGGCAGTCAATGGGCAAAGATGGGTGTGCAGGTGGGGCAGGGGTTTGCGCACACGACCATGTACGGAAGACTTAGTCCGCGATGCGGTCAACCCGGGTTCGAATAAGACCTGTGGTCCTTTGCCGCATGTCTCTCCCCCTCTCTCATACCTGTTTTCTGTCAGCCTACTGTCGAAATAACAAGCCACTAGTGCCATTTTTAATGTTTTAATCAGGGTCATTGGGTGGGTGGGGCAGCACCCTAGCGCCCTCTATTGGCCAGCCGCCACTGGCTATGACCTTAAATTGACTGGATTTAACTTTCTCTCTTGATTGGTTTCCTTGTTGGTTTCTCTCTGCAGATACCTTCTGCCTCACCTGCTTCCTCCAAAGCCGGCCATGGACATCCACGGCTTCCACCATCACACAAACAACACCCTGCAGCGGCTTTTCAAGATGAGCTTCGTTCCTGCGGGGTTTTGGGAGCGCTTCATCGCCAGGATGCTCATAAGCCTCACAGAGATGGACCTCCAGGTAGGCGTGTCCATCAGGTCCTCGTCAATCAGCCCCGTCACCATGGGGACGACTCCTCCTCTGTTTGACTCGTCTTATTCTTTCAGTCGTCTGATCCACTCAAGAGAAGGAGCAAGAATCGCAGGAGTTCACTGATCTACAGCTTTGCTGGAAGCCAGCAGAGGAACCGATGCAGCACCTTCAGAGTCCGACGCAGCCAGACCATCTACTGGAAGGAGGGGCTCCTGGTCACATTTGATGGAGGCTACCTCAGGTCAGCAGGGAGATGCTGCAGAGAGATGCTAGCATTTCAGTGTATGTTTGTTCCACCAGGTTACATCAGAGTCCAAAGCAAAAGTAATCTGGACCAGCACATAGATGTGTTAACATCAGTTTAAAGATCCAGATATAAAACGGATTGTTCCTAATTCTCATGTTAAACATCATCGGGAAAAAGTCCAGAGTTAAAAGAATCAGAAAAGAAAACCTGCTGTTACAGCTGCTGTATGATTGTGGATTTATTTGCAGATTATATTTCAAAGATTTTCGCTGAACGACGTTACAATATGATGTTCCTGTTTGCAGTGTGGAGTCATCAGATGTTAACTGGAAGAAGATAAAGAGCGGCGGCATAAAGATCATCTGTCAGTCAGACGTGAGAGATTTCTCCGCCATGGCCTTCATCACTGACCATGTCAACTCTCTGATCGAGCAGTGGTTTCCCGGTCAGTATTTGCTCCAAGATCTTTCCTTAGAGAGAGAAAAAAAAAACGTTTTTGGTCGAAGGTGTTCCTCTTTTTTTTTAACCTCACTTCCCAGAAATGAAATCATGTTTGCTTACATATATTCTAATAAAACCGTCTGTTCTCTCATATGTATATTGCTTAATGTTTTTCTTCCTCAGGCAGTAGTCGTGATCTCAAATCCTAAGGGGGCTGATGTTTTGCTACTTTTAGATCCATCTTTTGTTCTACACTTCTTGAAGGAAAAGTTCGGTCAGCAAGGAATGATCAATTGATCATTATCTATACCTGAAACTAATACGTTCACTGTGATTTAATGAATTTAGTATTATTCAGTAAAAAATAAAAATTATACTTTTCGTTGCAATTAAGCCGGGCTTACACTGTGCGATTTTTTTCTTTTCTTTTCGGGGCGACTCCAGTAGTGTGAGAATTTTCCGCTCAGGCCGAATTTCAGCCTGATCGTGCATTGTGTAGTGTATGGGGGTTAATGAGGGGTTTTCAGCATCCTCCTGATCAGGAATCGTGAGGTTTCTCCCGACGGTCGTAGGCAAATCACTCAATGGGCAGACAGGGATTCTTCTTTATCTTCTTCTTCCTCTCAGATGAAAACCCGAAAGCATGGTGGGAATGCGACTGAAGTGGAGTTCTTGCTGTAAATTTGACAGACCGTAGTAGCCACATTTGCTCAGCCATGTTTTTTTCCAAATATGTCTTTGCCTTTTCTTTTTAGGGCTTGCAGCAAAACTTTGCTTAAATTGCCAAGGCAGTGGGTTTTAGTCTAGCTAGCTTCCTATTCTTCTTCTACTCGTTTGGCTTCCGGATAGATGAGCCCGAGTAGCACCATCTCACTGTGGATCTGAGTCCGATTTGGTTTTTAGATGTACAGTGTGAGCAGGTAGATCGCATCAGAGCGTCGGGCCGCACAGCGTAAGAACAAACATGGTGAGCTGTGAGCTCACACAAGCCGTGCGGTTTCGTCGTACAGTGTGAGCTGTAGCTTCATGCAGCGACTGAAAAAAAATGGCAAAGTGTATGCAGTGCTCGATTTTAACCATCGCCTTGGGCAAGAAGTTTTTGTTGTCGGGAGAGTACAAATTTCATTGCATTTGCCCGCCGGAAATGATCGCAAAAAAAAATTATTTATCAATCAAAATTACTTAAAAATCACAGACATTTGCTGAAAAGACCCACAAGCGTTGCCGGCGTCATTTTTGTTGTTTTGTACACATTCTCGCATGATTTGAAAAAGCCGTGTGATTTTCCACTAGATGGCGTGATTCAGCTCATGGGGAGAGAATTCTGCAGAGCAGCAGCTAGATGATGAATTTAATCTATACTATAATACACACTAGATTAAACACGATCAGTCAGGGATTAGGAAAATAATAATAATAATTGTATCCGCACAGTGTAAATATTTCTATCATATGGCAGTCTTCTGCACAGTGATGCAGGTCATACATTAAAAAATGTTTTTCTCTTAGACATTGGAGTGGTGCATTTAAATGTTATAGAGCTAAACATGTTAAATTGGTGAGTAGTAGTAGTGTAAGTTTTTAACCTGTCAAGGTTTTTTTTAGATTTTTAACATTACAATTTATATTTTTCCAAGCATACAACAGTTTAAAGCAAAGTTTAGTTTGAAAATAATGTGCAGGAAGGATTGAAAAGCATGTTAACACGGTAATGTAGGCTTGAGTTCATTATCTGACGCATACATATACACACCAGAAACCCGTAAACTTAAAAAATACTGAATTACAAAAAACATTTAAAAAACAAGCATGTTTCATTGATATATATACAAAAATGAATATTAGGAACTATATTTATCCAACATTATACTGGGCAAGTAAAAATTGTTTCTGGGCAAATGAAATGTGAAAGGCAATTGCCCGAATCCTTAACGTCAACCCCTGGTATGCCCGGCTTTACAGAGTAGCAGCTGCCATTTTTGCCCAAATATAGTAACACCTCAAACATGACATCTTCCTGCAATGACGTCACGGTGCGGTAAGCCTATCGCCATTCTCCCCGCTTTACAAGCAAAATCAATGCCACTCTGGGTCACTGAGAAAAGACCTTAATCCCTGATTGCTCTCCGGACGCCCCACGATGGCCGCCCACTGCTTCCCAAGTGGATGGCTTAAATGCGGAGGTAAATTTCTCCAATGTGAGATCAATAAAGTTCAGTTATTATTACTATTATTAATGGTTGTCACGTGACCAGTCCTCACTGCAGCAGTCTGCAGCCCGGGGTCCCTTTGCTGCAACTTCTTCCCACGCCCCCTTTCTTTTAATTTTATTTCCTGTTCCAAAATGTTGAATCATAAAGCTGCATGAGAGCATTCCTAAACACGTTTAGCTTTGTTTGGGTCTAATCCTCACGCTGTTTAAGGAGGATTATTGGCAGGAGGAAAGTTTCTGTTATTTCAGCTTTTTTGGTGGACTTTGGAGAAGGTCATCTTTGGACGTCCAAGTAAAAGTGTTGAACCTCATGTATCTCTCGGATCCATCCTTATATCTTATCTCTCATCCTTCCTGTTGTCTTGCTCCCTCTCTAGCTTTGACCGGCTCTCAGAATGATGGGAGTCTCCTCATTGAGCAGTATGTGCCCTGTTCCCTCTGTGCGCCTTGCGATCGGCAGCAGCAGGATCCCGGAGAAGACGACAGAGGAAGAGAAGCCGAGGTTCATTACTTTAACATGGAGGACTGTGTGCTGGCTGCTGTGGAGAAGGACAGCATCAGCTGTCCTCAGCATCCTGAGCAGCCTGTCCCCTTACAAGAACTGGTGCCAGAACTATTTATGACCGACTTCCCTGCACGGTAAGCTGTGGGATTAAAAAATGCTTCCTACTTTTGGAGCCAAGTCATGAGGAAAGTTATTTATGTGGGCGTTAAAATCAGCATCAGGACTTTAAATGATTCAAGTATTGTAGATCTGCATCATTAATCATTTCAGATGAGTCCTTTTCAGAGCGAGATATGCTCTTTGATTCATACTCAGTTAGCAGTAAAAGTCTAGTATATATATATATATATATTAGGGATGGGACGATTTAGGCGAAGCGCTAAAACTCCAGAGCAGAAGGTGGCGGTACTGCGACCAAAGCCAACCACCAGTAGTAAACAAGAAGAAGAAGAAGCGCAGCAGCAGCAGCCGGGTGTAGCAGGGAAAAAAATCACTTGTTGTGGAGAATTGTGTCGGAATGGCGAGTGGGAAAGAACAGGAGTTGGAAGACGCGCCAGCAGCACTTTATAGGTCTGCTGTATGGGACCGCTTTGCATTTAGAGTGACCTACGATGACGGCGGAAAGAAAGTTGTGGATAAAAGTGCAACAGTGTGCAAGCATTGTGCAACACGTTTTGTTTATGCTAACAGCAACATGACCAACATGTCATGCTAACTCCGAAATCCCTCATACTCCATCAGCAACCCCCGCTCCGCCCCGCTGCGCTCCAGACCGGCTGCTCAAAGCAAAGCCTACAGCCCCCACTGTGGCTTCGTCCGCTCCCCTCTGAGTCCCTTGGAGATGTTAGAGAGCATGCGCGAGATGATTAAGTTCAAAGCAGCAAAACATACGGAAATGATCCAGGGTTTCTGCGGATCATTTAAAATAATTACAATCCATTATTTTGGGGGGGATTTTTTCATTAATTTCATAAATTTGTATGGGAATTTGGTGTAACAATCAACATATACCGAATCGAACCGAACCGAAAACCGTGACCACGAAACCGTGAATTAAACCGAACCGTGGATTTTGTGAACCGTTCCAACCCTGATAGATATATATCTATATCTATCAGCGGTTGATGTTAAGGATTTTTACCTTTCACATTTCATTTGCCCAGAAACATTTTTTAATTGCCCAGTATAATGTTTGATAAATATAGTTCCTAATATTCATTTTTGTATATATGTCAATCAAACATGTTTGTTTTTTAAATGTTTTTTGTAATTCAGTATTTTTTAAGTTTCCAGGTTCCTGGTGTGTATCTGCATGCGTCAGATAATGAACTCAAGCCTACATTACTGTGTTAACATGCCTTTCAATCCTTCCTGCACATTATTTTCAAACTAAACTTTGCTTTAAACTGTTGTGTGCTTGGAAAAATATAAATTGTAATGTTAAAAATCTAAAAAAAAACTTGCCAGGTTAAAAACTTAAGATAAATCACAAGACAGAAGTAAATGTCACAAATGAAGAACTTTTATTTTAGAGTCACGGTATGTTTATACAAGATGATACTATTAATATAATGTGACTTTTCTAGAGAATCATTATACATAGTTATTTTATACAGGGTTTCCACAGTTTTACATAATTTCAGAATTCCCTGACTTTTAACTGACTCAGGATTAGTTTTCCCTGACAAAATAAATGCAGCAACAAGACAATAATAATAACATAACAGGTCACCAATTTAACATGTTTAGCTCTATAACATTTAAATGCACCTCTTCAATGTCTGAGAAAAAAAAATGGTATGACCTGCATCACTGTACAGAAGACTGCCATATGATGGAGCTTTCTAGCTTGTTTGTCGTTTTGGTAACTACATCAAAATTACCGCTAGGTGGACAAAAATCACACCATCTGGCGGAAAATCACCCGGCTTTTTCAAATCACGCGGGTTTTTTTTAATCACGCGGGTTTTTTTAATCACGCGAGAATGTGTACAAAACAACAGAAATGGCGCCGGCAACGCTTGTGGGTTGTTTTCAGCGAATGTCGGTGATTTTAAAGTAATTTTGAGTGATAAATAATTTTTTTTTGCGAAATTTGTACTCTCCCGACAATGAAAACTACTTGCCCCGGGCGATCGGGCAATGGTTAACATCGAGCCCTGTATATAAATACATATATAGACATTAGGGATGGAACGGTTTATGAAAACCGTCCGAACCGTTCGATTCGACTGTCTCGGTTCGGTCTGTGTGTATTGCGTTCGGCTCATGCGCTGCTCCTTTTTCTCATAGGCGAAGCGTTTACACTCCAGAGCAGAAGGTGGCGGTACTGCGACCAAAGCCAACCACCAGTAGTAAACAAGAAGAAGAAGAAGCGCAGCAGCGTAGCCGGGTGTAGCAGGGAAAAAAATCAGTTGTTGTGGAGAATTGTGTGGGTATGGCGAGTGGGAAAGAACAGGAGTTGGAAGACGCGCCAGCCGCACTTTATAGGTCTGCTGTATGGGAGCGCTTTGCATTTAGAGTGACCTACGATGACGGCGGAAAGAAAGTAGTGGATAAAAGTGCAACAGTGTGGAAGCATTGTGCAACACGTTTTATACTATACAAGACATAATAGATTTTCCTAACAATCAACAGATACCGAACCGAACCAAAAACCGGGACCACGAAACCGTGAACCGAACCGAATCCGTGGATTTTGTGAACCGTTCCACCCCTAATATATATATATATATATATATATATATATATATATATATAACAAAGATAATTTCTCCCTGGGATCATTAAAGTATCTCTGATTGTGATGGTAAAATATCTCTGAGCAGTTTGACTCAACTATAAGAAAACTACCATTCAGGTAATATCCAACGTTACAGTTAGAGGAGCTCATCATGGATTTAAGAGGAGCTGATAAAGACAGCATCAAAATAAACTAGAATAAATCCCATCACATAAATCACGTAAATATTTAAATCATGCAGGTCTATCTTTGTTTTCCTTAGGTGCCTTTAATAATGATCAGAGCTGTGTGTGTGTTTGTTGCCAGGCTGTTTCTGGATAAGGCGGAGCTTCAGCTCTCTGAGGAGGAGAAAGATGTCCTCGGTCAGGGCGGCAGTGGCACCATCATCTGCAGAGCCACGTATAAAGACCAACCTGTCGCTGTCAAACACTTTCACTTTAAGAGATGTCGGCAGCTGACTGTCAGCAAGGACTCAGGTAGGATATCTTTTGCTTTCAACAAAATGCTTTAATTTTTATAAAGATGCCCTCCGTTTGGAAAAATATTGATTCAAATCTGTTATAATTGTATAACAAGATCAGAGGAAGCTCAGAATAATGGCTCAGTGCTGCCAACACATAAAATAAACTACATCTCCTTAGAATCACAAAACTTCCACCTTAAAAGTGTCATTTTACGGCGTAAATCAGTTCAACTTTGCTACCAAGACATTTTTTTTTAAATACCTGTAAAATGTTTTTTTTTCATTCACCCAATTCACATCCAGTGACCTGGTGCTGCTCCAACTTGTTATTAGTCATGTACCAAAATAAATAGTTTTTCAAGATGATGCAACGTTACATTTTACACTTTTTCCATTAGTAATAAAATTAAGAAAATTAAATATAAGGAAGTTATCATCCACAATTGTAGAAAGATTTTCCTTAAATAAGATAATAAGTGCAAAAACCAGTATGAGGTTTAAAGCATCTGTCCTTAATATTTTTCCTGCATTACTTTTACTTTTATACTTTAAGTTGTTTTTAAAATGGTACTTTACAAATGTTACTTAAGTAAAAAGCTTAAAGTGCATTAGTGTAACAAAACGCCAAAGGGGGAAAATATTAGTTCACTGCACTGTATATTTTTATGAGATATAAAGTGAAGCTCTGAATGTTTTGTTTCTATTCAATTCAATTGGGTTTATTCATATAGCGCCAATTCACAACACACATCATCTCAAGGCACTTTAAAGTTCACCAGATCATCCAGTCAGATTGATTTAAAGTTTCTATCTAAGGAAAACCAGTTGATTGCATCGACTCATTGAATCGAAGGCAGTCCCTCACACTAAGCACGCTTGTAGCGACAGTGCAGAAGAAAAACTCCCTTTTAACCTGAAAAAAAACCTCCTGTGGAAAAGACTCAGTGTGAGTCTGAAAAAGTTACGCCAGAAAAAGGAAAGGAAGAACTCACGCTGATGTGCAACCCCAAGCTGGTTGAAGATGGCGTCAGCGCTTTGGCAGATCCCTACCTAAGAAGCGGAGAAACAAAAGTCAACTGTCAACCAACTCCACAGGCGGCCCCGTCCAGGAAACACACAGCCAGGCAGACGAGCTTTAAGCCAGCTCCCATGTCAGAGGATGAAGAGAGCACATCGAGTCAGTCACAGTCAGAGAAACAGGACTTCACTAAAAAACAGGCCAATCTCCAACATCTATAAACAAAGGTGTTGATGGCAGCAGCACAGCTGATACACTATATTGCCAAAAGTATTTGCTCACCCATCCAAATTATTGGAATCAGGTGTTCCAATCACTTCCATGGCCACAGGTGTATAAATTCAAGCACCTAGGCATGCAGACTGTTTTTACAAACATTTGTGAAAGAATGGGTCGCTCTCAGGAGCTCAGTGAATTCCAGCGTGGAACTGTGATAGGATGCCACCTGTGCAACAAATCCAGTCGTGAAATTTCCTCGCTCCTAAATATTCCACAGTCAACTGTCAGCTGTTTTATAAGAAAATGGAAGTGTTTGGGAACGACAGCAACTCAGCCACGAAGTGGTAGGCCACGTAAACTGACGGAGCGGGGTCAGCGGATGCTGACGCGCATAGTGCGAAGAGGTCGCCAACTTTCTGCAGAGTCAATCACTACAGACCTCCAAACTTCATGTGGCCTTCAGATTAGCTCAAGAACAGTGCGCAGAGAGCTTCATGGAATGGGTTTCCATGGTCGAGCAGCTGCATCCAAGCCATACATCACCAAGTGCAATGCAAAGCGTCGGATGCGGTGGTGTAAAGCACGCCGCCACTGGACTCTAGAGCAGTGGAGACGCGTTCTCTGGAGTGACGAATCGCGCTTCTCCATCTGGCAATCTGATGGACGGGTCTGGGTTTGGCGGTTGCCAGGAGAACGGTACTTGTCTGACTGCATTGTGCCAAGTGTAAAGTTTGTTGGAGGGGGGATTATGGTGTGGGGTTGTTTTTCAGGAGCTGGGCTTGGCCCCTTAGTTCCAGTGAAAGGAACTCTGAATGCTTCAGCATCCCAAGACATTTTGGACAATTCCATGCTCCCAACTTTGTGGGAACAGTTTGGAGCTGGCCCCTTCCTCTTCCAACATGACTGTGCACCAGTGCACAAAGCAAGGTCCATAAAGACATGGATGACAGAGTCTGGTGTGGATGAACTTGACTGGCCTGCACAGAGTCCTGACCTCAACCCGATAGAACACCTTTGGGATGAATTAGAGCGGAGACTGAGAGCCAGGCCTTCTCGTCCAACATCAGTGTGCAACCTCACAAATGCGCTTCTGGAAGAATGGTCAAAAATTCCCATAAACACACTCCTAAACCTTGTGGACAGCCTTCCCAGAAGAGTTGAAGCTGTTCTAGCTGCAAAGGGTGGACCGACGTCATATTGAACCCTATGGATTAGGAACGGGATGTCACTTAAGCTCATATGTGAGTCAAGGCAGGTGAGCAAATACTTTTGGCAATATAGTGTATTTCTCTCCAGGAAGTTTAACAAAAAGTTTAAACTGTTGATAGAAAGTTTATCTGAAAAGTTTAAGTTTGCTTTTTTTTTTTTACTTAATAGAAAACCTGTATGCATTTTTCCTGCTGTTGGCCTTTGTGGTTTTAATGATCTTTATTTCCTTCCTTTGCTCCTCAGACACTGTGGTGAAGCACCTGGAGTTTGTAGATGTGAGTCACAGCTTCTCAGAGTTTCGTCAGGAGGCCAGTATACTGCACTGTCTGCAGCACCCCTGCATCGTCTCCCTGGTGGGCATCAGCATCCATCCGCTGTGCTTCGCCTTGCAGCTGGCTCCTCTGGGGAGCCTCAACACGGTGCTGGAGGAGAAACACGCCTTCAGAAGCACGTAGAACCGCCTCCACTGTGATTCCTTGGTGTCATAGCTTCACATTGTCTTTGTTTGTAATCAGATTATGTTGATTCTGCTTCTCCAATAGGCTCAGACTACATGCCTCTTGGTTACATGCTGACCTTTAAGGTAGCCTACCAGGTTGCAGCAGGACTGGCCTACCTTCACCGAAAGAACATCATCTTCTGTGACCTGAAATCAGACAACATGCTGGTCTGGTCCCTGGAGGTCTGTAGGGGAGGGGTCCTTATGAATGCTGCCTCTGATAACGAGACGGAAACAGGCCGACTCATTTCTCTGTCCTGCTCCAGCTGCAGGATCCCATCAACATCAAGCTGTCTGATTATGGGATCTCTCGGCAGTCCTTCCATGAAGGAGCGTTGGGAGTTGAGGGAACTCCAGGATACCAGGCTCCCGAGGTCCGACCGGGAATCGTGTACGATGAGAAGGTACGATAGCTTTTCTCTTGAAAGTCGTAGGGAAGCAGCTGTTCCAACTGCTTTATTTCTGAATTCTCCTGAGTGGTGCCCCACTTTACACGAGTGACTAAAGTGAATGTGATTAGTCAATTATCAAGGGGGCGGGATTGTTGTGGCGGAAGGTTCGTAAGCATGTTTGGTTGCGGCCGGTTTGTCGGAAGCATCTTGCTAACCAGTTAGCAACTTAGTGTTAGTAGGTTCCCAATGGGAAATTCCATTGGGACCAAGTAGCACTAAATTGGTAACTTAGAAACGACACTATCAAGAAACGCTATAGACAGTGGAAACATGCAAGAGGAGGAGAGTTTAGTGTCGGAGGTCGTGGATGAGTCTCCTCCGTCATCCATTTTTTATTTAGAGCAGGAAAGTGGGACAAAGATTTTGTGGAAGAGGACGCCAGGGCGGCAGAAGCTTGGTTTGGTGTAGAAGGCTTACAGCCGTACATGTTTGAGCCCTTGCCTCGCAACGCTGCCAGTTCTGTTAGCTCTACGCCTGCTGAACACACAGACGTCCATCCCCGTGAACACTGGGACGCAACTCAATGGGAAAGGAAATGATTATTATTTCTTATTTCAAATGTTGTGTATATTAGCTGCGACATATGAATCAAGATGCTATGAACGAAAACATTTGATTGACAGATGATCGTTGAAATATGATTGGCCGAATGTAGGTGTCCAGGCTGACGTATAACTTACTGGCCTGGATAAGAGAACGGAAAAAACTAAACACAGATTTTAAAACAGGATTTTTTTTAAATAGAAAGTTTCTAAATTTTGGGACAATATCGTTTGATAAAGAGCACATTAATATACATGTCTAAGCCAGAATGATTTGACATTTAAATACGACTTCCCTACGACTTAAAAATGGCTTCCTTAACCCGTCTTTCAGATCGTCTGTCCTCTCTGGTTTAATTTGTGTAAAACATTTTCTTAAACGGATCCACCAGTAGTGTAATGATAGGATTTAGATAAGAAATATTTAATTTCACTGCAATTACATTTGAGTAAAAATAATATAAGTTGTTTAGTTTTTATAAATCTAACAAATAAAAAAAAGTTATTTATATATATATATAAGTGGTGGGCATAGATTAATTTTTTAGATCTAGAAGAATCTTACTGTAATCTTCGATTTAATCTAGAGTAAAAATGGTCATGGTTGAATTCTGTCAAAGAAATTCATGATGTTTGAGATGACGTGTTGTGAATTGGTGCCATAGAGATAAACTGCATGAAATAAAATAAAAAAATTGGATTGATATATATATATATATCAATCCATTTTTCTGTGACGCTTATCCCAAGTGGGGGTCGCGAGGTGTGCTGATCCCTATCTCCAGCTGTCTACGGGCGAGACAGTCATATATATATATTAGTGCTGTCAATCGATTCAATTTTTTTAATCGCGATTAATCGCATCAATGCCTGAGTTAACTCGCGATTAATCGCATTTTAATCGCAAATTTTTTTTCTGATTGAAAATCATTTAAATACTCTCGATGACATACAAAAAATACATACAGGCTAGGTTTGTGCCAATGTTCTTTTTTTTTAATGAAAACAGGTCACAGACACTGATTTATGCCATAGAAACATATGGCAAGAAGATGGGGAGGCATGTAGCAAAAAATAACAAATATGTAGCCAAAAAAAAGGCCCTGAAAACAGGCTGATGTAAAAGACAGTCTTTACAGTTAATACAGTCTTTTGAACAAAGACAAGCATTTTACCCTACTGCTATAAAATGTAGTACAGTTATCATTAGATGTTAATTAACCAAGGTAATAATGAACAATTTTCAATCAATACATCAAAATCAATAGACCGACATCACTAGATGGAGGTAGTCTATGCTCTAGAAAGTTACTTTTCAGCCTCTTAACAAAAATGAGAACACACACACACCCACCCACCCACACACAGACACACCCACCCACACACACACACACACACACACACACACACGATACCGACCTGTGGCGTACACAGACAGCAAGAGTGCCGTAGCAGATTCCATTTCACCGCAGTAATCTGTTTTCTCAGCGTATTTCAGGTTGCTACTAGTTACCAGACACTCAACTTGTTTGTTGGTGGTGGGGCTTAAAGAAAAGGCACTAGCGTCACCCAGTGTATGAGCGTCTTTTTTCCTTGAGGAGCTCCGCTCTTGAAGCCTATGAGAAATGCATAGACTGGGGGAAAATAGCCCCGCCTTTCCGCAGGCTGCAGCGGGATGTACTTGGAAAATTTTACCATAAAACCACATAGCGTTAATCTCACGTTAAAAAAATTATCGCCGTTAAAATGGCCTCGCGTTAACACGATAATAACGCGATAATTTTGACAGCACTAATATATATATATATATATATATATATATATATATATATATATATATATATATATATATATATATATATATATATATATATATATATATATATATATATATATATATATATATATATATATATATATATTAGGGGTGGGTATTGGCAAAGAAGTCATGATTCGATTCGAATCACGATTCACATGCCACGATGCGATTCTATCACGATGCATCACGATACTTGAAATATTGCGATGCATTGCGATATTTTCACTGAACACTGTGAGAACAGTGTTCAGTGAAAACCAGTGGCTGACTGGCTGGGTATGATCTGGATCGTGTCATCAGCTGATACATAACTGAAAGCAACTGAATTCATACATAGCTGTATTTATTGAAACGAGTTTTGGAGGTGTTGCCATGAAAACAAATACTGGAGAGAAATATTACTATTACTGGTGTGGACACACTGACAAAAAGATCTTAGGATTCATCAAACTTAAAATAACAAAATAAGGATAATCATTGCCGTTTAAATGGCCTCAGTGGTCCTTTAAACCAATGAAATGAAAACATTCAAATGTATGACATTTCCCCTTTTGGAAATTATGTGCGTCATATCAATTTCGTTTTTACCTTCTTTGTTTTTAAAGCCAAAATGCATCCAAGCATCTGACTTGAAATGATATGGAGCCGGGCGAATTTTCTCAGGCACCTCCATGTTTTGTTCACAAATGATTCATCTCAGTATCCCGCAGCCGGAAATGCTTGCGGCACAAAGCAGCAGGCGTCAACACATCCGCAGCGACATCTGCTAGACTGGAGGTTGTATTCCACTTGATTTGGCTGATGTGCGCCAACCATTAATGTATTTTATTTGTTAATTTTTTTTAATTAAGAATCGATTCTTGCCATCAAGAATCGATGCAGTAGATCACAAGAATTAGAATCGCGATGCATCGATATGACGATTATTTTGCACACCCCTAATATATATATATATATATATATATATTTAGTGCTCTCCATAGAGCCACGCAGAGGGCAGGTACAGATTAGGTGACTGCTGGTTAGTTATCCTCCGGTCATGTTCTAATGATATCCTTTTTGGGTTTTTTTTTTAGGTCAGGCTTGCTTCTGCTCCTCCATTTCATCTTCATTTCTATTACTGACTGCTGATGAATCATTTGGGTTTGTTTGGACATTTCCGAATGATTTGCTGGTCTCTCCACGTCCAGGTGGACATGTTCTCCTATGGCATGGTGTTGTATGAGCTGCTGTCTGGGCGAAGGCCGGCCCTGGGAAACCACCAGCTCCAGATAGCCAAGAAGCTCTCCAGGGGCGTCCGTCCTGTGCTGGGCAGCCTGGAGGAGGTCCAGTTCTACAGCCTCCACACCCTGATGACTGAGTGCTGGGACACTAAGCCTGAGAAGGTGGGTCCATCAACCACTGAAAGCTGATTGGTTAACAGGGGAAGCAGAAGAAGGGTTAACCCTAACCCAGAAGAGGGATGATTGGATGGATGATGATAAATTAAGTGGATAACAAACAGATGATTCGTTAATAAAATAATTCTGTAAAAAAAAAGAAACAAACAAAAAAGCTCCAATACTGAAAAAAAAAGAAAAATTGTTTGAGTTGTGCAAATAGTTAAAAATGGGATGGGAGGTCTTTTTTTTTTTGCTAGTCTTGTTTCGTTGGGCATTGACAAATTGCATTCAGGCTGGTTGAAGCTTTGTAGTTTTTATATATATATATATATATATATATATATATATATATATATATATATATATATATATATATATATATATATATATATATATATATATATGTATATATGTATATGTATGTATATTTGATCTTCTCCTGCAGATTCACATGGCACTGCCTGTGAATTGAAAACAGTGATCAGAGCCCAGCCACTATCTCAGACTAAACACAGTGTTTTTATTGTTCACGATGCCTGTGAAATCTTACTGTGAGAATGTTAACACAAACCTGGCATTTGGTTCTTGGACTCAGTGCTTTAAAAAAGCCACCATCTAGCTGCAATAATGCTTTTACTAAGAACACACCTGCTGTACCGGCAGATGAACACACCGATGAACAGGTCCTCACTTTGGAAAATAGCTATATTTGCTTTTTTTTTTTATAAGAGCATGAAGAGTGAAGGAAAGGGAAAGAAAAACACCTGGGAAATGTGTATATCTGTCTACTTGCAGGATTAAAGAAGGCAAACTCTAGTTCTAGTAGACATTTAAAGCGAACACACAAGGAAGGAAAGAGCATCATTTACTTCATCATTCGGGCAAATGTATTTTCTGTAGGCTAATAAATGTTCAAACTAACCGGGAAGGAGGGATTCAGCACATCTAACAAATTTACCAATCTGATCACCAAGCAGCTAAATAAAAACAAATACAAAATAACAAATGGATGTTAAAAACACCATGGGTGATCTACACTGTTGTATTAATTAAAACCCATGCTGCACTCTCCAATCCTGTTGGTCTGTGATAGGGGTGACACCCACAGAAACCCAAGATGGCTTCTTTTCTAGGGTGCCATAAGTTTTAATGAATTACTGTTGAGGTGGATTATTTTTCAGGATATTACAAGTTTTAGATTATGTCCTGTTACTCTAGGTATTCTAAAAATATCTTTACTTACTTAATAACTGATAATCATGATTAATCCAACTTCTAAGCTCAGCCCTACAGTCCTTTAAAGCTTTGGCTGGACTAAAACAGTTGCCATGTTGAATTGAATCCTCCTCATTCAGGAGCACTGTAATGCTTTCAAAACAAAATTTTCAGCGCCTTGCAATTGGCCGCGATCCAATTCTGTGGTCTAAAAAAAAGTATGCAAAAATGAGGAAGTAAAACATGAAGATCTCTAAAAATGTGCAGCATCTCACAGGAACTAGCAGCTGTGAATAAAAACGTTACTGGGTTAAAGGCTCTACAACAGAAACTCATTTGACCTAAAAGATAAAAAAAATATTCTTTAAAAATGTTCTGTTTAGTACATTTTTAATTAGATATGAATTACTTTCTAATTAGGAGTTTTACTGTGAGCTAACACAGGGAGTAAAGCAAAAAAAAAATCCTGTGCCTGAACTTTTTCAACACAGGCAAGAAAATCATATATATATATATATATATATATATATATATATATATATATTTTTTTTTTAAGCCATGCCAGGAGGGTATGGGGGCATGGGATCAGAGATTGCATGAAGGATTAAAGACTGAATTTGACTTTTGAAAATTCAATACCAAAAACGGCCAGAAGATGGCAGAAGTGCATCTATATCTACCACTTGCATGAACCACATTTCTCTTGAAATCCAGTTTTGCTGCTAAGCGTCGTGTTTGGCGAGGAAAGCACACACCCTTATTTAAATCGCATTAACGGTCAGTTATTCACGCTGGTACATCATCTGTTGCCGTAGCTCCCGGCAAACGTGCAGTGTGCGCGGCCGCATGAACAGCTGCCTGATGACCAGGGTCTAAATTCATGTTCACCTAACTTCCTGCTCCAGCTGCTAAATGGCTCGCCATCTCGCCCCGTCTCCTCCTTCCATGCCCAGCGCCATTTATTTTTGAGAGCTTTATCTATGGTTGTGAAATCTTCCACAGAGTTCATGAACTGCATTGTACCCACTCCATGCGATTCCGTTCTCTCTATCGTCCGTCTCTCCAAACACAAAGCTTCATTTATTTATTTTTTATTGTTTTTACACGTCTCTCTGTTGAACGTGTAGAGCTTCAGCACTGAACCACAATCTATCTGGCGACTTCAGCAAGAAACGAGAAGAGGTGGTACACGCTTCCTAAAACCCGCCCCCTTCTTCTTCTGATTGGCTAATACTGTTAGTTTCAGAGCTCTCCTTTACTACCATTAGCTGACAAAAGCAAGAGCGATTTTGATTGTCTTTTTTAAATTTATTTTTCTTCAATTTATTTTCGAGTAATTTTTTTTTTTTTAATCCACGGGCAATCGCTACGAGCCAGAAATGCAGCCTGGGCCCGGAATTCTTTAATCGCTTCTAACGACACATGAATGAGTTGAAGAAATAGACTCATTTGTCATTTATAATGCTTTCCAACCCTTTTCTGTAAACAGAATACGTTGGAAAGCAGAGACTCTTGAAATAACATACATGTATGTGTTTGTGTGTTTAGAGGCCGATGGCATCCAGGTGTGTGAGACAGATGGAGGAGCCCAGTTTCCCCTGCCTGAGGTACCTGCTGTCGTGTGACAGCCAGTCTCAGCTCTTCCTGTCGCAGCTGCAGGGATACAGCGCTGTGTTCTGGAATGGAGACAATGAGGAGAGGTTGGTTTCTACTCCTTACTGATCTGGTGATGCATTGTAAAGGTCATCCAAGGGGTTTAAAATGAAATCATACATAATTAGTTAAATAATGAATGGTTTTACCTTGTTTAGGAAGAATGCTGTCTTTATAACCTGGGAATAGCACCATGAAACAAATAAGTTTTATTTAATCCTGATAATCCCAGTGAGGCTTTTTGCTCGTCTGCAGATGGCATCTAGGAATTAACCGATGCCTTTTTTTTAAGGCCAGTGTCAATTATTTAGACATTAGTGCAACAGATTCCTGATACGTTGTAGGTTTGTTTTTTAACTGATTGTTTAAACCAACGTTGCTTTTTCGTATAAAAACAAAATACTTCATCTACAAATCAGTGCTGCCAATTCAGCGCTTATTTAATAAAATTCAATTCAGGTTATTTCTATAGCGCCAATTCACAACAAATGTCATCTCAAGGCACTTTACAGTTCACTAGATCATCCAGTCAGATAGATTTAAAGTTTTCTATCTAAGGAAAACCAACTGATTGCATCGACTCATTGACTCGAAGGCAATCCCTCACACTAAGCATGCTTGTAGTGACAGTGGAGAGGAAAAACTCCCTTTTAACAGGAAGGAACCTCCTGTGGAAAAAGACTCAGTGTGAGTAGCCATCTGCCGAGGCCGACTGGGGTTCAAGGAGACATTTAGCGACTTTTGGGACCTCCCTAGACTCTTTATTTGAAAGAAGCACCTAGCACCGAATCTAACGACTGTTTTCTGTGTTTATGGAGACTCTGGCAACAACAAAAAAAGGCACTGAACTCTGTACTCCTGAGCGAGTGGATCAATAGACCTGCCCCTATCTGTTTCCCCCTCTATCTGCTTGCCCTGCAGCAGAGAAAGAGAACACCTTCAATTACAGATTGTAAGTGAAATACTTATGCAAAGCTGCTGCTGATTCCACCTTAAACTGTAAAGTGGGATTATGAAAGTAATTTTTAAGCTGACAGTTGTCTCGCATAAAAAACGGAATTAAAAATACTGCCTTTTCACTATGCTTTTAGTTAGGAATATTTCATAGGATGTACACCTTGGTCTTTCACACCTTTAGGCCTTTGCTTGGCGTAGGAGGGTCCGAGGGTATCCTCCCCTGGAAAATGTTGAAATTTAGACTCTGAAACGCTTTTTCCTGCAACATTAACTTTTTGTCTTTGTAATAACACTACTTTTGTCCTAATTATGGGAAGTATTTGTGCTTGATTAGAGGTGGAGGTTTCATAATTAGGACATGACACTTTAGGTACAATATTATGTTTCATAGGTTAATTCAAACAATCAGGAAGTGTAATGTTACGTTCATACACAGATTTGAGCAGCAAAACAATGTCTGCTGATTCATTTTTGATGCTTGTCTTAATTACGTCCGACGTGCCTCAAGAGCATCTTTGACGCTCCTGAAGCGCGTCCAGTAAAGTGGGTCCAGATGCGTCTGATGCTTCTGTGTTCAATGGCAGAGAGCGGCTTTGTTATATTTGCCGTCATAAGCTGGTAAAAAAGTAGTTTTTAAAATGAGAAAGTCCACCTCAAAACATCGTCTGAGCAGTCAGTTCATCAAGATTACGATCCTGTCTTAAAATATTATTTCGCTGTCTGAGGTGCTCAGACCCCCACATACCGGCGGTGCGCTGTTACTGGGAATCCCCAGCAGCAGCTGCGCGGTTCTTCCCCTTCTGTTTGTTGCGGCTAGAAGTTGATTTTAGCGTTTTTTAGGTATGTGGTGCAAATTGCAGGCACCAAAATAATAAAATCAAACATGTTTTTCTGGCAGCCTCGGCCACATAAACTTCCTCTCTTACCCCCATTTGTTCCTTCTCTGATGGAGACAATGGAGAGCAAACATCTGATGAGATTGCTCTGATTGTCTTGCCGTTTAATCGGTCTGCCAATCAAAGCTGAGACCACGCCCACTCCTCATAAATGCGTGTCAATGGCCTGTTTGTTACAGAAACTACAGTGTGGTGAATGTGGAGAAGGCCCAGGTGGAGGTCAAGAGGATGTGTTGTCCTGGCAACAGGATCAGCTGCCAGATGAAGATGCGTAACTCTCTGTGGATGGCTACTGAGGTATGAAACCATAATATGGTTTCTGAGGAGGATGGATGTTGGACGTGCAGGATTCTGATTCTCTGTGGGATTATTTCCAAAGGAACAGGAGGTGTTCATCTACAGCCTGAAGGACATGTGTCCTCTGAGTCAGCCTCAGAAACGGCTGTCCTGTCCAGCTGTCGTCACAAGTTTGTTCCACGTTCCCGCCGGAGAACAGGTCAGCTCACATGACTACGAGGGGAAACAAACATGGGGTTGTTAACTGATGTGTACACGGTATCCTTTTTGTTACGTTAGCTTTCCTGTGGCTTGTGGAGTTAAAAAATGATGAGAAATATTTGTTCTTAGCCACACAGGCTCCAAACGAAGGTCATTAGAGATAAGAATGAGTTAGGAGATCCATCTCGCCAGTGAAAGATATATTAACCTAACAGCTAATGGCCTTGATGAACTCAGATTGTTTTTCCTCCAAATGTGTGAGAAAGTTCTTTATGCAGGGGGTGGGTTGGTTCCCCTGGGAAGAGTGTGTGTGTTGGGATTTTGTAAGGTATAAATGTTTATACTGAGGTTGCCTCTCAGTCTGAGGACTTAAAATAGATTTTAATCTTTTTTCTCACAAGAGATGCCTCTGCCTCAGCTTCCTAACTCCACAGGCTAAACTAGCTAATGTACATGCTAGCTTTAGCAAACAGCTTTCACGTTGACAAAAACCAGAGAGGCCAGGAGGTAAAGGCTGTTTTTGATCTCTTTTTTTGTTGCAATCTATACTGTTGATGTTTTTCTTCTCCTGGTTGTAATTGGAGCTGTTGTTTTTGTCAGTGCTGTGGCTCTGCTGCCCCCTCTGACGGGGAGGCTTTTACGCATATGGGTGTTTTTAGAAAAAACTGCATATATAACTAGAATTAATTTAGTTAAATTCAGTTTATTACCATGAAGCCAATGAACAACACAAGTCATCTCATCACTGTTCCCAACAACCTCAATAAATTGTTGCATTCATGCTGATTTTTGCACAGTTTCTATCATAGTTAAATATCATTCTGTTTATTGGTTATTTATTCTACAGGTGCATAGTATTTATATTGTTAAAACACTTTGCAGAATAGTATTTTATTTGTTTATTTTTTTGCTGCTGTAAACACCAGTATTTTCAATTGTGGGACAATAAAGGGATTTCTATTCTATTTAATGCACTAACTTTGAAATTAACTTATTTTATTGTAGCCTATAGGGATAAAAAAGGAAATACTGTTTTTCTTCTCCAACCAGAACTTGGCCAAAGTGTTTGCAGGGATGTCTGACGGTCTGGTCGCCGTCTACACCTTGGTGGACGACCTTCCTCTCGATGGAGAAACGTACCTGTGTTCTCACACCTTAAATAAGACTATATTTGGTCTGAAGGACTCTGATCCGAGGCAGAGACCCTACCCTGTCAGGAGCATGGCTCTGGTCAGCAGCGGCTCGCAGGTGAACATGAAGCTGCATTTATCCGCATCGAACCGCAGCGCTCTTCCTTTCAGTTAGGTTCAAAGTGATAAAAGTGATTTTTTTGTCATCTTCAGTTGTGGTTCTCCAACGGCCCCGGCCTGCTGGTTATCAACACGACGAGTCTTCAGGCGGTCCGAAGGCTGGAACCATACAGGACACCGTCCTCCGTCATCAGCATGACGACCAGCTTCAGTCTGTGGGGAGAGGAAGCAGTGTGGACCCTGGACGACACCAGCAACACACTGCTGCTCTACTACGCCGCCTCCTACGAACTGTGTGCATCGTACTGGTAGGTTCTCATGATCACAGGAACACCACTGCCTCATGAACAAAGTAGGACACAAGCAGTCGACTACATTTTCTGTTTGTCTGAACTCATGGAAGCAGACAATAAGGAGATTTTGAAATCCTAAATATTTAGAAACCCTCGTTAATATTTCAATATAACTTAATGCTTTGTCAGGGTTTCCGCAGGTCATTAAAAATCATTAAGTCATTAAATAATTATTTTTGAATTAAGGCCTGATTTTTCATTAAAATTGATTAAATGTGATGATTTTGGCATTTAAAATGCTTTATTTAGAAAAAAGTTTATAAAAACAATTTATTAAACAATATATATATTTGCAAATATATCGCAATATACTTGCGCGGAACAACTTCCGGTTGATCGTAAAGCCGTATGTTCGTAAAAGAAGCTCGCTGCGGAGGCTAGAGAATAGGGAAAATGCTCTGGTCAACCACCAGAGGAAGCCGGAGTACCTGGAGAGAACCCATGCATGCTCAGGGAGAACATGCAAACTCCATGCAGAAAGACTGGGAATCAAACCCAGAGCTACCCACTGCCCCACCATGCAGCCCTCAGTTACACATTCAAAGTAAATAAATCGACTGTAATGTAGCTTCATATTCATAAACTTTGAAATCTGAAACTAAACAATAAAGCTTTATATATCGATGATGTTCCACCAAACTCTGTAACTCATCCTGTATTGTGACTCAAAGGGATGCAGTCTGCTTCCTATTAACCCTTACTTCACTTTTACCTGAACCATGTAGCGTCCTCCCGAGTCACAATATGTGATGGGTCACAGGTTACACTGTAACACCAGCATATGGAGCATTGGGGTACTGTATGAGCCTGCATAAAGATCTTTCATCTTTATGCAGCAATGTTTTCACATAAAATCATTCTAAAAGTTCATTTTATGTCCAAGAAATATATTTTATAAAATTTTACTCACTTTTTTACACTTTTAGCTATTATTGCTCTAAGTTCTGCAAGGAATCGATAGGGCGCCCTAAATACCAAGACAGACTGCCCTCTGCAGGAGCCTTGGTGAACTGCATGGAATTTAAACTGAACCACTGAGAATAAAATATATGCAGAAATGCTTATAGTTACTTAAAATATGCTTCCCTTCTGTTATTTTGATTTTCTTCATAATCGACTACATTGACTACTGATTTCAGCCCTTCTCTTTTTTCGTTTTTTTATCTTTTGAAGCTCATCTTACAAAAGCGTACATCCTGGTTAAAACCCAGCTGAGGGAAATGTGAACACATGGAGTATTTGAGTTTGTTTTTGTTCTGATTTCAGCTGTGGGGACAGAAGTCCTTTGCGGGATGTCTTCGACGTGCTGCACCCTGCAGGGCTGGCTGTGGTGGCAGGGGAAGATATTAACACTACGGACCAAAATGGGAAGCTTGAATGGTCTAACGGAGACGTGACGCTGATTTTCAGTGAGGAGGCAGGAACTCAAATAATCCAGCACCAGGACTCTGTGACAGACTATTGCTCCCTATCATCTACCAGCTCTCTGGAACCACCAGAGTCAAACACCCTGAGCACCACAGACTGCAGCTTATTGAAAAGTAGAGGCTGTTTACCTCTGCCTCAAAACCCGGAGGACTCAGAAGAGCAGCAGGACGAACAGACAGATACAGATAATCTGGACTCAGCAGAGGACATAAACCCTGCAACACCTGAGCTGCAAGCCTTCAATCTGCTGCCGGTGAATGGGACCCTGTGGATCCCCAGGTAAGAAAAACACTCTGACAGGCCTGTAATGGCAGCTAAATGTGGGCTTAAACAAGTAAAACAATCGATTGGATTTCAAAATTTGAAACTTTACCCATAAAATAAGGGCTTTTTAAACCGGTGAGTCCTGAAATACTGAGCAGTACTGCAAAAAATAATCTAAGAATAAATTCAATTCAGTTTATTCCTATATCGCCAAATTACAACACATGTCATCTGAAGGCACTTTACAGTTCACCAGATCATCCATTCAAAATGATTCAGTTTTCTATCTAAGAAAAACCAGTTGATTGCGTCGACTCATTGACTTGAAGGCAATCTCTCACACTAAGCATGCTTGTAGTGACAGCGGAGAGGAAAAACTCCCTTTTAACAGGAAGAAACCTCCAGCAGAACCAGGCTCAGTGTGAGCGGCCATCTGCCGAGGCCGACTGGGGTTCAAGGAGACAGAAGCAGAGATAAAAAAAGCAGCTGCAAATGGCGGCCCCGTCCAGGAAACACACAGCCAGGCAGACGAGCTCCGAGCCAGCTCCCATGTCAGCGGATGAAGAGAGCACATCCAGCCGGTCACAGACAGAAAAAGAGGACTACACTGAAAAGCAGGCCAATCTTCAAGATCTATAAACAAAGTTGTTGATGGCAGCAGCACAGCTGATATTTCTCTCCAGGATGGAGTCACAGCCAAACAGGAACAGACCAGATGAAGCTACCATGAGAAAAAGCAGAGAGAGCATAACGTTAGAGATTGAACTAATAGGTTCTGCAAAAAAGGGAGAATAGAGACAGAATAAAGCAGATTTATAAAAAGGGGTCCCTATGTCCTCCAGCAGTCTAAGCCTATAGCAGCATAACTATAGAGATAGTTCAGGATAACCTGAGCCATTCTAACTATAAGCTTTATAAAAAAGGAAAGTTTTAAGCCTAGTCTTAAAAATAGACATTTAAAACGAAAGTTACGTATGTAACTACGGTTCTATGAATCCCGGATGACCGCCAGAGGGCGGTGCTGAAAGCACTGAATGTTCCCTTCGGGCATGCGCAGTTCGAGTAATTATACCAACAGAGTCACACCTGTGACACCGGATGACCACTCAGAAGCTATATAGCCTGGTGTCATCCTTTGCTCTGCTCCTACAGAATCTTCTCGCAAAAGCAAGGATTCTGAGTGACAGAGAAGCTCTGGCGGTCATCCGGGATTCATAGAACCGTAGTTACATACGTAACTTTCGTTCTATTTCATCCCTACTGACCGCCAGAGGGCGGTGCTGAAAGCACTGAATGACTAATGCCAACAATGTCACAAGGAATCCTGAGCACATACCTCACAGAGGAGGCCCAGCAGAACCTTGTAAAAGGACCTGACCCAGGGGATGAGGGGCAGCCACATTGACACTGTAGAACCTGGTGAAGGTGGTTGGGGAAGCCCATGAAGCAGCAGCACATATAGCTTCCAGCGGAACCCCTCTCAAAGCAGCCCAGGAAGCGGTGACGCTCCTGGTGGAATGTGCTCTCACACCGACTGGCAGGGAGCAGTGACCTGCAGCGTAGGCGTGGCAGATGACACTCACAATCCAATGGGACAGACGCTGTTTAGAAAGAGGACAGCCTAACCTTGGACCCCCATAGCATAGGAAAAGCTGGTCCGAGCGTCTCAGATTGGCGGTGGCTGCAATGTATGCCTCCAACGCTCTTACTGGGCACAACAACTCCGACTCATTCTCAGTTGTACCAGATTGAGGCTGAAACCGAGCGAGCCGCAATGGCTGGTTACGGTGAAAAGGAGACAACACCTTAGGCACAAACGCAGTATTAGGCCACAGGGTAACACCAGAGCCATCTGGATTCCACCTGATACACCTAGGGCTGACAGAAAGAGCATGTAGCTCGCTGACCCTCTTAGCTGAGACGATAGCCATCAGGAAAGCAGCCTTGCAGGAAAGCCACTTGAGTTCTGCTTGTGCCAAAGGCTCGAATGGAGGGTGGCACAGAGCTGTGAGAACCAATGGCAGATCCCAATCTGGGGCTCGTGGGGCTGGCCGCTGGCACAACCTACGAGCACCACGCAGAAAAAGTGAAACCAGTTCATGGCGCCCCACTGTACGGTTGTCAACAGTTCGGTGAAGACATGAAATTGCTGCAACATACACTTTAAGGGTCGAAGGAGAGCGGCCCTTATCAAGGAGAGACTGGAGGAACTCCAAAATAGTGGGCACCGAGCAGGAAAGCGGGTTCTCATTGTGGGCAGAGCACCACTGAGAAAAGAGGCGCCATCTGTTAGCATACTGCAGCCGAGTGGAGGAAGCCCTAGCACTCAATACGGTGTGTCTCACGGTGTCTGAACACCCAGTCAGCCTCCCAGGGGCCATGCCCACAGCTGGGGACGTTGAGGGTTGGGGTGCCATATCTGTTCCCCCAACTGAGACAGCAGATCCCTCCTTGCTGGAAGACGCCATGGAGTACCGTGACACAGACTCCAAAGCAGCGGGAACCACGGCCGCGCTGGCCAGAACGGAGCTACCAGCAACACTCTGTGGCCCTGCTCGAGAACCCTCCGTAGAGTCGGCCAAACCAGTGAGAGGGGTGGAAAGGCATACAGGAGAACCTGCGGCCATGGATGAGCCAGTGCATCCTGGCCCAGTGCGCCCGCCATCCCGGTTAGGGAATACCATAGGAGGCAATGGGTCGACTCCTCTGTGGCGAACAGATCTACCTCTGCCTGCCCAAAGAGGTTCCAGATTATGCGCACTACGTCGGGGTGAAGAGACCACTCTCCCGGAGCAGGTGCCTGGCGGGATAGAGAGTCCGCAACCTGGTTCTGCCGTCCTGGCAGATACGCTGCGCGCAGGGTACACAGACGGGGATACGCCCATTCCAGGAGATCCCTCGACACCTTCAAGAGACGTGCTGACCTGGTGCCACCTTGGTGGTTTATATGATAAACAACAGAGGTGTTGTCTGTCCGAATCAGCACGTTCCTTCCCTCTAGGTGGGGCAGAAGGCACCTGAGGGCCATGTGCACAGCCCGCAGCTCCAGCACATTTATGTGTTCGGTGCGCTCCCTTGGGTCCCAGAGACCCCGAACAGCTCTGTGTTGCCACACGGCACCCCAGCCCATGAGGCTGGCATCCGTGGTGACCACCTCCCTTCGACACACTACTAGCCCCATTGGAACACCACTGGACAAAAGGGTCCCGTCTCGCCAAGGAGCTAGGGCATGGAGGCAGCTCCTGGTCACCATTAGCCTGCGATGCCTGTGCAGCCTGGCGTCTAGGCGAAAGCTGTTGAGCCATCGCTGCAAAGGACGCAGAAGGAGCAGCCCTAAGGGCACGACACGAGTGACTGATGTCAGTTTGCCCAGCATTCGCAGGAAGGTGATGTAGGGAAACTCCCTGCCCAGTCTGAATCGACGGACAAGCTGGAGTATGTCGTCCACCCTGTGAACAGATGGACGGGCCATCATGGTAGCAGAGTCCAGATGCATCCCAAGAAAGGTGGTTGTCTGAGATGGAACCAGACAACTCTTTGCCAAGTTGACTTTGAGGCCTAACATTGACACATGAAGTAGAAGCTGGGACGTATCCCGAGAGGCAGCTACCTGAGAGGGAGCACAAAGAAGCCAATCGTCCAGGTATGGCAGAATCCTGACTCCGGAGGCCTGTAGAGGAGAGAGGGCTGCTTTCACGCATCGAGTAAACACCCTCGGGGAAAGGGAGAGCCCGAATGGGAGCACCCGGAATTGCCAATGGCGCCCCCGATAGGCGAACCTGAGAAAACGGCGATGTTCTGCCGCAATAGGCACGTGAAAGTAGGCGTCTGTCAGATCTACTGATGTAAACCAATCTCCCGCCACAATGGTCTGAAGGACCTCTGTTATGGTGAGCATGTGGAAGGGAAGGACCTTCAGGTACCGATTCAGTCCCCTTAGATCTAAAATGGGGCGAAAACCGCCGGTCTTCTTGGCCACAAGGAAGTATGTGGAGTAGTAGCCTCTGGGTTGCTGCAGAGGATCTACAGACTCGATTGCCCCCTTGCCCAGGAGGGCGGAAAGCTCCTGGTCTAGTGCCTGAGATTTCACCGGGTCTGTGATGACAGTCATCTTGACCCGGTGTGAGAGGGGGGGCCGCCGTCGGAACTGGAGCCTGTAGCCATTGGTTAAGGTGGCAACCACCCATGGATCTACGGCATGAGCAGCCCAGAAATTCAGCTGCTGATGGGAAAAATGTCCGACGGCTGGCCCGGTGGCATCATCTTCTATCCCCACGGCCCCTGGGGGCTCTGGGGGGAGGGCGTCCAGGATTTGAGGCCCGGGTCTGTCTAACAGGGCGGCAGACTGGCTCACGAAAGTCCCTTCTCGGTCTCTGCCGCACATCATGGGGATAGGAACCAACAGGTCTGCCACCAGTCTGAGGTCGTGGCTGAACGCTGGGGGTAGTGGCAGGGCGGCCCGAACGCTGGGGAAAGGCAGGTATGCTCCTGCGAAGGCCGGAAAGCTGCTGGCTAGTCTGACGTGCCTGAGCAGTCCGTTCCAGCGCCTCCAAGGCAGCTGATCCAAACAGCTCCCCTGGTACAACCGGGACACCCCTGAGGGTCCTACGGCATGCTTCAGTCAGAGGAGACTGTGCCAACCAGACCTGTCTACGAGCTTGGACAAGGAAAGACATGACCCGTCCAAGCTCTCTGGTCATCAGCGCGAAGGCCTGCAGCGCTGCGTCACTATAACCAATCGCCGCACTTGCACCACCAGTGTCCTGAACAGATGCAGACAGGGCAAACATGAGGTGCGCCAGGGAATTGCCAAGGCGGCCAGCACGCGCTCCTGCATTGTACGCCTTACAGAGGAGGTCATCTGTAACCCGACATTGAGTCCGCGGGCACCGGACACCAGGACGCAGGGCTTCATCTGGTGACACAATCAGTGAAGCAACAGCTGGTTCAATTGCTGGCATACGGTCCAGGCCGGCCTTCACTGACTCATGCATGGCAGCTAATACACGACCATCCGAGGAGAGACGCGACAGCGCTCTCGGTTCCCGCCAACAGGCGTGTAACTCCTTCAGGTACTCCTCTGATGGAGGTACAGAAAAAGGAGTAGGAGCCCTTCCACGTCTGAAAAAAGCACTGCCAGAGCTGGATGCCTCTCCTTGTGGGAGTTCCAGCTGCAGCTGCTTCAGGGCCATAGACATGACCTCCCGCATGGAACCGTCACCGGCCTCTCCAACCGCACTCTGAGATGAAAATGAACCAGCCTCAGAGGCTTGAGAGGACCCTGCCTCCTCCTCATCTCTAAAATGAGAAGCGGAGGCAGCCAGAGAGATAACGTCATCCTCTACAACCAGCTCGGGCATTGGTGGGGAAGAGAGCCCAACCACTGGGAGCGAGGGATCAGATTGCCGTGTCTGCAACAAGGACTTCATCTCTGCCAGCTCTGCTGACAACTGCTCCACCCTTGTGGACAGGCCCTGGTCAGGTTTGGCCCGCTTCCTCCGGGGGAGGGGCACAGATGCTGTGGTCCCACCACGGCGCTTAGAACGCTTGGGGGGAACCACCTGCCCAGAGGGCGGAAGGTCCGAGCCCTCCTGGGGGCACAACTGGGCCAACCGGGCCACCCTCACTGCATGGGGCATAAAGCTGCAGTTCATACAGGGGTTCTCAGACAGCGCCTCCAAAAGGTGCTCATGTCCAAGGCAGGTAGGGCACAGGTCGTGGCCATCCTCTGCCTGCAGGGCAGCCCCACAATCTATGCAGCTGTGAGAGCCATCCATGTCGAAGGCCGACAAGGCTTAAAGAACAGAAAGTTATCGAAAATCGGGAGAGGGGGCGCAAACGCAGCCGTCACCAATTACAGCAGAGAAACGAAAGAGGCTGCGAGCACAAGGCAGCCGATACTGGGAGAGGGGGCGAGAACCGCTACCGTCACCAGGTATAAAACCAATAAACCAAAAAAGCTAACAACGTTAGCTGTATGGAAACTTAAGTTGGAAGTAGGAGCGAACAACGCTGCCGTCACCAATTATAGCGGATAAAACAAGAGAGGCTGCGGACACAAGGCGGCCGATACCGGGAGAGGGGGCGAGAACCGCTACCGTCACCAGGTATAAAAGCAATAAACAAAAAAAGCTAACAACGTTAGCTGTATGGCAACTTAAGTAGGGAGTAGGAGCGATAAACGCTGCCGTCACCAATTAAGAGAGCAGACCAACGAAAAGGCTGCAAAAAAAGGTTGATATTGGGAGAGGGGGCGAAAACGCTGCCGTCACCATTTATAATTAAGCAGACCGATGAAGAAGGCTGCAAACAAACCAAAAAAGGCTAACAACGTTAGCCGTCTCCAACTTCGGCAACGAAGTAGACCACACTTGGTTGGGAGAGGGGGCGAAAACCGCGGCCGTCAGTAATTATAGCAGCGCAGACCGGTGAAAAAAAGGATGCAAAAGTAGGGAATATACTGGGAGAGGGGGCGAAAACCGCTGCCGTCACCAGGTATAACACCAACAAACTAAAGAAGCTAACTACGTTAGCCGTATATAACTTCGGCAGTGAAGTTATTCACACTGGGAGTAGGGGCGAAAACGCTGCCGTCACCAGTTCGGAACAAAACAGCACGAAGCTGTAGGTAAAAAGCTAAAGTCGTGAGGGGGCGCGGACGCTACCATCACCAGCAAACAACTCACTTACCTTCCGTAATCTTCAGAATCGACCCGTTGCAGCCCTGGGAGGGCGGAGAATAACCGCAACTCCGGTCAAGAGACAGGGGCTTCAGACAACGGGGAAGTTAGCGAACCGCTTGTGAGAAGAAAAAAGGAGCAGAGCAAAGGATGACACCAGGCTATATAGCTTCTGAGTGGTCATCCGGTGTCACAGGTGTGACTCTGTTGGTATAATTACTCGAACTGCGCATGCCCGAAGGGAACATTCAGTGCTTTCAGCACCGCCCTCTGGCGGTCAGTAGGGATGAAATAGAACATTCTTAAAATCAATGTATTTTCCTTTAATTCCAGCAGTAAAATAAGATCATTAGATCTCATTCTAAATTTTATTAGATTATGAACTTCTTTTTTGTTTTTTAAAACATAAATAATCATATTCCTTTGATAAATTCTCTTGCTTACCTGCTAAATCAAGAATAATACACTTATTTACAAAAAATGACATACCGGTATATATACTCATCTTTAAAATAGCTTTATACGGAAATGTCAGTTAGGCTTCATTCACACTGCAGATGAATGTGATCCAAATCAGATTTTCTATTTTTATTTTGGCCCTGAAACAAATAGACAAGCTTTTTTTAAACAAATTGTGATTGTCATTGTGATGTCATCGCTGAGGTATATGGAGACTAAAAAGATATCCTGAATTACATAGATGGGAATGTCCCAATAAATATGTATCATGAAATAAAATAATGTAACTTTTTTTAATTCATGAAAAACCTGATTCAAATAATAAACATACCCTGAAATTAGAAGATGGACAATTAAATAATAAAAAAATATATATATTAAATACTTTAAGTATCTTTTATCTGGTTTGAGATTAAGTACTTCTTTGTTTTTGTTTTGTTTTTAAATTATTATTATAAAGCACTTTTTAACCCATTACCTGTCCCGTATGTGGTGCCTCCACTTTCTCAGCTCTCAAGCTCTCCCAGTAAGGCTACCGTCCGCCATTCCAGCGGCTGAAAGAACAGCAGCTGATTTAATTAATGCTTTTCAAGGTGTTTCGAATATCTGATTGTTTTGGTTTCGCCGATGAATTAAAGGCTTTATTACAATACACCATCAACAGAAATATGGTTGTGCTCATAAACCAACAGAAGTTGAATGATACTGCAAATAATTTTGTCGTCGGCTGAAATCATTCATTATCAAACTTGAAGTTTGACTCAGAGGAACCAAACTAATGTTTAGACTGAAGCCGAGTGAGGAGAAAGTTTCTATCACCTACTTTGCATTTATATGATTCTGTCTCACAGTGAGATCAGCAGCTGAGGCAGCATTCAGTTGTTTTTTTCACTAACCCTGACTATGTGTGTCCAACAGGCGTGGAGGTGATATAATAATCATTGAAATGCAGCCATATGGAGGTCAGCTGCGGGGGCGGGTCACCGCTGTCCTCGCTCCTCCTGGACGCTCCTCTCTGGGGTAAGTTAGTCTCCATCGTTTCATTCTGCCTTCATTTAGCAGCACAGTTCTAATCCCATTTGAAGGGACTTCATTTAATTTTATTGGTTTATTTCTATAGAAACAGCTGTTAAGAACAGTTTAAATGTTTAGCTCATTTAATATGTTTTTACTGATGGGGCGACCTGCTCATGGCACCATTTCAGTTACTGGAGCTTTTTAGCAGGAATCAGGGTCTGTTTGTCAGAGCTGTGGTAGTACTAGTGAGTACTAGCCAATTAGAATCAGAGTAGCGCGTGTGATGGCTTCACTGTCCTAGGAAAAAATGGGAAACTTGGCTCTGAGTTTCTGCTTAATAGTGCGGATCATGGGGGATTTAGAAGTGGGTGTTCGCAATGCCAATTGAAAAATAAGTGGCTATACACCGTATACCCATCATATATCCTGGACTATTCAATTCAATTCAGTTTATTTCTATAGCGCCAATTCACAACACAAGTCATCTCAAGGCACTTTACAGTTCACACTCCACTCCATTCCATTTGTTTAGGAGGATCTTTCCTCACATGCAGTAAACTCTGCCTGGTGGATTTTGAAGCTGCTGGAAAACAAACGAGATGTTCAACCATCTTCTTGCTGACTTCTCTGAATACGTTTCTCTCCTGTGTTCCCCTTTGTCATCTCCTGTTTTCCCGTCCCCCCAGGACTCTGCAGGAGGCGGCGCTGGTGGCAAAGGACACGGTGGTATGCGGCTTCCAGCAGGAGGAAAACATGGAGTGGTGCCTGGTTGTCTGGAGAGCCTGGGGCAGCAGCGAGATCAGCGTCTTCTACCAGTCCTACGAGGAACTCTACCGCTCTGAGAGCAACATAAGGATAAGAAGGTAGCTGCTGTCCTGCAGCGGCTCAGGAGCAGAACCTCCCTGACTGAGTTCAGAGCTCTGAGGCTGAGGGGCGTCAACCGATGAAGCTCAGGAAGAAGCTCAGCTGTCAGGCTCCGCACCGCCGGAGGAGATATTTCAGTTCACTGTACAGAAAGAAGCAGATTAACAGCGTCCGAATCAGACTTTTAATCACAATCACCAAAGTTTTTTCTCTTTGCTTCCAAACATCCAAATAAATCGATATTTAACTTTCTTTAAAGGTTATTTATCTGCTTTTTTAAACCTTCCAAGGTCAACTGCAAGCATGTGTTGGATAAAGCATCACCTCAGGCACCAGCAGTGTTCAGTGGTTCATAAATATCAGGTCTAGCCCAGAGAAAAGACTCTGCTCTTTACTGCTTCGCCTGTTTGGTGACGTCGTCCATAAACCAGGACGCCAAACTCATTTTTATATCAGAGCACTGCAAAATCATCAAGTCTTTTACTGAATCAGCTGCAGCTGTAGAAATATAACGTTTGGATCTGTTGTCTAATTTACAAAGAGTCCACTGTTCTGGTATTATGGATCTAGTTCATCAGTTGTAGCCACTTTGCTCACTTTATATCAACACATGTCTGCTTTGTGCCTTTTTCTGTTGGGGGGGGGGGAATAAACTGGAGGCTTTAAGTTCGACTCATGCACCCTTAACTCGCTGCCGCATGAGATCACAACGCCTCTGGTTTAAAGCTTCCCTCTCTTACAAAACGATGAACACTCTGAGCCTGGTTTATGCTCAGAAACAAGGTCGTCTGCGTGTATCGCAGTTAACGCAGATATGCCCCGCCCCTTCTGCAGACACTCTGCTGCAGCTCTCCAATATTGTATGTGACTGCAGACAGGAGGCATCTGATTGGTCAAATCTACACCCGCTCTACACTATGAGTATTTCCTGTTTGGTACCTTACCAGCTTGTTTTGTTTGTCTGACAGCCATCTTCTAGCTGGTCCATATTCTCAACAGACTCGTGAATATGGACCAGCTAGAAGAGCGAGGTGCGCAAGAACGCTGAGACCCTTTTTCCACCTGGATCCCCGCTCTTTTTCGCCCTCATGTCCCTCCGTTGTCGCACAAACTTGCCCCCACTTCCTGGGCCGTATCTAGACCCACAGCTAGTTCCTGATTATCCCTCTTGCGCCGCGGCGTGGAATAACAGCCAGACCACGCTTTAAAATTCGGCATAAATCAAAAATATCGGCGACAAGCTCACTGTGACACACTGCTGGGGGAGTATAACCAGCCCTTTAGATGTTAGCTAATAAAGAACAGTTGCTATCAGCTGCAGAGCTGCTGTTTGGTCCCATTCTCAGCAGAAATCCTTGCACTCTGCCTCACATCACCTCTGCTGATCAGAGGAAGTGGGTGTGTTTTTTTTTTACTGAGCAGGCGCAGCGCGGTCATGGTAGGTGCTTCCTGGAGGAGTAATCGCTGCTCTGTGTAGGATGGGGATGACAACTTGTTTTTCCAGGAAAGAAAGAAGAAGTTTAGAAGTTAAAAGTTGTCCAAAAATATAACTACCACAGTACAGTATAGATTTCTGCTTAGGTAAGGTAAAAAGTATTTGTACTTAGTTACTTGACATCTCTGTTTGTAGGATATGTCTTCCTCTCTTGCTCCTCTTTGTTCATTTTGGAAGATATTTCTACAGGCCTTAAAGGAAAAGTCCGGTCAGCAAGGAAGGATAAATGGATCATTATCTATACTTAAAGCTAATACGTTTGATGTGATTTAATTAATTTAGCGTTAATCAGTAATAATTTAAATAATTTCATCCCGATCATTGAGTCTGGGAGCGGCCATTTTTACCCGACTATAGTAGCCCCTCCCTCCTGCCATCTTCCAGCAGTGACGTCACGGTGCTGTAAGCCTAGCGCCATTCTCCCCGCTTTACAAGCAAAATCAATGGGAACTACTAGACACATCTGCAATCAACAACAATTATTTAAGATTTTCAGAGGACTTCACCATTGAAATTCACCAGAGCTATAGTGAAACTGAAAATGCCCACGTGAATGGCAGCTGGATGTTGGAATACATCGAGTATAAGTGAAAAAAAAAAAAGAGTTATTCCACCTTTCTGATTCCTGATCCTCCAGAGACGGGTTCGTTGTTGGATCGCCAACTTGAAGAGGGAGGATTTACCATCAAACTTCTGGCCAGAGAAAAAACACGTAATATGTAGCCAACATTTGGAAGAAGAATGTTTTGCAGATGACTTGGATAATAACTCGTTGTGACAAACACCAGATACAGCACTGGGACTTGATCAACAGCCGATACCGCACCGTGACGTCACAAACCAGTAGGTGGCAGTAGTGTTCTTGCACAAACATGGATGCCTCCAGTAAAGCACATTAGATGAAAATTACTCTTAATCTAAAACACTTATCATTTATTGAACAGTATGGAATAATTTCATATTTAAAGTACTCTCAGAAGTTTGAGTTCTGAATATGACCTGACTTCTCCTTTAATGACGGCAGCATTAAGATGTTAATATTAAGTAATGTTGGACATAAAAAGCTGCCTGTTTCACTTGCAAATATAACTATTGAGAAATGAATATATGTCATTAAAGTGCAAATATTGTTGCTCTGATATCTTCTAAATGTTTTTCCATTATTTATTTCATTGTTTTGTTTTTTTAAGACTTTTTGGTTTAGTGCTCATTGTTGGTTTTGACTTTCTGGTCTCTGCTGCGAACATATGGAACCTTCTGGAATAATAAAGTATTTCAATCAGTCAGTATAATAAAAACCTTATATGTTTACATACTGAGAATTTTCCTGTGTTTCAAGAAGACCTGACAACTGGTTGCCTTTCAGTAATGGTCAAACTTCAGAGGCTCGTTATCAATAACCTTTACTGGAATGTAAAGCTTTGCTGCAGGAATCTGAGGGTTTTGGATCTACGATGACAAACTTTACTGAGCTGCTAATGTAAAAACGTAACTTTCACCATAACATTTATAATCATTTAGCGAGCTTTTTTCACATTTAGTGCCTTTTTTCTAACATTTTTTGACAAACACTAATTATACATTTCCTTTAAACATCCTATAGTCATATCTAAAACTTAAATATATATCTTTAATCTTAAATCAAAGTTGTAAATCTATATTTAAATATGTCTAATTTATCTTCGCATTCAGTCAACTTCAATTGTCTGCTCGTCTTTCCTTTTGTTCTTAAGCCTCTTTCCCACTGAAATTAGCGGGCTGATGTGGGCTTTCAAACATGGGTTGACCTGCTAGCAATCGGCTCCCTTCCCATTTAAAATAAAAGGTGTCTGTTGACACCATCAACCAGGGTTAGCATTGATGATGCCACCATGATGCCAGCATAAATGTGGAAAGTAAACAATGGAGAACAACATGGAAGGAATCCAGGGCAAAGTCTGTCTTTATTTTTTCGCTCTTTTATCTGTCTGAATCCCCCTCACTAGAGCTGCTCCATGTTTATCAAATGTAAACATGGTTGGTTTTTGGCTTGTTAGATTTTTTAGAAAAGATGTGGCTGGTGTGTAGTGTTGACATCCATATGTTGGGCTCAGTGGTGTCACGTGGTATCATCAGTTAGCGGGTCGACTCAGCTCTGGTATTTCTAGTCTAGGGCGATTGAAGGCGATTTTAAACCGTGTCGCCTGCCAAGTCATTAGCCGTCCATGAGCGGTTCCCCCTGCTACTAAAAGCCGATTGTTCCCCGGTTTAAATGGTTTTTTGGTGATTAGAAAAGGGGTATTATTAAGTTTTAAAAGTTTTAAAGAGTTTTAAAGTTGAGTTCCAAGGCTCCACCTCATGGTCGTCCTTCTACATGCCCACATTCAACAACATATGATCAATAAAAAAAAAAAACAGTTCAATGTTTTTTAAAGCAACTCAGAAAAACTTTTGGTTTTGGTTGATTTTGGCTCCCCCCAGTGGAAAAAAGCTGTATTGTTTTGCCTAAAGGAAGACAGCATTTTCCATTAGGACAAGCACATAGCGTGGTAAAATCCTGATCGGCTGCAGATAGATTGAACATTTCTGTTTCCAGTGGCTGTGAAAGATGAATAGCGATGAATGAATGAATGAATACAATTTTAGTTAAAAAATTATCATGTTGAAAATAAGAAATGTTTAACTTTGCTTTTTCCTGCACCACAGCCCCACTACTTCACCCGATTCATCAGCGACTGATGTGCTGACGACTTCAGAGCCTTGAAAAAGATAAATGTAATGTTATGTTTGTTCCAAAAAAGTAAAATACACAATCCACTGGACTTTGTTTCCAAGTTTGAAGATGTTTCGCTTTCAATCCAGGAACATTTTTCAATTCAAAATGTAAGAAATAGCGTTGAGTTCAAGGCTTTATAGGGTGGGCCAAAAAACAGGGGACAAAAAGTTACAGGGGAACAGAACACCTTGCCTGTTTAACAGGCCAACAATTCCCTTTAATAACCTCCCTTTCAGAGACATAGACAGGTACCGGGCATTACAGGCTAACAGAGAAACAAAACAACCCCCATTCCAAAGGGGTGGACTCCCTCGCCAGGTTCAATTTGCATGTTTTCTAAGCCAAAACAAGGCTTTGCTTTGGTCCACTCTTTCTATTTTTGAAATGACAATGACCCTGATGACTGAGAATCTTCACCAGCAATGTTATGTATTATAATTTCCCGGTAAACACATATAGATACCAGCAGGAAGGAGCTGCATTTCCTGAATATCAGTTGTGCACAAGGGGTGTGAAGGAAGCCATTAACATTAACAGAGAAAAAACAATCTTAAACAGAGTTGGTTTCAGCTCTCATAAACCTATAACGCAGCGATAGAGTTGATTCCTTTCCGCTATGTACTCAATCCTCATTGCCATGGAGGTGGTCAAAAATCACACCTGTTAAACCAGGCCAATAACAACCCTGACGACTCCCCATTACAGAGGCATGGCCGATTTCGGGTTTTGCAGGCCGACAACGACCCCAAAGACTCTCATTACAGAGGAGTGGACCGTTTTTTGGTTAAATTTGCATGTTTTCTAAGCCATAACAAGGCCCTTGTTTGGGCCACTCCATAAGTCTGGAACTCAACGCTACTCCAGACATTTTGAATTGAGAAAGCTTTCTGGAATGGGAAACAAAACTTTCTTTAAACTATAAAAACAAAGTCCAGTGGTTTGTTTGTAATTTTTTTTTTTGGAATGAATAGGACCTGGATGACTGAGAATCTTCACCAGCAA